TGCTTTCTTTGTCGCTCTTTTCCTACTTTTTGTTTATCAGTCACTCACAAATTCTTTTCTTGGAACATCCTTTTTTAGGGTTAGCTTATACGATGCAATAGAATTATTACCCAATTGGGAAGGGGCCACACAGAAATCTTACAATATCCCATTGTCATTACTATTAAATCTAATATTACTGTATTTACTACCGCCTCCTACTAACAAATCTGTATATGCTACTAACCAATCTGTATATGCTACTAACCAATCTGTGTATGCCACTAATTAATCTCTTTTCATCCTACTAACCAATCTCTATGTATGCTACTAACCAATCTCTTTTTATTTAGGCCAAAAAAAGTCATCCGGGAAACTTGTCAAGAAATTTTATTTCCTTTCTATATTTTTTTTTTTTTTTTTTTTTTTTCGTTTGTTCGTTCGTTCTAGGGGTAAACTAAAAAAAATAAAATGTAAACTTTTTAAGTTGTCAATAATAATGGCTTATTAACTATTAATAACATTTATTCAATTTGGAATTTAGAATCTAGGCAAGTAATTAAAGTAAAGCGATGATGTATTTTTGTTCATTTTGCTCAGATACGAAAAACTGTGGGTGATTGTCGTGAACGTTTCAGGTTCATTAATGACAAATAATATATATTGCGACACACATACACACACACTATGAAAATGGGACGACTAAATAATATCAATTTTTTTTTTTTTTGTTTTTTTTTTTTTTTTTTTTTTTTTTTTTTTTTCAATAGCAATTTGCCCAAAAAGGGAAACATGACGTTTTTTCTTTTTTTTTTATTTATTTATTACCCCCTCTCCCCCTCAGTCGACGCTACCACACGAATTTACGTGGGTTTTGTGTAATGATGATTCAACGAGTACGTTTTTGTCGTATGTACCCAACAGAGACTGCATATAAGATACAGGAGAGTCTAGGGATGGGGCGAGAAGATCGTGAGGGGAAAAAAAAGATGGGCACCAGAGGGCGGCGTTAGATTTATAAGACTAAACTTACTAAAATACATTTTTAATTAGTGGGCAGATTGTGTCATACATACTGGTCTCCAGATTTCAGATTTAGTTATCACTATGGAGCAGAGCAAGATAGTGGAGCAGCACGTATTATATCATCACTATTGAGCAGCACTTTTTATAGACCCCATCATCACTATCGAGCAGCACTTTTTATAGACCCCATCATCACTATCGAGCAGCACTTTTTATAGACACTCTCGACACTTATAGACACTCTCGACATTAGTTATTATTATAACTTGAAACTGTTTCTGCCACTTTATAGTATCGTTTGTTTGATCTAGATTTAGCCACTATTGTATCTTGTAAGGTTACATTTAGAAACTCTCTTGTCACTATAAGGTTAGCTTGGCGTTGAACACTATAGAGCAGAGCAATTGGAGCAGCACTTACTATAAAGCAGAGCGAGTGGAACAGCACTTACTATAAAGCATAGCGAGTGGAGAAGCACTTACTATAGACCAGAGCGAGTGGACCAGCACTTACTAGTGACACTAGTGACACTAATTATTATTATAACTTGAAATTGTTCCTGCCACTCAATTATTATTATAACTTGAAACTGTTCCTGCCACTCAATTAGTATCCTTTGTTTGATCTAGATTTAGCCACTGTTGTATCTTGTAAGGTTACATTTAGAAACTATAAGGTTAGCTTGGCGTTGACTTTAACAATGTATATAGGATATTGAGGATATTGATTGTTTTCTTGTAATAGAGGACTTTATTGTTTTCTTGTAATAGAGGACATTATTGTTTTCTTGTAATAGAGGACTTTATTGTTTTCTTGTAATGGAGGACTTTATTGTTTTCTTGTAATGGAGGACTTTATTGTTCTCTTGTAAATGAGGATATTCAAAGGATAATCTTTGTTTTCTTTTAAAAAAGGATATTCAAAGGATAATCTTTGTTTCCCTTTTTGACCGATACTGGATGCTGTTTTATGAAAAAATCCTGAATCATGTGAAATCAATAGTCTCTATTTATTGTAGCATGTTATGTGTGAATAGAAACGCTGAAACTGATTACTTTTAGAGACATGTCCGTGTGAACATTTCTGGAGAAAAGAGTGTTGTTTTTACTGCTTATGGACCACGATTCTTGACTTCGTTTTCATATTGTTTATTCTTTTCTATCCCTCTTTGATTTGAGTCTCTGGTTCACACCATTCTAGTTCACACCAGTCTCTAGCTTCTACACTTTGGATCAGCTGGTTTCTACACTTTGGATCAGCTGGTTTCTACACTTCCGCTCAACTAGTCTCAGAAGCATAGACACCTCCCCTATTCAACTAGTTTCGCTCTGCTCAACTAGCTACAAAGTATTGCTCCACTATTGAGCAGAGCGAGATAGTGTCAGTGGCAGCTAGTGTGCTCCACTATCTCGCTCTGCTCGATAGTGTTGCTCGATAGTGTCCATTGAAAATCGAAAAACGAGTAATTTTTCTTTTGCTTTTCCCTCTTTTTTAAATTTGTCTACTGCAAATATTTTTTTTAGTAAAAAGTTCCCAAAATAGTAATAGTGCCGTTTTGGGAACTAAACTGCTTAAAAATTTCAGATTGTTTATCATTGACAATTTTATCGGTTTTTTACTCCTTTTTGGTATTCTTTTTCCCGACACAACTACACTATCAACACTATCGAGCGAAGCTAGATAGTGGAGCACACTGACTACTCTCAAACCTCGACACTATCGAGCAGAGCGAGATGGTGGAGCAACACTTTGTAGCGATACTAGTAGTGACACTAGTAGCGACACTATCGAGCAACACTTTGTAGCGATACTAGTGATGTCGATCTCAGATGAAAAAGGATTTTGCTCTAATGCTGGTAATGTTGATCTCAGACGATAGTGTTTACAATGTTTTTGCACTCGGATGGGAGAGCCTTGTGCCCCACTATCGAGCAGTGCGAGATAGCGTCGTAAGTCAGTGTTGCCCACTATCGAGCAGTGCGAGATAGCGTCGTAAGTCAGTGTTGCCCACTATCGAGCAGTGCGAGATAGCGTCGTAAGTCAGTGTTGCCCACTATCGAGCAGAGCGAGATAGTATCATTAGTCAGTGTTGCCTCACTATCGAGCAGAGCGAGATAGTGTCGATTGTTGGTGGAAGCTAGAGTGCTCCATTATCTCGCTCTGCTCGATAGTGTCGATTGTTGGTGGAAGCTAGAGTGCTCCATTATCTCGCTCTGCTCGATAGTGTCGATTGTTGGTGGAAGCTAGTGTAAATAGATGAAAGAGTCTAGACATCTCCGCTCAACTAGTCTCAGAAGCATAGATACAAACATAGGTTGTCCAAATACAATTATTCTAAAGTATTGCGGAAAGAGTGCATTTTCATCTCTTTGTGATTTGCAACTATTGCAAAACCTCGAGTTTCGTGACAAACACTATCGAGCAAAAAGAGATAGTAGAACAACATTGACAAACACTATCGAGCAAAAAGAGATAGTGGAACGACATTGACAAACACTATCGAGCAAAAAGAGATAGTGGAGCAGCATCGACTAATGACGCTATTCAATGTGCACTCTTTGCTATGGAGGAACGAGATAGCAGAAAGTACCGCTTTGCTCCATTAAATGATAAAGTTTGTCTTTGGCTCTTTATGCACGACAATGGAGGAGGATTTAGGAGCCCGATAGAGGAAAAGGATCTAGGAGTGTCGGTGGAAGTTAGTGCACCACTATCTAGCAACGCTATCGAGCGACACTATCGAGCGACACTATCGAGCGGCACTATCGAGCGGCACTATCGAGCGAAGCGAGATAGTGGAGAAACACTGTAGAAAAAAAGGAGAAATGGGGGTGTTACATTAAACACTATCGCGCTCTGCTCAATAGTGTCTAGTGGTAGTTTGTTACAACACTATCTCGCTCTGCTCGATAGTGTCTAGTAGTTTGCTACAATACTATCTCGCTCTGCTCGATAGTGTTCATAGTGGAGCAATATTCAGTAGCTTGTCACGACACTATCTCGCTCTGCTCGATAGTGTCGTGTTCGATAGTGTTTGCTCGATAGTGTTTGCTCGATAGTGTCTACCTTTTACGTAATTTTCATTTTTCTTTCCCATTCGACACTACCCATTCTCGCACAAGAACCTTCTAGTAGATTCTATTATAGCTTTAGTTTATACATAACATAGAAAAATAGATAAGATAATACTACTCAGTAGCTTGTTACAACACTATGGAGCAGAGCGAGATAGTCTCTGCTCGATAGTGTCTGCTCTGCTCAATAGTGTCTAGTAGCTTCCTACAACACTATCTCGCTCTGCTCGATAGTGTTCGATAGTGTCTAGTAGCTTCCTACAACACTATCTCGCTCTGCTCGATAGTGTTCGATAGTGTTCGATAGTGTCTAGTAAACTCCGGGTAAACTCATTACCTCCGTCAAAGTAATTCCCGCCCGAAAAAACATTTATTATTACTATTAATATTTTTTTCCTTTGTAAAAGCAGGTCGATAAATTTGAGCTCTAGCGCCCAGCCGCATAACGCCAAAAACAACTTTACTAACCTGACCTTTATAAACCTGGCCTTAACTAACTGCTATTTTTTATTTGGGTTTTTTGAATCATCTTTTTTCCCTTCTGCTTATAGTGGGGCATTTCACAAGGAGAGCTATTGGCTTTATATAAAGGAGAGCTACTGGTTATAAAGGAGAGCTACTGGTTATAAAGGAGAGCTACTGGTTTTATATAAAGGAAAGTTTTTCAAATTAAACGCTGATCACGCTTGGGTTTATTTGGTTTAGTACGCTTATTGGTCCTATTAGGTTTATTACGCTTATTTGGTCTGAGGTTATTATTGGCCATTTCATAATTGGTGCTAGGTCAGGTCACTAGTCATTGCTGCTTAGTGTCTACTCAAGTGTCAAGGTCGGGTCACTCATTGCTGCTTAGTGTCTACTCAAGTGTCAAGGTCGGGTCACTCATTTTTCCTTAGTGTCTATCAATAGTGACAAGTCAGTATGGTTAGAGATACTTATTATTACGATATACTATCGGTATCACCTACTGTCACAGTAGAAGAGATATCCCGTGCTTACAAAAGACAAGCACTACGCTGTCATCCAGACAAAACAAACCATGATCCGCTTTTAACTGAAAAATTCAAAGAAATGACTCGAGCTTATGAAGTTTTGAAAGACTCGAAACAGCGACATATCTACGATAAGTATGGTATAGAAGGGTTGGAGCGTATAGCCGTTGACGACTCAACGCCACCGCCCTCACCACTGCACCAACACCAACACCAACACCAACACCAATCATATGAGTTTGAATTTGGTGCTCATCCTTTTTACACACACAGTGGGTTCCCAGCATATCGTCATCCTTTTGGTGACAACAACAACAGCAGCAGCAGCAGAGCCAGCAGAAATATGGCTGGTGGAAACGATTTCTTCTCCCAGGTATTTCAAGACATAAATACAATGTTTTCCAATTCAAACACTTTTTTCACTTCCCAATCGTCAACTAGTGGTGGATCCTATCAAACACGCTCTACATCATCATCTACTACTTCCAATTCTTCTTCACAGCCTTTATTTGGTGCAACCACAATGAAAAAAATTGTAAAACCATATGGGGAACCTATTTATAACCAACAATACAAAGGAGAAGATATCCATCATCAATGTGATGTAAGTTTAAGTGACTTGGTCTATGGTAAAACCATCAAATTGTCTTTATCTAAGAATGTAAAATGTACCAATTGCCAAGGTTACGGTGGACTTAACCCCGAAGTATGTAAAACTTGTTTGGGCTCAGGAAAAGTAATGACTATACAATATAATAATTTCACTCAGCACCGACAAACAGGTTCGTGTCGAACTTGTCAAGGAGTAGGCATATATATCAAACCTGAGCTCAAATGCATGTACTGCCAAGCATCAGGATATAACGAAGAAACGAAAATTATCAAGATTATTGTTCCACCAGGTACTAAAACAGGTGACAAAATCATCCTCAAGGGTGAAACCGACGAAGGGAGAAATATTATCCCAGGAGACTTGATTGTAGAAATTCGTCAAAAACCACACCAATACTTGACTAGGAAAAATGATGATTTATATATGGATTACAATTTAGACTTGAAAACCGCTTTATTAGGTGGCGAAATTATGATTGCTGATTATTTGCGTGTGGGACAGTTTCTCAAAATCTATATCAATTCACATGGACATGGTAGTTTGAATGGAGAGAAAATACAGCAGGGCGAAGTTTTGGGAACTATAAACTCTGGTGAACCAAAAGTCGTTAAGGGGTTGGGTATGCCCATTAATAATGAGATATTGAACAATGGTGGAATCATTATACAAAGCAAATCAACAAATGAAGCTTCCTCTTTACTGTTTTCAAATTTCAAACGAGGTAATCTATATATCAATTTCCATGTTCAATTGCCTTCAATTAACGAATTTTCAAAACAAGAATTGATAAATCTACAAAATGTGTTACCCAACAAGTCTTCTTCATATATTCCAAAAACAACAGAACGAGTTATTGAATCTCACTTGTCAAATATTCCAGGAACGAGTAAGGCTAATCCTATTCATATTGATTTCACACCAAGCAGATCTTCAAGCCCTGGAAAGAGACACCATTACAACGACGACAACTACGACAACTACAACAACAATAGTAATGATGATGTTTTAATGAGTACAGGCGACAATGAACCTGTAAGAAAACATCCTGAGTATGCTGATGCAACTGATGAATTAACTACCAGATTAAGGAGTGCTAACACCGCTACTACTTCAACCGCTGCTGCTACTACTTCAACTGCTGCTGCTGCTGCTACAACTACACCTTCTTCCAACCCTTCTGCCGCTGTTCCTCCCTCTCACCCAGAGCCAAAAAGAAGAAGATTTGATAGTGGATCTACACGCCACGAAATCCCTAGTGCTATATAAGTACAGGGACTTGATTCCTAGTGCTATAAGTACAGGGACCTGATCCCTAGTGCTATAAGTACAGTGTCGGTGGCAGCTAGCGCTATAAGTACAGGGACTTGATCCCTAGTGCTATAAGTACAGCGTTGGTGGCAGCTAGTGTGCTCCACTATCTCGCTTCGCTCGATAGTGTCGCTCGATAGTGTCGCTCGATAGTGTCGATAGTGTCGATAGTTATATAGAATATCCTGTAACGAACTCACGATAAGAATAACCATAGAACCATGGGCATCCCGTCCCGTTGGTGCAAAATTCTCTCAGTTGAAGTGCGCTTGTTGAAAAAAAAGAAACTAGTGATATAAATTGGAACCCAAAGATTGAAGTAGAGTTGTTAAACATATTGGGATAGGAGTAGTTATAGCCACTTCATACGGGAGCCAATGCCATCGCCACCGTCGATTCTTGATGCTTCACTAATTAAAGATCTTTCCAACCATATTTATGAGAAGCGGAAAGCCACTGCTTTTCAAATTGAGTCGATTACTAAAACCGCTCTAGCTCGAAATGATTCACAAACAATTTATCGAATAATCCAAGAGTTGACTCAGCTTACGACTATATCAGGTGGTGGATCGGGTGGATCATCGTCTAGTTCCAACTCCAATTCCGGGAAAATGGGCGCTATAACCGCCTTGGGAAGTGTTTCTGTTGCCTTGGGGTCCTTTGCCATTGCTTATTTTCTTGAAGATATAATCAAGCCTATATTTGCTACTTTCAAAGATACTGATGCGCGAGTTCGATATTACGCTTGTGAGTCCTTGTACAATGTGGCCAAGATTGCAAGAGGCGAGATTTTGCTTTATTTCAATGAAATCTTTGACGTTTTATGTATCTTGGTGAGTGATGTTGAGTCTAGTGTCAAAAACGCTGCTGATATTTTGGATCGATTGATTAAGGACATAGTTAGTGCTAAAGCTACTAATTATGTTAGTATATTGAATGGACAAGAGGAGGAAGAAAAGAGCAATGGAGGTGGAGGTCTGGGTCTAGGTGGAAGAGGAAATGGAAAAGGGAAATGGAAAGAGGAGGAGTTGATGATGTTTAGAAATAGATCAGTGGTTGATGCACAAGGAAACACTATACAAATCAACCATCGACAGGATCCGAGTAAAGCTTTCCAATTACCCAAATTCATACCTACGTTATTGGAAAGAATGTATACTGTTGACCCGTTTACTAAGAAATTTTTATTGCTGTGGCTTGAATTGTTCAACGATATACCTAATCTTGAAGTTATTTCATTTTTGCCTAATTTCTTAAACCCATTGATTAAGTTTATCTTGAACGGTGCTCCACAAGATATCAAATTGGAGACTGAGAATTTATTGGATGTGTTTTTGAAGGAAATGAGGAGAATTGCTACGGTGAAGTTGGAGTTGAAGAAGAAGAGAAAGGAAGAAGAGGAGAAGAAAAAGAAGAAGGAGGAGGAGGAGGAGAAGAAGAAGAGGGAGAGGGAGAAGGAAAAGGAAAAGGAGAAAGAAAAAGAGGTGGGGGAAAAGGTGGTGGAGGGGAAAAGGGAGAAGAAAGAAAAGGAAGGAAAGAAAGGAGATGAAATAAAGACAGATTTAAATAACAGGGAAGTTGAGGAGGAGGAGGAGGAGGAGGAGGAGGAGGAGGAAGTGGATGAAGAGGCAAGCATAAAATCTGATGATACCACAATTGTTAGAAAAAAAGAAGTTGTTCAGGTTCAAACTATTCCAGAAGATAACGACGACAATCTTGATGATCTCGAACTTGAAGAGGAAGTCGTATTTGGACAAGACATTTACATTGATTACCTGAAGATTATCAACATTCTTCTTTCCTTTCTTCAATCATTTGGACAACAAAATACTAAAAGTAAAAAAGATTTTGCCCTTGACTCTTATGAAACTTATTGCGACATTCAACACATTTGTATTAGATGGCTACAGGAATTAATTGATATTGCACCTCAAGATATGGTTAATAGCATACCTGAATGTGTGGCCATAATCTTGAAGAATATTTCAATCACTGATGAGCAACAAAATTACGAACTACGCGATCAACTAATCAAGTTCAGTTTCAGTGTTCAAACCTTTTTAAATAAGTTTCATAATGATATTGAATCATTTGATTCTTATGGATTAAGCAAAGAGAGCTTGTCCCTCTTCAATTTAGTACAATTACCACAGACTTTGACAGCTATTATCAACGAGTATTTGATGCCCTCGCCAGGAAGCAATAACGAGTTATCAAGGATAACCTCTTTAGAATGGCTTATATTTATTTATGAACGTGTACCTCAAGATTTCCTTGAATTTTTCCAATCAAAAGAAAACCAATTTGAGTTAACAGACTTTTTAAAATATGATACTAGCAACGAAGTGATTCTAAAAGTGTTACTATTATTGGCCAAGATTTCCGAATCGAATCAAGAATTCTTTAAAGATTTTGTAGTAAAATTGATTAAATTGTTCAAAATTGAAGGATTTGAAAAATCAATAAAGGTTGAGTTTATAATTCGGAAATTGTGTCTCAGCTTGAATTCGGAGATTATTTTTACTACCCTATCTGAAGTACTTCAGCAGCAGCAACAACCACTAACCTTGGCTAGTTTAGAATTCTCCAATATGATGATCATCACATTAAATAACATCCTACTCACCTCATCCGAACTATTGCCATTTCGAAAGAAATTGAAAAACTTGGACATTCGAAATAATGAATCCGATTTGATCTTATTCACAAATTTATTCCAAAGTTGGTGTTTTGATCCATCGAGCGTTATTCTGCTTTGTTTGCTAACTTCAAATTATCAGCTATCTTATATGATTATTAAGAATTTGGCGGAATTTGAAATCACATCTCAGTTGCTTATACAATTGGATGTATTGATTCAGTTATTGGAACTGCCTATATTTGTTAAATTACGTTTACAACTATTAGAACCTAAGGAATACCCTGATTTGTACAAGAGTCTTTATGGATTATTGATGATTTTACCACAATCTACCACCTTTATGAATTTAAAAAACCGGATTAGTACAGTTTGTGATTTTTCAAAGGAAGATAAGTCGGGTGTTTTGGAAGCTAGCTCGAGTGAAGGGAAAATAAAAGGCAACAAGGAGGAGGATTCTACTTATGAAACAAAGGCAAAGGAGAGAAACTTGGAGTTGTTGAGAAAATTCATGAGTATTCAAACACGATTTGAAGAATTAATGAATTCAAATTCGAGGTGATGGATACATAATCAAGTAGGACTAGATATACTTGATGCTTAGCTTAAATAAATGCGTTGTTTTTTTTTTTAGATTTTTAGTTAATTTTGCTTCTCTTTTTTGGATAGTTTTAATCCAGTTAACCAAAAATACCCAAAGAAGAACCAAACGATCTCCTTTACTTAGTTGTGGAATCATTAGTTTGATTTATCATCAAGGATTCTAATTCTTTCACAACCGAATTGTTTGAAATATAACTGTTAGTCGAACCTTGCAAGCGTGCTGACATGGCTGTGGTGGTGGCTGTGGAGGTGAAAGTAGATGTGCATGAAGTGATTTCGGTTACTAATGAATTTGGTCGTTTTTGTGGAATAAGATAGTATAGATTAGGTGAAATTGCGTTTCTTGGAGATGCCATTAGTGATGCTTTTGCCTTTGCATTTTCCTCTATTGATTTTTGAAAATTTGCTGGTGTGGCACTTAAACTAAGATGAAGGAGAAGATGCTGATAAGGATTATAATATTCTTTTGAAATGTCTTTATAAATACCGGGGTTTTGAAGAACTAGATCGTCTTTACTAAGTGGGGCAAGTGAAGTTTGTAGTGGATTCCCCTCATAGTTTGACTTTTTTTCAAGTTTCCTTTTTTCCTCATGGTCATTTCTTGATGAAAATGTAGAGCTAGTATATGAAGAAGACAGTGAAGATATTGTTGAATGAGAATGGTAAGATTCCGAGTGAGAACTACTTGCTTCTTGGCCATTCCCCAATTCATACCCGTTTTGTTTCAACCGATATTCTATCTTAGCAGCAACGGTTCTCCTCAAAAGTATTTCCAATAATAGCTTTACATTCATTTGATTGATATCTCGTTTTTTCAAAAGCAGACAGTCGCGAGGATATAGGGCTTGGAATTTAGGAGGTGTCTTCAAGTTTGCCTTTTGCGATTCGTGAAATGCCTTTTTTCTATAGTTTTCATAAAAGATATCCATTATTTGGATTGAATGAGATTTTGCATATCGGGGATAGCGGTGAATATCGAGTGGTTGCAGAGTACCGGGTGTTTCCCCTATTTTGAATTGTAGTTTTGGGTGCGGATTAAGTAGTTGTGTATAATACCAGTACTTTGAGGTTTTTGGCAAAACTGAATTGATTAGAGTTCCGTAATTCGTTAGTGCTAGAAAAGCGTCTAGCTTTTGTCGTGATGTGAAATTGGCGGATTGTGGGGATGAACAAACAGCACTATATTTTAGTGACTTCTTTCTTAAGATAGGGAAAACAAATTTTGGCCACCAGGACTTTGATTGTTTTGCACCGGGTTGCTGCTGGTCCTGGTCCGCCGCCTCATGCAGTAGTAGCTGCTGCTGCTGCTGCTGCTGCTGCTGTTGTTGTTGTTGTTGTTGTTGTTGTTGTTGTTGTTGTTGTTGTTTCACCAGATGCGGTCTCTTAATGGTCCTGTTCCTCAGTCTTATACGACCTCTGTTTCTCAAAGTGGCCAGTCGCGATACCATAGATCCTGTTCTTTGTAAAGAAGAGGAGTCAATTAATGTGACTATAGGGCATTGTTGTTGATCAGTAGGCTCCCTTGTTGGCAACACAGTACCCTTTTTTGTTTCTATAGTTTGCGCTATTGACTCATACCGCCGTGGATTGTGCCATTGCTGATTTCGGTTGGTTCCATTTCCACCAAGCTTATCTCGTTTCTGAGCCGCGTCTGCAGCAATCGTAGCAGAAGTATCTGCAAAAGTGGCTGGTGCATTGGGATCGGTGTATATCACTTGGAAAGGATTTACCACGTTTGATTGAGGGTTGGAGATAGTTTCTGATCCAATTTGAGTAGCCATGCCTTGACTCAAGTTGGATTTGTCACCGGCATTATCTTGACTCAAGTTGGATTTCTCACTGGCATCCCCCCGACTCAACCTGGATTTCACGCTGGCATCCCCCCGACTCAACCTGGATTTCACGCTGGCATCCCCCCGACTCAACCTGGATTTCACGCTGGCATCCCCCCGACTCAACCTGGATTTCACGCTGGCATCCCCCCGACTAAAGTTGGATTTCTCACCGACATTACCTTGACTCAAGTTGGATTTCACACCGACATTACTCTGACCTTGTGTAAATGGGTCAATTGTAGAAGATGAAACAATCGATGCATGAGATGACCTCGGTATTATCTCTGCCATTCTATAACCAAAAAATACCAAAAGCAAAACACACACACATACACAAATCTTTTCCTTATGACATTGGAAAACTCCGGGCCTATTTCGCAGGGTCTCTAAACGTGATCTGATAGTATTTAGATTGGTAAGAAAGCGGTATAAGTATCTCAAATAGTAATTAATAATAATTCAATGTTTTCATCTCTTTGACGAATAAATTTCGGTTGTATGCAGACACGACTTCCGGTCAAGGGTACGTTTTTTTGCAAAACCGGTTCACAAGACACTATCAGACACTATAGAGGAGAGCGAGATAGTGGAGAGGCAAGAACTGGTGAGGACACTATCGAGCAGAGCGAGAAAGCAGTTCAAACTGTAGTGGTGCAAAGACTTGATGGGTAATTCCTAGTAGGTGACGAAGAAACGGTTATCTGGTTCAATTATTGTATCACGTGAACTACTCTTTGTAAATTTCCGGAACGCTATTGCGACCTTTGCGACACTAGCGACACTAGCGACACTATCGAGCAGAGCGAGATAGTGTTGTGAGAAGCTACTAAGTGTAGGTGGCAGCTAGTCAGTGCTACTCCACTATCGAGCAGAGCGAGATAGTGTCGATAGTGTCGATAGTGGCAGCTAGTCAGTGCTGATTCACTATCGAGCAGAGCGAGATAGTGTTGTGAGAAGCTACTAAGTGTAAGTGGCAGCTAGTCAGTGCTACTCCACTATCTCGCTTCGCTCGATAGTGTCGATAGTGTCGATAGTGTCGATAGTGGATAATCCGAGTGTCTCCAAGTCTATATTACCTGGATGTACCATGATAAAATACGAATGTAACATTTTGTTGGTAACATTCTATTAGTAACATTTATTATCCTTGAAATAATAAAAAAGCAAAATGTAATACTTGTTATCCCCTTTATATTGATTAAATAAACCAGTAGGTAAATGTCCTTATATTTCAGTTAATGAAGGGCAAAGAATCATCTACAAAAGACATTGAGAACTAGCTAAAAAACAAGTAGAGTATTTTACTATCGAGTACAGCGACATTGTAGAGCAAGTCAGTGTCGCTAGTGAATGTCGCTAGTGAATGCCGCTAGTCAGTGTCGCTAGTCAGTGCTGCTAGTCAGTGCTGCTCCATAGTATCGTAACTCACCAAATCATTCAAAAAGTGTATTCCTCGAAATCTGTTCAAGTATAGATCTCTCTAAATTTGTATATTCCTCCAAATCTGTAAAGAGTAAACTCTCCTAGATTTGTATATTCCTCCTAGATTTACATATTACTCCTAGATTTACATATTCCTCCTAGATTTACATATTACTCCTAGATTTGTATATTCCTCCTAGATTTGTCCAAGTCTGTTCACGTGTAATGCACTCCTTTTAGACGATACGACATATTCTAAAAATGTCTCGACTCGCTTTGGCACTACAACAAGAAAAATTATCTACTACTTCACATTGGAGAGAGAGACAAGGAAAAAAAAAAAACACATACAAGAAATCACTGTTTTTGATCTTGATTGAGTTTTTTATATCGATCAATTGGATACTCACCAGGCATTTAGGAAGTTATAGTAAGAAATATGGATAAACTCAAGGAAGTATGTATCAATTATTGTAATTGACCACTCTTCTCCCACCCCTCTTCTGCAAAGAATAGGAAGAATGTGTAGGAACAAGACTAATAAAGACGGAAGGTAGACTCAAATAAAGGTGGAAGGGGTCAAGGGGCAGGGGGTCAAGGACGTTTCCAGGAGGCAGGCCACGACACAGGTCTTGGAGGCTAACCTTCTCTGATTAAATACTAACCTCTTTTTCCCATTTTCTCTTTTTATTTTAGAAAATCAACAATTTGAAATTAGATTCTGAAAAGTGGCAAGAAAAGTCAGACGAGTTGGCAGAGAGAATCAAAGAATTGGAACAGGAAAGTTTGGAAAAAGACAACCAAATTCAAGCATTAACTAGAAAAAACCAAGTCTTGGAAGATGAAGTTGAAAAATTAGAAGCTAATCTTAATGATATTAAACAAGCTGCTGACGAGTCTCATTCTCTTAAAACCTCAAATGAAAACTATACCAAAAAGAATCAAGTTTTGGAAGAAGAATTGGAAGAAGCTGATAAGAACTTGAAAGAAACTACTGAAAAATTGAGAGAAACTGATATCAAAGCTGAACAATTGGAAAGAAAAGTTGCTAGCTTGGAAAGCGAAAAGGAAGAACTTGAAAAGAAATATGAGGACTTGACTGAACAATATAATAGCGCCAAGGCTGAATTGGATGAAATCAGTCAACAATTGGAAGCTATTTAGAGAAAAAAAAAGTGTCCACTTGCACCGTTTGGATTCCAATTCCTTTTTGTATATGGGTCTTCTTTGAAGGGTTGAGAAATAAAAATTAATGCATATTCTAATAGCTATTAAATCATTGGACTTTTGTAAGTTCCAGATAGTGGGGTCATTACCCATTAACTATTATCTCTTTACCGGTATATACAACCTAATTAATAACTCACCGCGGCTATGAGGATAATTATATTGAATTTACCTTGCGCTGTTGAAAAGGAGTGTTTCACAAGTATACTAGAGGAAAAGGAGACGATGAGACAAAAAAAGCAAAAGACAAGCAGAAAAGTAGAAAAGAGTTTAGTTGACAAGAAGAGTTCAGTAAGGAAAGTTCAGGAAACAAGGTTCGTATGTGTGTGTGTGTGGGGGGGGGAGAAGCCGGAGAGCATAAACCTTATACAACTGTGCTCCACTATTGATCAGAGCGAGATAACACAATTAAATATTAATAATACATAATTAGTATTGTTTACACACTGACTAGCTGCCCAACTATTGAGCAGAGCGAGATAGTGGAGCACACTGACTAGTGACAATATCTCGTCTTGCTCCATAGTGTCACTATAGTTGATTTATCATAGTGTCACTATAGTTGATTTATCATAGTTTCATATTGCAATGACAACCCTACGCACAACAATGCAACAGTCAACCAAATTTGGTAAAACATGCCGAATCTCTTAAAAAGTAAATACTGAAATTGTAAAACAAGGCAAAATAAACAGACCCTGTTAAGCCAAGGAGGATTTGATATTGCCTCGGTTGAGGCAATATCTAAATTGAATAATAAGCTTGAAATTAAACAGAGAAGCAAGGAACAATAAAAAAGTTAAAAACGCAATCTACGAGTAAAAATGTTAAAAGTATAACCTTTATAGAAGTCGTAGTGGTGCTGGCGGCACTGGTGCTGGCGGTGGTAATCCACAATGCTTAATTAATTTAATTCAAGTAAAAGAAAATAAAATAAAAAAAATAAAAGTCAAATTTCTCATCAGGTTATATAGTGAAATTTATACTTGTACTTATCTTGAAACTGATACTTAAGCCACAACAATTTCACGTCTATAGAACTTAGAGCATTACTAGAATAGCATTACTAGAGTAGCATTAACCATAAACTATTAGGCATCAACCATAAACTGTTAAGCATCAACCATAAACTGTTAGGCGCATCAACGAGCTAGGTCTTTACAGAGTGGAGATACCTCTCTTTTTCTGGTTTTTCCTATCCCTTTTATTTCCGATTAATTTTTTGTCATGTCAATAACCACACTGCTTAGGTCACGTTTTAGTGTAAACTTTGAGTCAAGTCAAGTCGGTGAAGAGTGTCCTGTCCAAGGCTGTCGACAAAGGCAATACGCTTCAGATTCAGGGCAAGAGGACAGAGGACAGAGAAGACAGAAAAAACAGAAAAACCCTTTGGATCAGCAAACCCTTTTGGATCAGCAAACCCCTTTGGATCAGCAATACCCTTTGGATCAGCAAACCCTTTTGGATCAGCAAAACCCTTTGGATCAGCAAACCCCTTTGGATCAGCAAACCCCTTTGGATCAGCAAAACCTTTTGGATCAGCAAAACCCTTTGGATCAGCAATACCCTTTGGATCAGCAATACGCTTCATATTCAGGTCAAGAGGACAGAATACAGAGAAGACAGAAAAAACAGCAAACCCCTCTGGAACAACTAAGACGACAAGAAGGCGAGGAGTTGTCAGAGCAGTCAGAGTTGGAGCTGGATTCCGGGTTGACTCGCCAACTAGTCGAGCAACAAGATTTTGAGTATCAAGAACAACAACTACCCACTTATGAAGTGTCGCAACTTATACATCAACGGCTGGAATCAACTCCTAATTTAAGTACAAGCTTTTCATCACTGGCTTTCTATACACCTATTCCATCACTACCCATTCCTAGAACCACGTCTATGCTACAGCTGAATTCTTCCGACTCATCCATCATATCAACCAATCTTTACCAAGCACCACCACATTCACTTTATAGTTCTTCCGAATCAAGCTGCAGTATATCAAATATGGCAATCAAAGCAAGAAGCAATAAACTACAACAAAATTCAATAAAAAAACTCGGCTTGAAATTTTTGAATGCCCGTCAACATTTTCTTCTAGCATCATGTCGCAACGTTTCCCTAATTCCTCCACTATTTGGACTATATCAATCTTGGAAACGTATATATTTCGATAATGAAAATTTGAGTCCACATGTTCCTCAAATCACTACTGCTAGGGGGTTGGAACATTTTTCAACTGGCGTTTGGTGCGTCGTTGCTGCATATTTATCATACTCCATTTTAGACTCGTTGATAATTCGATGGATAGTAACTTATTCTGCATCAGCTGCGATTGTTCGAGTACTATCTATGTCAGCTATGATTATCACTTTTGAGTTGTATTTTGTCAGCACGTTTAGTGCTGAGGGATACAAGTACGCATTGCATATTTGGATTTTGATTAGCTGCTTGTTGACATTGATTTTTATAGTGCAGAATTTCGTTACCCTGAATCTACAATTAGCTAGCTATGGTGGCACTAATAAAGGTGACAACCTACATCAAGTTGCAAACGGAGGGGGAATGAGAACTGTATACGTTTCACAAGAACCAAATGGAACAGGCTCAAATGAAGAACTAAAAAGGCATGCTAGAAAGGTAAAAAAGCCTAGAAGATTTTTCGACCTCTACAATATTGTGGTATTTGCAGTTGTTCCTGTTGGATTGGCTAGTTTCATCACCATGATTGGATTACTTCGGTCGCTATTAATTTTGAGAATTGATGTAGACCAAGCCATTCATGCACAGGTCTAATCTTGATAAGATAAATTTTCCTTTTGTATCTTAAAGGAGTTTGAACTGTTTTTTTTTAGCTTTCAGTTCTCTTGTTATACTTTATTATATTGAGATCATTAATAGTCACCTTGAAAATGAGTTTGACTCTGGAACCCGCCGCAAAATGTACATTTGCACCGGCGGCTGGTATATGGTATATGGTAGCGCGCACAACAAAATCTCATCACTATAAATACATCCACAACGAGTGCCATCTTTTTTTTCATAAATGGGTTTTTTTACCCTTTTCTTTTCTCTTTTCTTCAATCAAAAAGTAAAAGGGAGGAATTTGCCACGACGAGATAATGTAAATGCTTCCAAGTTATGCTCGTTGCCATTTTTTTACAAAAATGTTTTTAATTAAAAGACCCTCCCGAGATTAAGCCAGTGTCCCTTTTATAGGAAGTTTGAAATTTGTAATTTAGAGAATTTTGAATGTCGATATATTGAAGGGAACATATTTTGTAAGTATACTGTGTAACGTAAATTGTAGTAGACACTGCCGACATTATCGACACTATCAACACTATCGAGCAGAGCGAGATAGTGGAGCACACTAGTAGAGACTAGTCGACACTATCGACATTATCGACATTATCGACACTAGTCGACACTATTGACACTATTGACACTATTGACACTATCGACATTATCGACATTATCGACACCTTGATTCTTGTTAAGTTGTAGGCTGCGTTGCTGTTAAACCCGTGTCTGTATAGACAGTGCTGCTCCACTATCTCGCTTCGCTCGATAGTGTCTATGAAACGATTCTGTAATTTTCCAGAGATGATCTCCGCTTGACACTACAATCCTGTTTAGGTCTTTACTCTTTGTTTTTTAAATTAACTATACATTACAAAATAAAACCTATAATTCCCTGGATCTTTCATATCTATCTTCAAAAGTCACCTAAATATACTGGGATTCCTCTATGCAAAACACCTTTGCTCTCCTTTTCTCTCTCACAAGTGAGTTTGTTGAACTATTCTTAATTCTCGCATGTAAAAATCTTTCCCTATATCTTTTCTCTCATTTTGATGGTGATGGTGATGGTTTTATCTGTATTTGTGGAATCCAATATCATTGGCCTTTTCTCTAAAACATTGACGACATAAATCTAAGCCGTATTTTCTGATCAAACCAGAGTGTGATGAACAATGACGACATTGTCTTGAACCTTTACCATAGTTTCTTGGGTGTGAGAACCAAACGTTTTCGTGAGCCATTTTTACAATACTATAAAGAAAATGGGTTAGTATTTCTGTACAAATTATTGAATGTGCCCACTATCGAGCAGAGCTAGTCAGTGTGTTTGAATGTGAGAGTCTATGCAAATGGGTGTAGAAAAGGAGAAAGCAAACACATTTTTCAACCTCTATAGTCCTATGGCCTAAACAGCCTCAACAGCCTCAACAGCCTCAATAGCCTCAACAGCCACCACAAATCATTTGGCAATAACTTCAATTCCAATGGTGTCCATACCCTCTTTTTAATTTTGCTTCAAAAAGAGGGTACTTCTTCCCCTTTTCTCAAACTAGCCAGGGCAAACATGTCCTCCCTCTTTTCACACTTTGCCAAACGTGTGTAGCACTTTCCCTCTTATATCTATCTCCTTAAGAAACTGCCTCACTCACATGGTACATTCAAAACTCCTCTCCCCTCTTAGTGTTACATACTATCTTAACGTTTATCGATGGTATATTACTATAACTTAACCAATGTTGAAAAATCACTAACATTTTTTTCTAATGTTATTTGGCGCGCTTCCAATCGAGTAAGCTACACTGAAGTTTTGTGTAACAATTGTTCTCTCTCTCTCTCTCTCTCTTTCTTTTTTTTTTTTTCTCAAAAAATTGAAAAAAATTGGAAGAAAAAAACAAATAGTGAAAGGTGTGTCAGGTGATATAAAGTGTCTATAGCCCTTGTTTGCATCACGTGTATATCACATGCTATATTGCTACCATGTCATCGCGCGCGTGAAACCTTTCCACTTTGATTTCATCTCATCTCATCTCTTTGGAGGTTATATGAACCCCTTGTATCGCAACATTGAGAACTATATCTCATTGCAAGAAGAGCGCTCAAGGTGAAAGGAGAATATATGCCATGGCAAGGGGATTGAACTCTCACAGAAAGACTCTTAAGAAAGACCACAAACCATTTAAATCGAAGCATGCTACAAAAGGTCAATTAAAGAATCAATTTAAAGGAAAGGTTGAAAAAAAGTCAGGTACAAGCTTAGGAAACAATGTCCCCAAACCATTAAGTAAAACTGCGAGAAAAAATCTTGCTAGACAGTTGAAGGAGAATAAGATCTTGGAGTCGAAACTAACCAAGAAGTTGTTTGAAGGAAATTCAGGGGCTCAAAAGATCATTACAATAATATGTTTAACAAATGATTTGTCACCAATCCAAATAGCTAACCAGTTATTCAACCAAGATGAAGACACTTGCACAGAATTTCAGTACCCAGGAGTAGTAAACCTCAATGTCAAGAAGATGAGGTCAAACTTGAAAGTGATATTACCCAATCAGAACAACATTTTGCATATACTTGATGCAGCAAAGAATTCCGACTTTGTTGTATTTGGAATTTCAGCAACAAAGGAAATTGAACCGGAACATGGTGAAACCATCTTGCGAACGCTATTGGCACAAGGTATAGGCTCTGTTATTGGAGTCTTGCCAAATCTTGTAACTGCATACCCTAAAAGAAATTTACAACTTGACGTTAAACAATCTTTACAGTCATTCTTCAATCATTTCTTCCCTGCTGAGGATAAATTGTATTCATTGGAACTGGCTTCCGATAACGCAAACTGTTTGAGATACATATGTCAGAAATTTCCCAGTCTGGTTTCTTGGAGGGACTCGAGAGGGTGGGTTGTTGCTGACAAGGCTGAATGCAGAGATCAATATGAAGGTATAATAGTGGAAGGCACTTGTCGAGGTACTGGGTTTAATGTAAATAGACTAGTCCATATTCCTGGATATGGAGATTTTCAAGTTGAAAAAATTGAAAAATTAAACAAATTGAACGGAAAGCATCGAAATGAAATGCAAATTGATGAGGATATTGAGGAATCGTATGAGCCTGATGAAAGTCAAGATACTTTGGATGAGTTGAACCCAGAACCAATTGAAGAAGTAGTGGATGAGGAGATGTGGGATGAATCAAACCCACAAGCGTCGTCATTAGGGGTGCGATCAGAGGGAAAAATTTATTTTAATGATGATGATGATGACAAAGTGAATAGTAATGGTACTGGTGGTAAGAGAATACCAAAGGGAACATCTGAGTATCAAAGTCGATGGCTTGTTGAAGATGTTTTGGACGAAGATGCATCTGATTTGGAGGTCGAGGTAAATGACGAAAACGAGGACGAGAACGCAAAGGGAGGAGTTTTCGATGAAGCCATTGATCAAAATGACCAATTGACTGACGATGCCATAACAGAATATGCAGACTCTGAAATGCATATTGACTTATCGCCAGAAGAAGAAGAACGACAATTGGAAGAAACTCGTCAAGCTGCAAAGGATGATTTGGAATTTCCAGATGAAATTGAGTTACAACCGGGGGAATCTGCAGTGGAGAAGTTGCTGTCATATAGAGGAGTCAAGTCCTTGGCTAATTGCGACTGGAAAGTAGACGAACAAGATGCTGAAAGACCAAGCATATGGAATAGATTATTACGTGTATCCAACTACAAAGCCACTAAAAACAGAGTCAACAAAGAATTCTCTAAAACCATTCAAATCTACCCTGGTGATCACATAAGATTATATATAAAAGCTCCCAAATTTGTACTCGAGAATGTCAATGTTAGTGTTAAGCCATTTTGCATTTATGAATTACTTCAACATGAGCATAAATTAGCTGTTTTGAACTTTTCGTTTGAGAGCTGGGAAGAGTACGAAAAGCCTATTTCAAACAAGGACACTATGGTAGTTCAATACGGTTTCCGTAGACAAGTCATTAACCCCGTTTTCAGCCAAGCATCCAACAACAAGAACAATGTACACAAGCAAGAAAATTTTCATCATCTAGGAAATACCACAATAGCAACAGCAATTGCTCCGATATTTTTCACAAATGCACCCGTAATATTTTTCAAACCAAGTGGAAGCGGGAATAATAACTTGAACTTGGAATTGATTGGTAAAGGAACATACTTGGGATGTGATCATACACGTATAGTGGCCCAGCGTATTGTGCTCACTGGTCACGCGGTAAAAATCCATAAGAAAGTGGTTACTGTACGCTATATGTTTTTCAATCCTCGTGATGTCAACTATTTCAAAGCAGTTGGCTTATTCACAAGATCAGGAAGACTGGGATTCATTAAGGAAAGTTTGGGTACGCATGGGTACTTTAAGGCAACTTTTGACGGCAGATTAACTTCACAAGATGTGATTGCAATGAGCTTATACAAACGTACTTGGCCTGAGATTTCTAATTTATACGAAGAGTAAAGAATCCAATTTCGGTTAACTAAGATGTGATATACCATTAAAACTTTGAGTCAAACACACAATATGATCTCTATATGAATGTACCGAAAATAAATAATCAATATATACATATATATCTGTATATATATACTAGAATGAATTTTCCAATCAAAGGCTTGAACCCAACCGAAAGAGTTTATATAAAACTTGATGATTAATAAATAATGGAAGCAAATGCGAGACAAAGTAGCATAAAATGTAAACCGAAAGAAATGGAATTTGCACCACCAGCATAGACTTCAGGTGTTGCCGGGTTAGTCACTGCTGCAGCCGATCCTGGCACTTGTTCAAGAGAAGTAGATTGTGGGGCAACTGTTTTCAAAGTGACTGGTGATGGGGTTTCTTTAGTTCCAACATGAGCAATAGCAGCGGCACTTTCACCTACCGAAATCACATTAGGGAAAACGGTGACACCGATATCGTCCTCATCTGTAGTAGTAGTAGCAGGTGGTGGTGGTGGTGATACAGAAGTGACTGTAACTTCAACTTCTGATGATGACAAGGTTGTTTGTAAGACTGTATTACTAAGAGTTACTGTCTCACCACCCGTTGCGGAATAGGTGGTTGGATGACATTCTTTGTAGTCACAAGTTGTCAAGGTTAACACAGTTGGCAATGGACAATATGTAGTGTAACCAGTTTGAGTGATTGTTGATGTGTGGACTGATTGGCTCTTTGTTGTGTAGACTTTTGTTTCAGCGATTGGTGTAGGAACAACAACTGATGTGATTGTTGTTGCATGAGTGATCACATCACCACCTGTAACTGTTTCAACAATAACTTCACCAGTAACTGTTATGGTTTGTGCTGAGCTTACCAGGATTTGTGTTGGGGTGCACTGATGATTCACACACTTGGTCAATGTAAGCACGGTACTTTCTGGACAATAAGTGGTGTAATCAGTCTTGGTAAGATACACTGTGGTTCCTCCTATAATTGCTTGCTTTGTATAAGTAGTGGTAGAAAGGGTCTTTTCTGGTGGAGGAGTAGAACATACTATTTCACCAGTAACGGTAACTGTTGTTGGTTCAGTAACGGTAATGGGAGAAGGATGACAAAGGCCATTGTTGCATTTTGTAACAGTGAAAACAGTTGACTCGGGACAATAGGTGGTATAGTCAGTAACAGTATAATAATGGGTAGTAGTAGCACCATCAGCAATCTTGTCTGGAGTTTTTGTAGTTTCTCCTACACCATTAGTGATGGTTGTAGGACACACAACCTCTCCAGTTATAGTAAGTGTAGTTTCTTCCGTAACCACGATAGTAGTGGGTGAACAAACGTGATTCTTACAACTGGTGATTGTAACAGTAGTTTCCTCGGGACAATAAGTTGTGAAATCAGTTACTGTTACTTGAGTTGTAACTACGGTACTGTTGGCGTAATAGTTCAACCCCCACGTTGGTGAAGTGAGAAGGAAAAACGTTAGAAAAGTTAAAAAGATATTCATAGCGAGCGAATTAGTAGTGAGTTTGTTGATGAGAAAAGCAAAAGCAAAAGCAAAAGCAAAAGCCTATTAGAGAATTGCCCCAGTTTAAATAGTACTGTTTTGAGGCAAATGGCACTATAATGGAATCACGTAATAGAAATTTGATAGAATGAGCTTAGAATTTGAGATTGCAAATACATGTTGCGAATAAATAGTGACTGCAAAATGTTGCGAGTAAATAGTGACTGCAAAATGTTGCAAAGTTTAAATTATGAGATTGCAAAATGTTGCAAGTTTAAGTTTGAGATTACAAAATGTTGCGAGTCTAAATCTTGAGATTGCGAATTTGAAATCTGAAATGGATATGAAACAGTTGTAGATCATTACCTTTGAATCCTTTCAAAGGAGACTCTAGGATAAATGCAAAAATATATACTAAAGCTTTCTTGTTTGATTTCTTATTTGATTGATCTTTGTTTGATATCAGTTTTGTGTTTTTTTTTGCAACCTGCAACATATTATTTTTTTTTTTTTTGGTGCCCTTAAGCGCCGCCTCTTGAATATTTTTTTCGTCTCATAAATCGTACGGTGTTGTTGCGGGGAGCGGAGGGAGGAGGAACTCTTTTGGAAGAAAAGTATATCGTACCGCAGCGATGTACATTGACAGATTTATAGAAGAGATGAGAAATCTATTTTTAAACTTGAACAATTTGCTCTCAATTAGGGGCCAATTGAAGGAAAATAGAGGCTAAATTAGGGGCCACTTGAGTGTAAATTAGGGCCACTTGAGTGTAAATTAGGGCCACTTGAGTGTAAATTAGGGCCACTTGAGTGTAAATTAGGGCCACTTGAGTGTAAATTAGGGGCCACTTAAGTGACTTAGTGTTGTAGTGTCACTAGTCAGTGCTCCACTATCTCGCTCTGCTCGATAGTGTCGATAGTGTTGCTAGTGTTGTTGCTGTCAACCATTTGTTTCTTACATGTAGAGACCCCATCACATTTCCATTTTTCGTTACCCTTTTTTCTATTTTTTTCCCATCCTTTTCTTTGCAACCAAATCATTATGAAAATACCATTCCAGTTGAAATGAATAGTACTTTACCGACACTATCAACACTATCGAGCAGAGCGAGATAGTGGAGCAACACTGACTACGCCGACTCTATAGACACTATCGACACTATCGACACTATCGAGCAGAGCGAGATAGTGGAGCAACACTGACTACGCCGACTCTATTGACACTACCGACACTATCGAGCGACACTATCGAGCGACACTCAGTAGCTTGTTACAACACTATTGAGCAACACTTTGTAGCTTGTTACAACACTATCTCGCTTCGCTCGATAGTGTTAGTGTAGTTGTCATCGCTTATAAAAAATGGTATTACTTATCTATTGCGTGCGGTATAAGAGCTTAAAACTACCGCCAATGCCTCCTTCCCTCTTTCTCTTGGATTCTTGATTTATTTTTCCGCGCCTTCCCCCCTTCCCCCTTCCCCCTTTCAAGCATCCTTCTCGGTTATCAACTACATTTATGAAAAACTACTCAAACACGGGTTTGTATAAAATTGCTTTCGCGTCGAATAATTTTCTCTAAACATTGATTATCAACTGAAAGAAATACACTAGAGCAACACTACACTATCTAGCGAAGCGAGATAGTGTTGTAACAAGCTTCTGAGTGTTGCTCCACTATCGAGCAATACTATTGAGCAGCACTATCTCGCTTCGCTCGATAGTATTGTAACAAGCTTCTGAGTTTTGCTCCGCTATCGATTAACACTGACCAGCTTGTCATAACACTATCTCGCTTCGCTCGATAGTATTGCTCGATAGTATTTCTCGATAGTATTGCTCAACCTCTTTCACTAGCTTTGTAAGCAATAAACCCTTTGAGATTATTCCATGTTTCCTCCATTCTCAACTTCATTAGAGGGTCCTTATTCTTGTCGATTTTTTTACAAACATCTCTCACACAGGGCTCAATTGCTTTAAGCTTTGCCAAGTAGTTCTTGTCAACAAAAATTTCAAAATCATAGGCAAAATCCTTATCTCCAAATATATCATACAAGGAATTGAGTGATTCAATAATTATTTCTAGGCGTATTGGATTTTTTACATCTTCGCATGCCTTGGTAATCGATGTCAATAAAAACTGCGATATGTGATATGTTGTCTCTGTGTTTTCAATCAGGGGCGCAATAGCACCCAATACCCCTAAAACACTGGGAAACAAATCGTAATTCGCGTCATTTTCCTTTAGCAACTTTTCGATTAATGCAGGAGGTATCTTTTTCACTATTAAAGGTCCTTGGCATTTGATAATAGCCCAGATAATGTTTAAACTAGATTTTTCAAAGTGACTATTCAACAAAGTTATCACTAAATCCCAAATCTTGAGCGTCTTTTCATACCACAATAGTGGAATTTTTTCATTACTCAAAAACAACCAGCTCAAATTGTTCAATGCATCTAGTACTTGGTCTTGTAAATTCAATCTTGGTTCTTGCAAAACTGTTTCTAACAACACCGTCAACATCGGTTCAATTTCGTTGAGCAATACATTCTCTATATTTTCAGTCAATCTGATTGGTTCTTCTGGCTCCTCTTCATTAACTGACATGAATTCCAAAATAGACGTGATAATTGCTAACCCATTTTCAATAGCTGAAAGCTTGGTTCGTACTTCGTTGGACACCAGCTCTTTTTCAATTGAATCGGAATGTTTATCTATAGTCTCAACTTGCATATTTGTTTTGTCAACAATATCTAACCGCTTGATTAGTTGCTCCAAATCTATACTAGTCAATATGCGATAAATATTACCCAAAATTGTGCATGATTCCATTTGCTTATTGTCACGCCGAGTTGATAATACTTCGTAATTACTAATCTTTATCCCCTCAAGGTAAACCTTGGCCAAATCGCTATCGCAATTTTCAACAAATGAGCTCAAATCATCCCACTTTTTATAAGCACTTAATTTCTCAATAAACTCTCCAGATTCAATAGAAAACTCATACAAAAACTCCAACAAGGTATTAAACAATTTACTTGATAACTTAAGTTTGCCGCTAATATGGTCTTCAACAAGCTTTAATATCAATTCTAGAACTGGATCGATTTTGGCAAATACCGCTGCGTACAATTGTTCATCACCACTTGCTAAAACTACTACTAGACTCAAAATATTCTCACAGAAATCGTATAAAAGCTGTACTTTCGACTTATCCTTGATTAAAGTATCACTTTCTCGTAGAAAGTTAAACGACTCATTGATCTTGTTCAACGCATTCTCAATAGTTGTCCAAATTCCCTGCCTCCAAAGGTGCTTGGCTACATCGCGTCCTTCTTCAATTCCCAAATTACGTAGTAATCCAAACGCTTCAACTGTAGTTTCGTCATTGGAATCGTTAAGACAAGTCTCCATGACAATTTGTACAAGCCTTTCTTTAAGCAAAAGTTGCCTCATACGTTGATCCTCGGCCAAAACAGTAATGGCTCCAAGAGCCATGGACTTGTCATTGGGTACAGTAGAACGTAATTTATTTAATAGTGGTAAAATTTTCGATTGCCTTGTTGCTTCATCTTTCTTCTTTTCTTGTTGAGAATTCAGTGTTAGTGGATTTAGTCTGGCCTTTTGGTTTCTTTTGCCTTTTCTAAGCTTCCCCATACCGAAATAGTAACTTTTTACCTTGTCAAGTAAGTAAAATATATTCTAGATTGGTACTCCCTATACTTTAATTTTTTTTTTTTTCAACCTCATCGCTCACTCGATGAGGTTGTGGCGCATTAAAGACAATGGGTTCCATTTTTTATTTTATTTTTTTCGCAGCCATTTCCTTCTATAAGGTCAATACGAATACGAAACTTTGCAAAATAGAGGAAAGAACAAACTTATTGGGATGCTATTTATTGAAAAGCTATAAAAGTAATAAGAACCGAAAAATATGTAAGAAAGCCTGGAAGCTTCTCTCAACTAAGCCGCTGCCCCCTCCCCCTCCCAAAATAAAAGCCTTTTGGGAGCGACAAAAATGATGGGAAAAAAAAATAATATCGATGATAATGATGATATAAAAAAAAAAAAACCGATAATAGCACCACCTATTCTTTTTTCTTTGGCAACTGTACCCTTTTAATCATATGACTTGAATACTACTTCAATAATGACAAGTTCAACTTTTCTGGATTTTGAGGTAATTGGAGCATCGTAAACCTTGTAAAGGTAATCATTAAGAGCTGAGTCCCAGAAGGTAGTCTTGCCGTTCAATGCCAATAACCAATTCTTATCTTCCCAAACAATCGAGAACCCTTTGGTGAACAAAGCATCTGGTTGAGTTGGTTTATCAAATTGGAATTGATGATTAGCAACAATCGAACCAATTCTTCCTTTAGAATCTTTCAATATAGTATTCTTTAAAGTATAGACATCCAAACCCTTGTAGTAGTCAACTTTTAAGAATGGGTGGTATGGCTTATAGCCAGGTTTGTAATATTTATCTTTCTTGTCGTCGTCGTCGTCGTCTCCAAATTGCACAGTGTTGTCATCCTCCTCGTCGTCGTCGTCGTCATATTCATCGTCACCACGCTTCCATTTACCTGAATCATGTTTTGGTTCAGATTTCCATTTTGGCTTGTGAGGAGGTTCACAGTACTCTTCATACTCCTTGTGATCGAATTCAAATTGACCATCATTAACTTGGAAAGAGTAGTAAATTTTACCATCGACTTTAACTCCTAATGTAAATACTTTTGGATAATATGGTTTCCAAGGAGTGTAATCGTCATAATCTCCACCACGTTTGATCAAATTGGATTGAGCTACGGCTAATAAACCAAAAGCAGCTAAAGCGGAAGTGAATTTCATGATTTATAGGAACTGTGCGTAATTAGCGAGAAAGCAAGGTTGATCTAGTTCTGGGGATAGAGAAGGGATCAAAAGAGATGTAAAAAACTAAAGAGATTCTGACTCGTTTATATATGGTAAATTGTGTTGAGCAAATAGTTACCTCTTGCTCACTTGATTGTGGACATCTACAGCAGCAATGGATGAAATACCACAGTGGTGGACATCATACAGCAGCAATGGATGAAATACCACAGTGGTAAACATCATACAACAGCAATGGATGAAATACCACAGTGGTGGACATCATACAACAGTAATGGATGAAATACCACAGTGGTGGACATCATACAACAGTAATGGATGAAATACCACAGTGGTGGACATCATACAACAGTAATGGATGAAATACCACAGTGGTGGACATCATACAACAGTAATGGATGAAATACCACAGTGGTGGACGGTTCAGTGATGCATGATATACCACAGTGGTGGATGGTTCCATGTTTGACAATCTCTTTATATACCACATTGGTGGATGACACCAATTCTGCAAAAAAAAATGCTGCACACAAAGGTTGAATCAAGAGCCACAGTATATCTTCAATCTCTAAACTCGAATCTACCATACACATCACAACGTCAAAATCAAAAACCTCTATAAACAACGCTGATGAAAATGACTCTCCCTGACTTGAAAAAAAAATGACATGTAATAGCCACATAAAAATCTTCACCTTCAATCAACAACGAAAAGTCAAAAATGAGGAATATCTCAATACTCAAACAGTGATGTATCTCAATACTCAAACAGTGATATATCTCAATACCCAAACAGTGATGTCATTGCACCATTTTGACAGACGGGTATTCTTCTAATATGGGGTTGCAGATGTGTTCCAGTGTCTCCCTGTTTTTATCATTTAATGGATTTTATATCCCCTATCAAGTGCTCTACTCTATATCAGTGTACTCAGTGTTCCCTTTTTCCAGCACTCAATGATCCCACTTTTTTCCCCCACTGAATCCTTGTTGACAACGCGACGGCTAAATCAGTCTCTCTCTCTCTCTCTCTCTCTCTCTCTCTCTCTCTCTCTCTCTCTCTCTCTCTCCCGTCAGTGTCTGTATAGCCAGTGTGCTCCATTATCTCGCTCCGCTCGATAGTGTCGTGTGTTCAGTTGTCCTTTGTCTCTGGCTGGTTTTTCTTTAAACGTTCTTTTAATTGTTCCAAACTGGCTTTGTCCTCTGAAGAAAAATTGTTCGTTGGATCAACAACGGCATTCCACTTTTGTCGAAGGTCATTCCACGATTTCATCTCCTCCATAGGCTTCTCAATGTTAATATCTTCCCTCAAATTGCCATCCTTGGCTAGCTGTTCACTTCAAAACGTTGGTTAGTATTGATGAAAATGTAAGAGATGGGTCCATGTCTTTCCTCTTTGGTTTTTTCTTTCCCAGTACATACATTATTAAAGGTCTCCAAAAATTAACTCCAAAGTACCATGAAGCAACAATCGCCACACTGGCAACTACGACTTTACCTCCTTTTCCCGACATAAAGTTAACTCCTTCTATTCAACTACGGTTTTCTATCTCCCTCCCTCTTTCTTTACTTGTCTTTTTTTGATCGATGATTTTTCAAGAGAAAAATTTATTAGGCGCCCGACGGTGCAAGCGATGGCTCGCGGCAGAACACGACAACTATTTAACTACTTTAATCTAATTCAATTTCTTCTTTATCGTCTTCATGTTGTACGTCAGATTCGGAACCAAACTCATCTTCTGAATAAGATTGATTTTTTCCTCCTCGTCTTTCTCCGTCTTCTTCTTCTGCGCCAACTACCCCCCACTTTATGCCCGTAACTTCTTCTAAACGAGACAAGATTTCACACATTGGAGTAAACAATCCAAACAGTTTGAACTCTCCGTCATATGAATGTAACATTCCCAACACACCCAACCCGCGGGTGTTTGGCTCGATATCTTGCAACTTAGTCAACACCCAACTTCCGCTATCGCCGCCACTCGCAAATGCAGAATTGTGCTCGCAAGAATTTACAATAAACTCCAGCGAGTGTATAGCACCGTCTTGCCAGTAAACCAACTTTATGCCATTTAAGTTTCCCCGCGTGTATTTGGTTGTAGATCCGTACTTAAAAACTTGTATTCCGTGGTAACATTCCGGTTCGTTGCTTGATGATACTTGCGAATCGACATCTTTTACATTTTCTTTAATTTGCTTTGGGAAATACCTCTTCAAATTAAGAACTTTGCGCACATACAAATTATCCATTATCAAAGCTGAATCATACTCATTGAATTGGACATCGTCTCCCAAATAATTCGATGAACATTTGATCTGCTTATTGACCTTGATGATGGCTATATCCGATAATTTTTTCTCAATGAGCCCGCTCACTTCATTGGGACCGGTGCTGAGATTAATCAACGTTCTTTCGCCCCAAATTATTTGCCCAAATCTCAATTTCGGTAGATTTATCGATACCTTGTGAAAATTGAGGTTACCATTGCTACTGTCCTTGTCCAGTACCTTGACCTCCTTTGCAGGAAACATTGTTTCTAGTTGCTGTAAAACAGATCGATAAGCGACTTTTGCGTCGCTTAATGAATCCTTGACTTTTTCATACTGAGCAGTCAACGCTTGTTTGTATAAGAATATCAATGCAGCTGATGGCGCCGAAATGTTGGGGTATTTCGAAGGGTTATTGGTATCAAGACACACGTGACCACATGAAAGTGCAAATTTGGATGTAACATAACTTTGCAAATGCGGTTGTTCCTTTAGATTGATGCGTGGATAAATATAGCCACCCATAGTTCCTGATGTTTTAATGGTGTTTTCCACAGATATCGATATTGACATTGGAGGCTCTGTTGGATTCACTGGTACTCTGAATGGCAATTTAAACTTTTGAGATAAGGGAACTACTAAGCGGTTCTGGGGTTTGGAAAGAAATCTCGATGGTGCGTGAATGGACGCAGATGTAGCGGCATGCTCAATTTGGTTTTTGGTCACGACAAAATGTATGTCATCGTACAACTCGTGGATATTTTGAATAAATTTGTAATGTGCCTCCTGAGGGTCTGGGTACCCAAAATGTAAACATAGCACTTTCAAACTATCTGAAATCCCTCTCATGATAGGAGCGATAAAAGAGCCATTTTGTTCCTTCACCGTTATAGTTGTTTGAGATATTTTATCCATTATTCGTGTAATTGCTTCTTCATTAGGGAATGCGCCTTTATTTCTATCCCCTATTGCAAAATTCTGCGGTTTGATAACAATGCTTTTCGCTTGCTCGTAATTGTTGCTGTTGTTGAGGATTGCTGCAAAATCATTGAAATGTTTGACCAAAAGCAATCTTAGCTTTATGTAAACGTCTTCTTGCAAGAGGTTGTCATAGTAGTGAAGGTAGATTTTAACAATTTTTCTCAAATTCTTGCTGTTGCGCGTGGTGATTTTGGTACGTATTGGTGGTCCTTTGAAAGCTGCCATAAAGTTCTTGAAACAATCTATCAGGCTGATAACTGCAGTACTTAGATTTATGCTTGAGTTATTGTATTGCAACATGATATAGATGAGGTCCTGACTCAATTGTTGTAGTTTATCCAACATGACCTCCTCGAAGCCTTCTTCATTTGAATTTTTCCTTTTTTCCACCACATTCAACGTCTGCAACGGCTGGCCGAAATCACTATTATTAAGATTGAGTTGTTGCTTGTGGTGTGAACTTTGATAAGAAGATTGTTTTGTAGAGAATGATTGTTTGCTTGAAAATAGTGAGTTTTCGTCTCTTGTTGTAGATGCTGCGTGGATACTAGATGAAATAACTGGGTTCAAGTTTAAATTGGAGTCAAAAACCCCTTCATTTGGTAACCGGTTCATCAGCCTATCGAACATTGGTGGTAACTCTGCTAAAGAGTCTTGTGATTCGCTCGAGTTATTGCTTCTACTCGGTCGAAGTATATCGCTCAAGTTCTTATCGCCATTCCCACTACCACCTTGACCTCGGCCCTGTCCTTGTCCGTGACCTTGTCCTTGTCCGTGACCTTGTCCTTGACCTTGTCCTTGTCCGTGACCTTGTCCTTGTCCTTGTCCTTGTCCTCGGCTATGTCCTCGGCCCTGCCCTTGTCCGTGACCTTGACCTTGACCTTGTCCGTGACCTTGACCTTGACTTTGTCCTCGGCCCTGTCCTTGTCCCTGTCCTTGTCCGTGTCCTTGACCTTGTCCGTGACCTTGACCTTGTCCGTGACCTTGACCCTCACCTCGACCTTGACCCTGACCCTCACCTCGACCTTGACCCGATTTCCAGAACCTCTTCATATTGAGGGCAACAAAAACACAAACTCAGCGAGCTACTCCGCTTCCCTTCCCACTATATCCCCAATCTCTTGTCTTCTCTTCCCTTGTCTTGTCTTCCCTTGTCTTGTCTTCCCATCGCTACCAACTACCATCTGCTACCAACTTGATAATAAAAAAAACCTCACAGGTTCCTGTATATAAGGCTACACATCTGGCAAAGGCTGAAAGGGTAATATTTTTAGTTCAATATGTCAAATTCAAACAGGTGATTTATCTGAGTGTTGGAATCAAGGTGCGTTCTTGTTAGTAACCAATAAACTGGTAACAAGTAAGGGAACACCCCTTGCTGTATATTGTACAAAAAGTAGGGAAAAGAAGGCCGCTATTGAAAAGCGGTAAAACTAAATAGCTTTGAACCTAAGAGCTTTGATGTGGGCCTAATTGATACAGCTAATATTAATCTCATAATCCCGTTTATGCTACTGCAATAACATCTTTATTATACTTGCACCTATACAAAATTTACACTTTTACAAATTTGCACCTATCTTTTTGGCGCCTATTTTTCTGCACGAAATCTTTTAGCTTATAACTTTTCATATTTTGTCTTCCGATTTGTCCCTTTGTAATGTCGTATATCACTATCGAGCGAAGCGAGATAGTGGAACAACACTGGCTCCTAGCACTAGCTCTTAGCACTAGCTGTTAAGAGCCTTGCTTTCTCTTGTGTCGCTATGGCCTTGCTTTCTCTTGTATCGCTATGGCCTTGCTTTTTCTTGTGTCGCTTGTTGCTTCTCCCTCTTTATGTCGTTTTTAATTCTCCTGTTTTTTATGTCGTTTTTGATTCTCCTGTTTTTAATGTCGTTTTTAATTCCCCTGTTTCTTTTATGTCGTCTTTAATTATCTTGTGTCGCTTGGGTGCTTCCATCTCTTTATCTCTTGTTTCTTTTTATGTCGTTTTATGTCGTTTTCTTTTACCCCAAAAATTCCACTAAATAATTTTCATCAATTCAACTAACTTTAAACTTCACCAGAATCACAACTAAAGATCTTCTTTTGGAACGAGTTATTAAGATTTTCTTTTATTGTGGAACTTTAGGAACAGGTTAGTATACACTTGATATTGTAATACATACATTTATATATAGGTATAAGTGACAAGAAGTTTGTCACATTCTGGTAATTGTCCCCCCGGGTCTCCCCACACTTATTCAGTCGCTCACTCAGTTACTCACTCATCTTTACCAAAGCAGAATTTTTTTTTTTTCATTCTTTATTGACAATGCCCGTTTACTCAATATCACATGTGGAAAATGTTAGAATCTGTGTGGTTATGGTTGGTCTACCTGCCCGTGGAAAGTCTCTTATTTCACAAAAGATTGTTCGATACCTATCGTGGTTATCAATAAAGTCAAAGTGTTTCAATGTTGGTAACTATAGAAGGGGAATCGCCAAGGATGCAGTTATCACTGCCGATTTTTTCGATCCACATAACCCCGAAGGGTTGCACTTTCGGAAACAAGCTATTGATGCAGCAATTGTCGATATGATGAGGTGGTTCACCGAAGAAAACGGAGTTGTGGGAATATTGGATGCCACCAATTCTACTCGAAGTAGAAGAAACAAAATCTTGAAAATATGTCGAGAGAACTATATTGAGCCCATGTTCTTAGAAAGCTGGTGCGATGATAAAGAACTTATTCTCCACAATATTGCCGATGTGAAAACAACCTCACCCGATTATGTTACTAGATCAAGTGAATTTGCAACTAAGGATTTCTTGAAAAGAATTGAGCTATACGAATCGATTTACGAAACTTTAGATCCCGCTAAGGATGCTAATTTGACATTTATTAAATTGGTCAATGTCAATTCCCAAATCATCTTGAATCGAATTGAAACTTATTTGGAAAGCAGAATCGTTTACTACGTCATGAATCTACATATCAAACCTAGAAGTATATGGTTATCAAGACATGGGGAATCCCAATTCAACTTGACAGGACAAATTGGTGGCGATGCTGATTTGTCTGAACGTGGGTGGCGATACGCAAAAAAGTTGCCTGAACTTGTTCTCAAATCCTTGGGGGAAGAACACAAGCACACCAACTTAACAGTCTGGACATCAACGCTAAAACGTACTCAACAAACAGCATCGTTTTTGCCCTATAAAAAATTACAATGGAAAGCGCTAGATGAATTGGATGCCGGCGAGTGTGATGGGATGACTTATGAGGAAATCGAAGTTGCATTCCCGGAAGATTTTAAAGCAAGAGACGATAACAAGTACGAATACAGATATCGCGGCGGCGAGTCGTACAGAGATATCGTTATTAGGCTCGAACCTATAATCATGGAATTGGAAAGACAAGAAAATATATTGATTATAACCCACCAAGCAGTGTTGCGGTGCCTTTACGCATATTTTATGAATGTCCCGCAAGAAGAAAGCCCCTGGATGTCTATCCCCTTGCATACATTGATTAAATTAGAGCCTAGAGCTTATTCTACACTTGTAAGTAGGATAAAAGCTGATATTCCCGCAGTTAGCACATATAAGGAAAAAGGCACCTCACAGCTTGGTGAGTCAAAATCAGGAGTCTCAATATCCAAGAGCAGAGATTTGCTAAACACCAATGATGTTGTCTAATGAGATCTCCAAAAAAAAAAAAAAATGAAAAAAACAACGAAAAAGGGAAGTGCCTCGCCTCTTTTATATATATATAATACATTTTTTACTATACAAGTAAAGCACTATTTCCTTCAAAGTCCAAAGACTAATCTGAATTATTACGACACTAGGGAGCAAAGCGAGCTAGTGGAGCAGTATGCCTTCACTTACTCACACTCAATTACGACACTAGGGAGCGAAGCGAGCTAGTGGAGCAGTATGTAGTGTCTCCCCCGCGCCTTCACTTACTCACTTACTCACACTCACTTACTCACACTCACTTACTCACACTCACTTACTCACACTCACTTACTCACACTCACTTACTCACACTCACTTACTCACACTCACTTACTCACACTCGCTCGCTATAGTTAGTGTGCTCCATTATCTCGCTCTGCTCGATAGCGTCGCTAGTGTCGCTATAGTCAGTGTGCTCCACTATCTCGCTCTGCTCGATAGTTCATCCTTCTCTACTTAGTCCACAGACGCATATCTCTTAGCTTGCTCAGTTATCTTCTTCTTATATTGTTCCTTATCCTTTGTAAAAACCTTCCATGCAGGCTCCTGTGCTGGAGACTCGGGGTTCGGTGAATCCAAGAGCTCTTGTATACCTAAAACTATCTGTTTCATCGTAATAGCTGGTTTCCAGTCTAGTTCCTCGTTTAAAATACTCAAACAGATGGTCCCACTTGGATAAACATTTGGATGGTAAAATCCACTTGGGAATTTAATTTTTGGAGGTTTGGATGGATATTCTTCAGGGAAATCTATTTTGATTGGATAAACGCCACCTTCCCAGGGAGTCCCTGCTTTCCCAGGTATCCCAGCAGTCCAACTCTTCAAATCCAAAGATCCATCAGCATTCTTCACCGGCTTAGCATAAAATCCAAATGGATGGTCCTTTCTCCATTGTTTTCGTTCTTCTTGTAATCTTATCTTACAAAGTGACATACCAAGTCTATAGTACAAATTCTATCTATGTGGAAAACCCTTCGGAGGCAGTGGGGGGGGTAAAAAAAAAAAAAGCTATCTTGTTAGTATCTCTACTCCTCTGCACTAATTTATCTCTTTAGGTGTTGATCGATGGATGGGCCTTTAAAAGCTTGGAAAATCATGAAAAGCTTATCGAGAGAAACTTTGTAAAGTAATCTTTTTTCTGTTGTGCATGTGGGCACGACCTGATTTTTTTTTCATTTCATTTCAATTCTCATCCCTCATGATTTGATGGCTAATACATCAATTGCATTAAATTATATGCTGTAAGTTCATAACCATTCATTCAGCAATTAGACTCGATGGCTATAGAAGATGCCGGTAATGACGCTTTTGGTTGTTTAACGGTTGATCCCGAGACTCAGACAAAGTACAAATTCCCAACACTAGCAGGATCTGAAAGGAATCAAAGGATTTTAGATGATTTATTAACACCTACACCCGAGCTTAGTTGGGAGCTCCTTGACCTTGTACAAGAAGTGCCAAGTATTGATAGAAGCAAGATTATTGATCGACTAGTCACCAATCCCACCAGCTTGAACCGGACGAAATTTAGATTCAAGAGATTTGGTATCCAAGGAGAAATTTCAAGTTATCAAGAGGAAGTTGACTTGAGTGCCGTCAACTCATCAGCGTCAACCTCTTTGAGCGTGAATAGAGATTACTCTTCAAAAAGCGAAAGTCTTCGAGGTAAATCTGGTTTTCTACCATTTCAGCCAGGCGGATTGATACAACAAGCATCACAAGACCGCGAGGTTAGGGATGCAGCAGCAAACCTCCACCGTAATGAGTATGGATTGTTTGACATTCCCCCTGGCTTTCTGACAGGCTTGCGTCTAGGAGGCCAAGAAACTCTGTTTGATCTTGAGCAAAAGCAAGAGGGTGGTATTGACGACAACAACGACAACGACAACGACAACGACAACGACAACGAACTAGTTGAGTCCGTGAATAACCATTCGTTGCTGGGGGGTCAAGTAGTCTCTCGTATTGACTCTGCTACCCCTCGTCTTTCTTCTCTTAATCCCCCTTCAGAAATCCCATTCAACGCTGAGGAGATTGAGGGCCTTGTACCGTTTGACTATTCATCGATGAGAGCCGAGGGCAAAAAGGCTCTTGAAAAGAGAACTTGGGCTCATGTTGTTGATTTGGATCACAAAATAGAGGATTTTTACGAGTTGGTGCCCAACATGGCTAGAACATGGCCGTTTGAGCTTGACGTGTTTCAGAAAGAGGCTGTCTTCCACTTGGAACAAGGCGATTCGGTTTTCGTGGCTGCCCATACCTCGGCTGGAAAAACCGTTGTTGCTGAATACGCCATTGCGATGGCAAAGAGGAATATGACAAAATGTATATATACGTCTCCAATTAAAGCTTTGTCGAATCAAAAATTCCGTGATTTCAAAGACACGTTTAAAGACGTGGATGTGGGATTGATTACCGGTGATGTTCAAATAAATCCAGAAGCCAACTGCTTGATTATGACCACCGAGATCCTAAGGTCGATGTTGTATCGTGGTGCAGATTTGATAAGAGATGTGGAATTTGTTATTTTCGACGAAGTTCACTACGTTAATGATATTGATCGTGGTGTGGTTTGGGAAGAAGTTATTATTATGCTACCAGATCATGTGAAATACATTTTGTTATCTGCAACTGTTCCTAATACCTTTGAATTTGCTAATTGGATTGGAAGAACCAAGCAAAAAGACATTTACGTTATTTCCACGTCAAAGAGACCGGTTCCTTTGGAAATCTTTATTTCTGCAAAAAATAAACAATTTAAAGTAGTAGATGCGAATAGGCGGTTCCTTGAAAATGAGTTCAAGAATCACAAAGATCACTTGGAGGCAGGGAAGGTAAAAAAGGGATTACCATCGACCACGATGGGCCTGGGAAGCCGTGGAGGACCAGGTGGCACGGCAAGAGGCCGTAACAGAGGTAATGCAAGACAAAGCACAAGAGGAGCGAGAGGCGGTGCTAGTGGAAGTGGAAGTGGAAGAGGAGGAGGAACCATGACAAATAATCGCGGGAACTTTTCAGGCCCAAGAAGATTCGGAAATGACGGTCCCAATAAGAATACCTGGATAGACTTGGTACATAATTTAAAACTGAATTCCCTTTTGCCAGTTGTCGTATTTGTTTTTTCCAAGAAGAAATGTGAAGAGTATGCTGATTCTTTAAGGACTACTGACTTGTGTAATGCGCGAGAAAAGTCAGAGATCCATATGTTTATTGATCGCGCTGTTGGTCGATTAAAAAAAGAAGACCGGGAGTTGCCGCAAATTTTAAAAATTCGCGAGATGTTAAGTCGTGGTATTGCCGTGCATCATGGAGGTCTTTTGCCTATTGTTAAAGAGTGTATTGAAATATTGTTTTCCAAGACTTTGGTGAAAGTACTTTTTGCAACTGAAACATTTGCCATGGGTTTGAATTTGCCAACGAGAACAGTCGTGTTTAGTTCTATGAGAAAACATGACGGTCGACTGTTTAGAAATCTATTACCGGGGGAGTTCACACAAATGTCTGGGCGAGCAGGAAGAAGGGGACTTGATAAAACTGGTACAGTTATTGTTATGGCCTATAATGAGCCACTATCCCCCACTGATTTCAAAGAGGTGGTTTTGGGAGCTCCCACCAAGTTGCTGTCCCAATTCAGACTTACTTACAATATGATTTTGAACTTGTTAAGAATTGAAGCATTAAAAGTTGAAGAGATGATAAAACACTCGTTTAGTGAAAACTCAACACAGGTTCTATTACCAGAGCATCGGAGAAGATGCGATTTCTTGAGGGGCCAATTGGAAGACGCAACTCTTACCAGTTGCTCAGAATGTGGTCTAAACGGTGTCGAGGTTACTTGTGAGCTTCTCTTAGAATATGAGAACTTGTATGGACAGTGCATAGTGGATATCCACAAATCTCCTATTCTCAAAACGCAATTACTCAGAATCGGAAGGTTAGTTTTTTTCAGAGACAAGAACTCAACTTCTCGCATGGGATTCGTTATTAAGTCAGACAGTGCAACCGATAGTATTATGGTACTTACTTTTGATCATGGACGGGAATACGAGTCAGTTGCAGAGAAATTCAAGCTACCGTATGTTCCTATTACTGATTATCTTTTCAAAAATCTCCCAAAGATAAGATTTAAAGAAGGATTGAGGGCTGTAACTGTACCATACGAAAATGTCTTGTTCATTTGTAAGTATGCATTAAAAGCTTCAATGTTTGAGATACTTGATAACAAACCTTCAGCGGTAGAACAAGCTCGGGAACAAATAAGCATGATTGTTAAGTTACAAAATAATCTTGAAGAGTCTAGTTTCAAACACACAAAACAGTTATCATTGCATGACTTGTGTGTGGCAAAGGACAATCAAGTGGCTAAAATACGCGAAATAAATGCATTCACGTGTCTGAACTTCAAGCAGCATTATCTTGAGTTCAGAAAGCGTTACCTCATCAGTCAAGAGATTGAAGGTTTGCAAAAATTAATATCTGATGAGAATTTGGACTTGTTACCAGATTACGAACAAAGATTACAGGTTTTGGAAACCGTTGGATGTATTGATTCCCAGCATAACGTGGTTCTCAAAGGTAGAGTTGCTTGTGAGATTAATTCAGGTTGGGAATTAATTATAACCGAGCTTGTCTTAAACAACTTCCTTGGTGACTTTGAGTCTGCTGAAATTGTCGCTTTGCTATCATGTTTTGTTTACGAAGGAAGGACGCAAGAAGATGAGCCTGCTATGATCACGCCACGATTGGAACAAGGTAAAAGAAAAATTTTGGAAATTGCAAATAAACTACTAAAAGTGTTTATTGAAAAGAGGGTTTTGCTTACATCAGAGGAAGAGGACTTTGTTGAAAGTAAGCGCTTTGCTTTAGTCAATGTAGTTTACGAATGGGCAAACGGGTTAAGTTTTAACGAGATAATGCAAATGAGTGTTGAAGCTGAGGGTACCATAGTAAGAGTTATTACCAGATTGGACGAAATATGTAGAGAGGTTAAGAATGCGGCGTTGATAATTGGTGACTCGAAGTTGCACTTGAAAATGGCAGAAGCACAAGAAAAGATCAAGAGAGATATAGTGTTTTGTGCATCGTTGTATTTATAAACAGCGAAAAAGATATTAATAATGTTTTGATTATGATAATGATGATGATGATGACGACGATGACGATGACGATGATGATGACGATTATTATACAAGTGAACCTTATGCATTCTTTCGTCTCAAGATATCTATGATACCCCGTTTGCCACTAATTATCTTATCCATAAAATGAAAGAAACTCTCTCTGTGATTAGCGCAGACAATACCGACCATAGTATAGAAACATCCCACAGTAGTGGCATCAAATACTCTTTGCTTTTTCAACTCAAATAACTCTTTACTCAATTGCTCATTCACCAAAAACTCTCTGTTGACAGAAACGCAATTGACAAGCCCGTTTAGCTTCATGAATTCTCTAATCAAAGATTTGCTTGTTGCTGATGAAACTTCAGAGCTTATCTCAAAGCTAGAATTTGATAAATATTTCAAAGTTTTGAATATTTTAAGACGATTGATAATACCGAATTCAAAAGCAGTTTTCCCAACATGCCGTAGCTTCTCTGTATTGTAAAATGTGTTAGTATCACGAGTACATCGGACCTTCATATTGGTTAGTCCCTTGGACATGCAGCTTAATTCTTCGTGCAGTAGCAGTAAAGGATCAAGGTACTCGACAAGTTGACTCATCGGCGGCTGAGGAGTTGACACCAGCTCTAAAAGTTTTTCAGCTAATGATGTAGATATGGCGTCTTGGCAAAACAAGGCATTCGAGTTGATATACAAATCTGGATGTGTCTGCTCTACAATAGGAAAATGGTTCAGGTACGTTGGCTGGCTAACGTAATATTCAGGTGCAAAGTGCGATGGAATAACCTTCGAGTTCGCATTGTAGTTTCTTTGGAACATGACCAGCATTTGCCCCAGGCAAAATCGTACTCTCATCGTCTCTCGTCTCGCCCTTTAGTCTCTAGTCTCATCCGGCTCAACCTATACTCCGAGTTTATCTCTCTCGTTCTCTCTCTCTCTGTCTTTCTCATTTATAAATTTTCATTGGCAAACCTCATCGCGGAATTCTTTTTTTCTTTGGGCCCATCTCAAAAGAACTTTCAAAGAGGAAGATGTAAATCAAGCGATGTCTTCGAAATCAACGTCCAAAAAGAAGGCAGCTTCAGGAGCCGAATCTACGGTGACGAACAATGCTGTTGCGAAAAAGATCAAGGTGCCAAAGTGCTTCATAGTTCGCCCTCATGGTGTAGAGACACCTAAAACTATCGCCAATGTTTACCTTCATCCCGAGATATTCAATGCATTAGAGTTTCGAAACGGACAACTTGTACACATTTGCCCATTATATGGCAAGCCGGGCTTGATTGCCACTGTTTTGCCAAGTAATGATATTACAACTGAAAATGTTATATCCGTATCGCAAAGCTTTAGAAATCTTGGTGGGTTCATTCTAGGTGATCGCATAGAAATTTCCAAATGTGAATGGCAGCCAAAGTATGCTTATGACGTTTTAGTCTATGTTGGTGGTGGTGGTGGTTGTGGTGGTGATGATGATGATGATGACGACAACAACTCGATCTCAATAAAGCGGCTTCTTGAAGATGTGGGACTTATATATCCGGGCTTGAAGATTCAGGAAAGCGGGAAAAAAGAAGTTATAGTGTGTGATGCTGATATTACCATAGACAGCCAAGTGAACTCATTGAGCATTAAAGATACTACGGAAAATGTATCTTCAACAGTATCGCCTCCGTACCTTTTCACATCCCAAACTTTGGTTGAAAGAACTACTACTGAAACCTCACCATCTAGATCAAAGTTCCCCAATCTACCCAGACGATTAACATATTTTGAGATTGGAGGACTTTGCAAACAGATAGAGACTTTAAAGTCAACAATAGAATTGCCATTGCATACTCCAACCTTGTTTTCTGATTTTGGTATTTCCCCTCCAAGGGGCATTCTTTTACACGGCCCTTCTGGTACGGGAAAGAGTATGTTGCTCCGATGCATAGCGAACAACATCAACAATGTACACGTTTTAACTGTCAACGGACCGTCAATAGTTTCTAAATACCTAGGTGAGACTGAAAGTGCTTTGCGAAACATATTCGAAGAAGCCTTCAAGTTTCAGCCTTCCATCATTATTATGGACGAGATTGACTCTCTCGCACCGTCCCGAACCTCAGATGATACTGGAGAAACCGAAAATCGTGTAGTTGCAACATTGTTGACCATGATGGATAGCATTGGCGACAATGGTCAAGTAGTCGTTGTGGGTGCGACGAACAGACCGAATTCTGTTGATATATCTTTGCGAAGACCTGGCCGATTTGACCAGGAAATTGAAATTGGGATACCGGATGCCGATTCTCGTCAAGATATTTTGCAGAAACAGTTTGAAAAAATGAATAAAAACAAGTATGCTTTAACTACAGAGCAGATAGCCGCGGTAGCATCTAAAACGCATGGATATGTTGGCGCAGATCTAGTTGCATTATGTCGTGAGGCAGTCATAAAAGCAATCAATAGGGGGCTAGCTACACAAACACCACAGCAAGAAATCGCGGTGACCTTTGACGACTTGAATGAAGCCTTGACTGAAATACGGCCGTCGGCTATGCGTGAAATATTCTTAGAAACGCCAAAGATTTATTGGTCAGACATTGGTGGCCAGGAAGATCTCAAGCGGAAACTAATAGAGGTGGTGCAACTACCTTTAGAGGCTGCTGCTTCGTTTAGTGCATTAGGCATCAACGCTCCAAAAGGTGTTCTTTTGTACGGTCCGCCGGGGTGCTCCAAGACTCTTACAGCAAAAGCACTCGCAACGGAATCGGGACTAAACTTTTTGGCAGTAAAGGGCCCTGAGATTTTCAATAAATATGTTGGAGAGAGTGAGCGCACAATTAGAGAAATCTTTCGCAAAGCAAAATCGGCGTCCCCATCAATCATTTTCTTGGATGAAATAGATGCAATTGCTGGTGATAGAGATGGCGACGGTACTTCTGCATCTAAAAACGTACTCACTTCTTTATTAAATGAAATCGATGGTATCGAGGAACTCAAAGGCGTTGTAATCATAGGCGCAACTAATAAACCATCACAGATTGACCCAGCCTTGTTGAGACCTGGTCGGTTGGACCGCCATATCTACGTTGGCCCACCTGATTTGGAGGCCAGGCTACAAATATTGCAAAACTGTTGCCGCAAATTCAACTTGGTAGATGTTGATTTGGAGTTGTATGCTCGACTAAGTGCAGGGTGCTCAGGAGCCGAAGTTACTCTTTTATGTCAAGAGGCTGGTCTCAACGCAATTATGGAAAATAGAAATACAAAACATGTTGAAGATAGGCATTTTTCAAACGCATTGAAAGGAATTGCTAGAAACATCACTCTGGAAATGTTAGAGTACTATAAAGATTTTTCAAAAAAGGCAGGCTTGGATAAATAAGTTTGCTTGTTGTGTGTGTGTTAAATATCATTAAAAAATTTAAATACATAATACATAACCTTAGCATATACTATCGAGCAGAGCGAGATAGTGGTGCACGCTGACTCTTAACACTATCAAGCAGAGCGAGATAGTGGTGCACACTGACTCTTAACACTATCAAGTAGAGCGAGATAGTGGTGCACACTGACTCTTAACACTATCAAGCAGAGCGAGATAGTGGAGCAATACTCAGTAGCTTGTTACGACACTATCTCGCTCTGCTCGATAGTGTCTTTAGTCAATGCTGCTCCACTCTCTCGCTTCGCTCGATAGTGTATTAAAGACTTTCATTGTTGTTGACAACTTTCTTGTAAATTTTTTTCCAAATCAGGAGGCAAGTTCTTGTCGTTGAACCCAAATGTATCGGCGGCGCCTTTTCCTGCACCAAGACCTGGTAAAAAGTCGCCTTCCTCGCCGACCAATTCTGATGGTGGTTGTCCTAATTCCTGTAAGGACTCCAAGAGGGAGTTGACTCGATCTCGCTGCTGTTGATTTGAATCACTATAATCATTACTTTCAAAAACCTTTAAAATGTCTATAGTAATTTCGTACTGTTTGTTATAATTATCAAGCTTCAGTTTTTCCAATTTCTCCTTGTTTTCTTCCAAGTACTGCGGGAACTTTTGGTTAAGGTCCTTGATTGGTTCATACAAAACCTCCTTTGAGCTCAACTGTTCCAACATATCCACTAATAACTTGCTCATATCCATATCTCCTCCTCCTAAAGCATTATCCCCCATTCCTGCTAGTAACTGAGTCAAAATATCTTCCGGATTTGTGCCAAGTGAATCATTCTTGATCTTGGAATCAATGTCCTCCCCCGATTTACGTAATCTTTCCATTGTTTCCTTCATTACATATTCGAAATTAGCTGGCTTTGCTGCCTCCCTTTCGGCTTCCTCTCTATGGTTCAATTCAAACTGCTTAACCAAAGTCTCAAACTGCTTTTGAGTTTCGGGATCTTCAATCTTCATGTCTTGGATTAATTCAGCAATCGAGTCTTGGAAATCTTTGCCCAAAGGATCTGTCAGGTTCTCTAAACCTGAATCTTTCCCCCCAGCAGCAGCATTACTGCCTGTGTGAGATTGTTGAGAAGCATCCACTGTAGACCCAGGAGGCTTACTTAGCACGTCGTCTGCAAAGTCGTCTAATAAATCGTCCAAATCGTCGACATCCTCACCATTTGCTAATGGCTGCTTGGTTTGATCCTCCTTATTAGTAGAAGCGTTTGACTCCTTAAGTACATCATCACTTGAAACAGCAACTGCCTCCTTATCGTGTAAGTCTGCTTTGTCTGACATGGCCTACAACACCTGTTTTGCCAATCTGATGTTTTCCTTTTCCTTGTAATTAATATATAATTCACTTTTCTTCTGAAATTTTTTCTTGGGGTTTTAAGCCGAAACTTTTTTTTGTTCCTCGCGTGAAATGACCGCCCCAAAACTCGCCTTTCCACGCCTCCCCTACGAACCAGCATTCCACACCATCGCACCATCTCATACCACTTCTACGCACCTATACCACTTCTACCTCGCACCTATACCACTTTTACCCCACCCCATTTCCTACAACAAAATAACATTATCAAAATTTCGCCTTAACATTTCCACACCTACTTTCTCTCATTCTCTCTCTCTTTCTCTATCTCCCTTTCAATTTAGGGTTGTCATCATGATTTCAATAGATCCTTTTCACTAAATCTGAACTACTATACTCTACATAACATTTTTATACTACTAACCAACTCTGTTTGTCCAGCTGCAAATAATCAAGTTTCTTGCATATAGGGCCTTTCTCTCGATTCGGATAAAGTAGGAGAAAAAATGAAATTTCGCCGCATTTTTACCCCACATCTTCGGGAATAAATTCAACTGGAATTTAACCAAACTTTTCTGTTACAGGAGAAAAAAAGGAGGGAAAAAAAAAAAAAAATGATAAATAACACAACAATGTTGATATATACCTATTACAAGTGTATCGACAATCTTGATTCAGTCTGTGTCTTTTATATACAACTACTAGGGAATAAAATAAAAGGGATAACAAACTCTCTCCTCTCTTCTTTGCTTTTTCGCCTGTTACAACACTATCGAGCAGAGCGAAATAGTCTTTCACTTTACTCTGCAACTCTTTTTCCACTTTACTCTGCAACTCTTTTTCCACTTTACTCTGCAACTCTTATTCTACTCGCTCTGCTCGATAGTCTTTCACTCTATTCTACTCGCTCTGCTCGATAGTGTTGAGCTCCCAAAGTTACAATTTTGGTCTAGAGGAATCAGGTCCACCTGCGGTCGCTTCAGTGTTGATCTCTAGTTTCCCACTTTCATTGACATCTTCGGTAGAGTTATTACCAAAAAAGACAACGGTCACTGTCAAGTCGTCTCTGTATCTTCTTGAGACAGGATTTGGAATTGAAATAATCATCGAAGTTTGTTCCTTTGAACCGCCATTCGATAAAGCATTTCTAATCAAGTGCGTTGAAACATTCTTATCTTGTAATAAGAATCCGCTACCGCCACCGCCTTTTCTAAACGGCTTTTTGCTTGCTTTATCCATAGTAATGTCCTCTACTTCAGGCAACTTATTCTCTCCAACAGTTCCAAAAAAATTCCAAAACGACTTTTGCGGCTTTATCATATTCTCTCTCTCCATCCATTTCACAACAAGCCCCACAATCTCCTCGTTGGTCAACATTTCGTAAAGACCATCACTTGCCATTACCAAAAATTCATTGTTGTCTGGATTAATCTTGGTCGAAGTGATAACAGGCTCAGCAGTCACATATGGCGGCGACAGTAAATGATTTGGTAATCTCTTGCCAAAAAACTGTTTATAAATACGCTCTTGTATAGATGCAGGTAATTTGTACCGGCAGTCGCCAAATGCTCTAGTTGGTTCCAAGCTGCCCAAAACTCTACCATTGCGAATAACTTTGGGCTCGTCGGGATGCTCGCTTATAATTCTGGCCACCTCAGTTGGATTGGTTCCTGTTTGGTCAATACTTAGCTGTCGCACAGTCCAGTGGTTATTCTTAAAAGATCCCAAAATTGCTCGTGAGTCTCCTGTTACAGCAACCTTCAATACTTTGGAATTAGTATCATAAAATGATAGCAATGCACAAGAGCCCGATAATGCCGGCATCAATAGCTCTGCCGCTTTTGCTTTATTACCATCTGTGAGTAGCTTTTCAATGTTTTTATTGACAATCTCATGATCCAACTTTAGAAAACCGTTTTTAATAGCCTGATCAATAGTGGCGCTATTAGGAACATATCGTAAGTTCTCTTCGCCTTGCACTGGCTTGTAAATGGTGCCCAACTCATTAATGACATAGTTGATCATTTGGTCTCTCAATTTGGAACTGGTTGTCCAGCCTCCATGTCCATCAAATACACCAAAAAACATCCAATCTGTCGTTGTTTTTATATTGTTATCCTGCAATATGGGGACTTGGATTATTTCTTCTGCTCTGTCGTCTTCAATCGGCGAATTAGAGGGTAATTGGCAAATGTCGTATCTGAATACTCCCTTTCCTCTATTAACATAATAACTCTCCTCAAATTGTCGCAATTTCCTATCGACTTGCTCCTCGTTCAACAAAAACACTCCTTCTTTGTGCTGCTGGTGACTGATACTATTCTTTTGATGCATAGAAGACGTACTAGTTGAAAACAACTTTTTGTCCTCTAACAACTGTGGAGGCTTTGAAGACAGTGTGCCTGTTATTGAGGACCCCGACCCCGACCCCGACATTTGCGAAGATTGCAGCGGCAACGTATCCAAATTATAATAGTTGGATTGGTTAAATGCAACATATGAGCCAACTATGATTATTCCAGTGACTAGAGCGACATTCTTTCCTTGTTTTCGATACTGCTGCAGCTGTTCATACTTGGGAGCAGCTTGGAAAAGGTTTTTGTAGATGTTTAGCAGTTTTGATGACGCTGTGGAAGTTTTAGATGTCGACGATATCAATCGTTTGGTTAACACCTGGAGCTGCTTATTGGTAACATACAAGAACTTTGGCCTAGCAGACAAGACAAATGACATGATTAACAAAGGTATGTAGGATATATATATTAGGTGTAGTACTACCTCAGTGTCAGCTCGATGTAATAAAAAACCTCAGTGTCAGCTTGATGATGTAATAAAAAAACTCTTCCTGTGTCTGCTTGTAATTTCAATCAACCTAACCTTACCTTATAATCTCGGCATTTATATTTGGATGAATGTTTACCGTCACGTGAAGGGCGAAACTTGTGCTGTTGCTCCTTTCTCCAACCTTTATATACTATGTGTATGGTGTAACCACTTTTTATTATCTATATAGAAGGATATTGCTTTCATATTATTGTTAGCATCGATTTCATTTGTTACTACAACAATTTACCATTTTACACGAAACTTTATTTTCTAAAGCAAAATTGCACCGAGGTAACCTAAAAGGATAATGAGATGATATTCTATATATTTGTAGAAAAAGGGAATAGTTCCTTGATGCCGAAGCGTATATATACAAAAAGTAGTAGATATAAGAGAAGATTGCTTAGCGACACTATTGAGCAGAGCGAGATAGTGGAGCACACTAGCTGCCTCGGACACCATCTCGCTCTGCTCGATAGTGGTGATTGTAAACCATCATTGTCACTACCTGCGACCAAACGGGTCAATGGCAATGGCAATAGAACCACCGCCACCGCCAATAGAGGTGGTGGTGGCGGTAATAGAGGTGGTGGTAGCAATGTAAGTTTTGAAGAGCGATATCGTAAAATTGGTAATGGAAAAGAGATGCATTTTGCCGATTCTGTTGTTATGAAACAACAGGATCCAGCTTATACTTGGTATTCAATTCCACCTTGTAATGGATTAGACCAAATAAAAGCTCAAGAGCCAAAACGAGTTTTGTCCTTGAGAAATTTGTGTTTACGGCACATTTCCAAATATAGCACTGGTATCAATCTGGAAGTTTTGCAAACTCTCCCATGGCGGTTTTGGAAGGACATTTGGCTTTGCATCTTGAAAGATAACATGGACTCGTTTGACCTTTATTTGGAATTTGCCGAATTTTTTTCTCATTTCCCAGACTTTCAAAGTCACTTGGTCCCCCATATCCATGCTTGTACAAGCCGCGATTTTGCAATTGCAAAATCGAAAATACCTCGATCGAGGTTGCATAGACTAGAGACGATTTACGAAAATATTTCAATCAATGATTTTTTGAGAAAATTGCAAAGGGCAAAAGCTCTAGTGTTTTTGGAAATTGTCGAGACTCATTGGAGTAGAGAAGATTATTTCAAACTATTCAGTGTACCAAATCTTTGTTGTTTGAGTTTATATGTCAATATTGATGACTTGTTTTTACATAACTTGGGCTCTTGCATCAATGTTGGGCAGTTGAGTAAACTAACATTTCTTAAAATCAAAAGCACAAAAGTTACCAACAAAGGTATCGTACGATTTATTAGAGCAATTGAAAGACCGCCTTATAATTTAAAGTGTCTTCTTGTTGAGCACAAATTTAACGAGAAAGGATGGACCTTACTTGATATCGAATATAAAAGTACAATACTGAATTTCCAAATTGGGCGTGCTCTTCATTCATTGCAAGAGCAGGGATTAATAGATCCCGGTTTCAAACTTCACCAATCAAAAATAGTTGATGTAATGGTCCTTACCGGTACTTCTTTCGAATCGGCAAACAACTTCAATTTATCATGGCAGAGGAGAAATAATATAGGCCAAATCGGTAAAAAGGGTTATCTTTACATCCGCCGTAACCACAAATCCATTATTGAAACTGATTCCTCTAGTTGCAAAGCAAAAAACAAACCCATTCTCAAAAAGAAGTTAATGATCGAGACTGATGCTAAAACATTCTTTGGTATGTAAATAAATAAATAAAAAAAAAAAAAAAAAAAAAAAAAATCCTTTTACTTATCCCTTGCAGTTAAGAATGCTGTTGTTTTTTAGTCAATAATGCTAATAATCCTTTACCCTGATCATTAGATTGACTTGTATGCATAAATGTTTGTCTATTGTTGTTTTTGTTATAATTTAGTTTCTTCTCATTCTGAAGTTGATGTTCTTGGGTGGTCAAAGAATGTTTTTTTGGTTGATAGTAATCATCGTACTCTCCTTCTTCTTCTTCTTCTTCCTCGTCGGAATCAACGTCAAAATTTTTATAAATTATCCTGGAAGGCTTCTCGTCAAAGGCGTACTCATCATTGAAGTCTTCGAAGTTTTCAAAATCTTCAAAGTTTTCAAATTGATCCTGTGTTTCTACATCTTGGGCTGTGGCTGTACGTGGTTGATTGGCGTTCTTGTGAGCTTGTGTGTTTTCGCCCAAAGAGTCGCTTGTCCCATTTTGTTTCAAAGTTTCTGCTTGATGCTTGGCTAATAAAAGGTCTATGTTCAATGGATAAGATTTAACATCCTTCCCTTGATCTCTAGGTTGAGCCCACATATCGGGTGCTTGAGGTGTATGCATTGACATATTATTCAGATTATCTGAATTTTTTGATTGAGTTGCATAAGTAAAGTCGTTAGGAGGAGTATGATGGTGCTGCTGCTGCTGCTGCTGCTGCTGCTGATTAAGGTCCAGGTCCAAAGTCGTGCTATCCTGCAGCGCTTTGTTGGCATTCGAGTGCAATGGTTTCGTTCCCAAGAGGTCGAGTAATTTATTCGCCGAAGAAGACAAGTTATGAGTTCTTGCTTGTGATACTTTTGTGTTCCTAGTCTCATTCTGCTGTTTGATTTCCTGAGCACGGTCTTGAGATGATTGAGGTCTGTTTAATAAGCTCAAAAAATCGTTTGTGGGAGAAACTGCATTGGAGGTTTGGTTTACATTAGTGTCACTTGTTTCTCTTTGTAATATTCCAAGGAACCGGTTGGAGGTCTTGTTTTCGTCATTAAATTGGGAACCGTCTTTACCCAAAAACCTTAGTATTTCCTTAGATGCTGATGCTGTTGCTGTTGCTGTTGCCAGTGCCCCAGCTGCTCCTGCTTCCTGTTTTGCATTTGATATTCCTGTACCGCGCAGTTCCTCTCCATTCCATGGGTGAGCATCTTTTGTTGGTAACTCCTGTGTGGTATTCACCGATTCTGGTGATTCCAGCTTTTTGGGCCCTAGCAAGGTTAACAAGTCGTGGGGTCCTTTGTTGTCTGAACGCTTTAATAACTTGATTTTCTTCCCAGCAACCGGTTGTCGTTGGTAAGAAGATCTTATTGATTCTTCTATTTCGTTAGAAGGTTGCTGACGCAGCAACGAGGGTCTGGATTTCTCTATATCTTGTGCAAGAGAGCCACCATTCTTTGAATACAGACCTACACCGGTAGCGGCAGTGGCAACTGCTGATGTTTTGCTCTTTAACTTGGTGCTTGAACCGGTTCTAGAACTATGTTTCGAAATTGTACCATGAGCTGTATCCTCTTCAACATCTACAGCTTGTCCCTTTTTCTTTGGGAACAAACTCAACAATTGTTGTGCTTTTGAGCGGATATTCTCTGCATCCGCTGACTTGTGTTTTTCATTAAATTCCACAGTATCTTTCTTTTGAGATTTAGTTTTTAAAATAGATAAGAGTTCCTTCGAGTTGGTGTAAGGCTTCTGTAACTTCTCTGGATTTGGTGCAGTGGGGAAATGATTAGGGTCAGAAGCAAATTGATGATGATGGTGGTGATGTGGATATTGTTGTGCTTGTTCTTGCGCTTGGCCTTGTGCATGTGCTTGTGCTTGTGCTTGTGCTTGGTCTTGTGCTTGGCCCTGTAGTATTTGTAAAGAGGAAGGATGAAGAAGGGGCTGGTTGTACAGCGGTACATTACTGTGCATGTCGATACCAGTAACACCAGGGATAATACTTTGTACTCCCATACCCAAGGGTGATTGAGTATTATTCACCATAAAGTGGTTCTGTTGCTCTTTTTCATGTACTAATGGGTTTGACAAGGTCGCACTTGGTGGTTCTGCGCGCTGCAAAAGGTTCAATAACTCCCTTCCAGCATCGGGATGTTCCACAACTTCCTTTTTGGTTAATCCCATTAGGTTTTTCAAGTCCAATTCCATTTGACGCATAGCCTCTTCCTCATTCAGTGCTCCTAAGCTCTTGTTGATCCATTTCAAGACTGGTTTCATTATTGCGTCTACTATAAAGTACTTATTTGGGTTTGACTTGATCTTTTTCTGGAGCTTTTTGAGATCAAACCATTTGATCTCGGATATTTCAAACCTGGCCAAGGGCTCAAACACAGTGTCTTCAGGAACGTTCTTGACTAAGAAGATTTTATAGTTCTTGCCTTTGATTGTTCGTTCAACATACTCATTTTCGTCAATGTACAGTTTACAGTTGAAGCCAATCTCCTCCTCAACTTCTCTTACCGCACATTCAATATCGCTTTCACCTTTCGATATCTTTCCGCGTGGGAACGACCATGTATTGGATTCGGTCCCTTTGACTAGTAGTACCTTTGTCAAATCGGTATTGAACATGGCAACTCCTCTAACAGGAATAGTACTCTTGTACTTGCCAAATCTGGACAATGCATCTGACGGATCCCCCCATTTCCATATTAAAGGACATGCCTCTAAAAGTTTCGTTGAAAACGTTTTCATCTTCATTGCAGGTAAACTGGGATTCAATTGCCTTACAAAGTCCAAGTAAAACCAATGCGCCTCTTCTACTTGAAAGAAGATCCTCTCTATTGACGATAAATCCTCTTCCGGTACATTGACAACAAACCGTACAAGCAAATCTTCTAGAACCCGATCCAATGGTTGATCGGCTAGACCATCTCTTAGTTCTATAGACATCTCGTCTCTTCCTCTTTTTTTTTTTCGGGTCTCGGGTCTCGGGTCTCAGGTCTCAGGTCTCAGGTCTCAGGTCTCAGGTCTCGAATCTCGGGTCTCGAATCTCGGGTCTCTGGTTTCTGTATTATACGTATCTTGTTATTAAACCCCCTCTCACCAAAACTTCCCGGTTTAACAAAAAGACTACTTTGACTAAAGGCTCTTGTATTTGATTGTTAATCGCAAATTAACCTCTTAGCTCTTGAAATTGAACCTCTAACTACCAAGTAACCCAATTCAAACAAAAAAAAACAAAAATGGACAGAAAAAAAAAAACCAACAAAAAATTACCATTTGACACTACCCTTGAAATTTTGAAAGAGGAAGAAGAGGAAGAAGAGGTGAGGTTAAGGTGAGGTAAAGGTGAGGTAAAGAGGCAAGGAAAGAAAGAGACGGGTTGGAGTTCAAGAGTATGAGTTTAGTAAACAGAAGGCTATTTAGTATTGTGCAACCATGTTTGCAACATACGTCACATCCGAGGTTTGTTGATACAATCAAGGAGACGTCGAAACCGGCACAGGAACGGTCGTATGAGATTACAAGACCAATTGGGTTGGAATCGCCTGTTTTGCTTAATCACAAGCTATCAGACACTTACTCCCTTTCCAATGTAGGGAATGAACTATTTGGCGCTCAGGCCAAAGAGAGGCGACAGAAGTATTTGGACTATGATTTAAAGCATTCACCTATATTTGACGCTAAATCATTTCGCAACACAAATGGCAAGATATTTACTCCTCCAATTTCATGGTTTAAACTGGAAAAATCATTGTATTTTCCTGATTTCGTAGCCAAAACACTAATAGGTGACAAGGAAAGCTTATACGGTTTATTGAGAGCGAAATATAGTATTGTCCGGTTATTTTCCTCAGTAACAGGTGACGAATGTACCAAGACGTATTTCAAAGTTGATAACAATGACTTTTACACTAGCAGCTATGCGCAGTTTACTCAGGAATTTCCCAAGTTTCAAATAATTGACATCAACATGCCTACTAGTTGGATTAAAGGTTTCATTTTGAGCTTGTCTTTATCCAATTTGAAAAAGACAATACCGCCAGAGAGGTGGAATCAGTACTTTATTTTACCAAATCATCTTTTACCTCCGGATATACGAGAAAAGCTACACTGTGATAACCAATGTTCAGGTTATATTTACATAGTTGATTCTGTGGGGAAGATAAGATGGGCAACTAGCGGATATGCAACTACTGATGATTTGAAATTGATGTGGAAAGTCGTTAGGGGTTTACTGAGAGAATCAACAAACCAAGTTTTGTAATGTCATGTATACGTTAAGTTGACATTCACATTTAAGTATAAAAAATCCGGATCTAATCTCTCAAGCACAAAAGCTCACCTAGCTTTTCTTAGGAGGAGTGGATAAAATCCGGATCTAATCTCACAAGCACAAAAGCTCACCTAGCTTTTCTTAGGAGGAGTGGATAAAATCTCACAAGCACAGACTGAAAAGTTTCTCAATTAACTTTATTTTCTTCTCTATTGAGAGAGAAAGGTTGTTACTAGTGTGCCACTAGTCAGCGGTGCTCCACTATCTCGCTTCGCTCGATAGCGTCGCACATATATATACTTTTATCCAAATGCATGCAACTGGTAGTGCTGAAAATCCTGTTTTTTTTCTCTTTTGAAACTTCATCCGAAACTTTGATTTAATGTTTCTTGAACCTTACCCAAATACTTTCTTCCTTTTTTTTCTTTTTCTTCCATGTAGTGGTACAAGGCATGTATGTGTATTCAAATGTTTTATGCTACTTCTTTTTCAATGATGAACATTTTCAATTGGGAATCTCTCTGACAAATCCAAAAAACTAAGCATGGAGAAAACCAATAAATTGATTTCTGATTCTAAGTAGCGATACACTTTCAAGTATATAACATCTTTACTAACTCAGATTAAGCAAAAGAAAAATAAAAATAAAAAAAAGAAAAGGGTTCCAATTGCAAATTATCATCGCAAGAAAGGAAGAAAAGGAGTTCCTGGGAGAGATAGGGGCATTTTCGAGTTAGCGACACTATCGAGCAGAGCGAAATAGTGGAGCACACTAGCTGCCACCACTAGCTATTGCAGGCGACATTGTCGTTAGTAGTATACAATAAATTGTATGGTAGTAGTGTGAATTTGTAAATTAACATTATTACACCGTCTACCATTGTAGTAATAAATTAGCACAGTTATAAAAGCATCTCTCATATAGTACTGTACTGAAACAAAAAAAAAGAAAAGGAAGAGTATATGATTTTGTAGCCCTAATGGTGCACGTGATTACTTATTTTTTAGCTTTTCCTCATTAATTTTCTCGCATGATGTTCATTTGGTAGCGCGTTTTTTTCAATAGTCGATTGAAAATTTCGCTTTCCCAGTCAATTGACAAAAATGGTATAAACGGTTTGTTCTTCTCTTCAGCAACGTCATAAAGCACATAGCCCTCCCCCACTTTCAAAAGAACAATGTCTGGTATGCAAAAGGAAAAGGTTGATCAACAACCAGAAGAGCAAATTCACAAGATTAGAATTACTTTGACCTCCACCAAGGTCAAACATTTGGAAAATGTTTCAGCTAACATCATCCGTAATGCTTCTCAACGTAATATTGTTAAGAAAGGACCAGTTAGAATGCCAACTAAGGTTTTGAAAATCACAACCAGAAAAGCTCCAAATGGTGAAGGTTCTAAGACTTGGGATGCTTACGAAATGAGAATTCACAAGAGAGTTATTGATTTACAAGCCCCAGCTACCACCGTGAAGAAAATTACCCAAATCACCATTGAACCAGGTGTAGATGTTGAAGTTACAATTGCTGCTTAAATGGTGTTTTTTATTGGAGCAAACAAACCTTTTTAAAAGAAAGAGTGTTGTTTTTTTTTAGAGAGAGCTGCATCCAAGTGCTCTAGGCGCCGTGTGTTTTAATTAACATGCTGACGTTGTGGGTTAGCTATCAGGATTTGGTGTAGCAAATAGTATATGATAGGAAAAAGGATAATTCAATCTAAATTTTGACCGAAAGTAATGTAGTAGTAGTAGTAGCAGTAAGAAATATTGCAGGAGATGGCAGAACTGGTGACTTACTTTTTCACTAAGTTTATTGAGATTAGAGTCCTTTCTCTTTCTTTTCTTGCTGCTTTTACATTTCTCACCTCACCACACTTTCACTCTTTTAAACCAATTCTACCACAGAAAACAGGACCTTCTCTCTAAAATCCTTCTATATCTTTCTTGGTTTTTTTTTTTTTTTTTTTTTTTTTTTTTTTTTTTTTTTTTTTTTTTTCGCAGCTATGATAACTTGGGAACAGTACAAAATATATTTTGTGTCTGAGATGAGATGAGATGAGATGAGAAGACCCAATAACGATTTTTATTAGATCATTATAAACTTGAACAATTAGAGATAATTTAGGGTCTATTGTAATTGAACTACTTTTATGTTTAGATAAGTCTGTTGAACAATCAGAATGAAGTTAGATACATCGCATATGAGGTATCTTACCTCGGACGACTTTCGTGTACTACAGGCTGTAGAATTAGGTTCGAGAAATCATGAACTAGTTCCCACACAAATGATCCATTCAATTTCAGGTTTGAAATCGCTTTCTGGCACACAAAGGGCGATAGGAGATATAGCTAAGTTGAAGCTTATTGCGCGTTTGCGTAACGCCAAGTATGATGGGTTTAGGCTAACACACATTGGGTACGATTATTTAGCCTTGAAGTCGATGTTGAATAGAAACACGCTATACTCTGTTGGTTCGACAATTGGAGTTGGTAAGGAATCAGACATTTTTTCAATAAGTGACCCTCAAGGAGTACAAAAAGTTATCAAGATTCACAGACTAGGCCGTACATCTTTTAAAACGGTAAAAAATAATCGAGACTATTTAAAGAATAGACATACTTCGAATTGGATGTACTTATCGCGATTAGCGGCAGAGAAAGAGTACCAATTTATGCAGATATTATATGATAATGGATTCAATGTGCCGCAACCATTTGATAATTCGAGACATTGTGTTATCATGGAGTGGATAGAGGGAATGCCTATGAAACATCTCAACAGCAGTAATGTCGGTGATCTTAATTACAGAAAGTTGTATTCTGATCTAATGAACTTCATAGTCAAATTAGCCAAACACGGTTTAATCCATTGTGATTTTAATGAGTTCAACATTATTATCAGAGATCAAAAGAAGTCTATCGAGGGTAATGACAACTTTGTAGTGATTGATTTTCCTCAGTGTGTATCAATAGAGCATGTTGATGCAAAGGAGTATTTCGACAGAGATGTAGAGGGAATAAGAGACTTTTTTAGAAAGAAATTTCGGTACTATCCGCAGCATGACTCTACCATGCTTGATACTGATGGTTATGGAGATGGTTATAGGTATGCATATCCTAATTTCAAAAGAGATGTGATTCGTGAAGCGCTGTTGGATGTTGAGGTGCAAGCATCTGGGTATGCAAAGAAAACTACAGGTAGAAAAGAAGAAAAGGATTTGGAAAAAGCAGTAATGGGTATGAGAATAGCTACCAACGAGAACGACGATCTTTCAGAAGTTGAAAGTGAGGATAATAATGACGATGAGGAGGAGGAGGAGGAGGAAGAAGAAGAAGAAGAGTATGAGCTTCAAGGTGAAGAAGAAAGTAATCACGATGCAGAAAATGAAAAAATAGTAGAAGCATTGTTGGCTGGCGGTGAGAATTTGAAAATGGATAAGCTAGGTAATTATATTATAGAGTAGCAAACATTAGCAGAGTTAAAGAATAGCAAAACAAAATTATATATTGTATAGGCATTGTTGTTTTATGCTTCCCTTTCTTTGATTTATCTCGATGTCTTTTGATTAGCTACTAAATGTACAAAAAAACTTCATGAAAAACGAAAATGATCAAAAATTACATTCCCTTTTTTTTTTTTATTTATTTAACGAGTAGCCATACCTTTAGTAACGGCTCTTTTCAAAGTTAACTCAGCCTTTCTGTAATCATCAGCAGAAGAATCTTCAATTTCCAAAGTTTGCAAAGCTTCAGATAATGCAGTTTCAATCTTGTCTTTTGCCGATTTTTTCATTTTGGCACTCAAGACTGGGTCGGTAACAGTGGATTCAACAGAGGCAACATAAGCTTCTAATTTTTGTTTTTGTTCGTGTCTCTTTGCAAAAGCGTCATCAGATGATTTGAATTTTTCAGCATCGCTAATCATTTTTTCAATTTCTTCTGTAGATAATCTACCAATGGAGTTGGAGATGGTAATGTTGGCTGATCTGCCTGTGGATTTTTCAACAGCAGTAACCTTCAAGATACCATTAGCATCAACTTCGAAAATAGCTTCCAATACTGGTTCACCAGCTTGCATAGGTGGAATGTTTTTCAAATCAAATTCACCCAACAAGGTGTTCTCTGAACAGTTAACACGTTCACCTTGGTAAACTGGGAATTGAACTGTGGTTTGGTGGTCAGCAACAGTAGTGAAGGTTCTTCTTTTGATGGTTGGAACAGTGGTGTTTCTTGGGACAACTGGAGCGAAAACGTTACCTTGCATAGCAACACCAAGAGACAATGGAATAACATCCAATAACAACAAGTCTTTTGTTTCATCATTAGTGGATTGACCGGTCAAGATAGCACCTTGAACGGCAGCACCATAAGCAACGGCTTCATCTGGGTTGATGGATTTTTCCAATTGTTTACCGTCAAAGAAATCTGATAATAGTTTTTGAACTTTTGGAATTCTAGTGGAACCACCAACAAGAACGACTTCGTCAACTTGGCTCTTGTTGATCTTGGCATCTTTCAACACTTGTTCAACAGGTTCCAATGTTGATTTGAACAAAGCAGAATTAATATCTTCGAATCTAGCTCTGGTAATGTTGGCTGAAAAGTCGTGTCCATCAAACAATGAGTCGATTTCAACAGTGGTTTGAGTACCTGAAGATAAAGATCTCTTTGCTCTTTCACAAGCAGTTCTTAATCTTCTTAAAGCTCTAGCATCACCCGAGATATCGGAACCAGTCTTTTTCTGGAATTCTTTTTGAAAGTGCTCTAATAAATTAGTATCGAAATCTTGACCACCCAAGTGAGTGTCACCAGCGGTAGCCTTAACGGTGAAAACACCACCAGTAATGTTCAATAATGAAACATCAAAAGTACCACCACCCAAATCGAAAATCAAAACGTGTCTTTCTTTTTCTGATTTACCGGCACCTAAACCATAAGCAATAGCAGCAGCGGTAGGCTCGTTAATGATTCTCAAAACGTTCAAACCAGCGATGGCACCAGCATCCTTAGTGGCTTGTCTTTGAGCATCATTGAAATAAGCAGGAACAGTAATAACAGCCTTTTCGACTTTTTTACCAATTTTAGCTTCAGCAATTTCCTTCATCTTGGTTAAAACCATGGATGAAATTTCCTGAGGAGAAAAAGTTTTGGTTTCTCCCAAATACTCAACTTCAATTTGTGGTTGACCATTTTGGTTGGTAACGGTAAAAGGCCATGACTTGATATCTTTTTGAACAGACTCGTCGTCAAAAGCTCTACCAATCAAACGCTTAGCGTCAAAAACGGTATTCTTTGGGTTCAAAGCTGCTTGGTTCTTTGCTGCATCACCAATTAATCTTTCTTCGCTAGTGAAAGCGACAAAAGAAGGAGTAACTCTATTACCTTGCTCATTGGCAATAATTTCAACTGCTGAGTCGTAGGTAGCGACACAAGAATAAGTAGTACCTAAATCGATACCAATAGCACCCTGGAAAACACCGTCAGCCATTATGATGTTAATATGAAGAAGGTTTTCAAATTTAATGTAGAAAAGAGTGGGAAAAAAAAGGGAGAAAAGAAAAGGAAAGGAAGTGAAAAAAAAACCACTATGAAAAAAAAAAAAAAAAGGATGAGCTTGAAAAATTTCCAACTTTTTTTCACTTTTTTTCACTTTTTTTTTTTTGATTCTTCAAATTGGAAATGGAAAAAGTTTAAAATTAATGAAAAAAAAATGAAAAATTTTTCACCTCACTTCTTTTTTTGTAATAGTAATAGTAGTAATAGTGGTGGTCATTGTAGTAGCTGTAGTAGCTGTAGTAGTTGTAGTAGTTGTAGTAGCTGTAGTAGTTGTAGTAGCTGTAGTAGCAATGGTAGCTATGGTAGCTATGGTAATTGTCGCTACCTCGATTGAAGCTAGTTATTGCGTGTTGTACGATGGGTGAGTGGTGGCATTACTTGTTTTGTCACTTCTGTTTCTGGGACTAATCTATATTTACCATGTCTAAAATCTGACCCTTTTTCTTTTTCTTTTTCTTTTTCTTTTTCTTTCTGATAGTGTTGTAGCAAGCCATTCAGTACTGCTCAAATCTCGCTTTACTCGATAGTGTCATGGTGTTATAGTGTCGGTCAGTACCGCTCTACTAGCTCGCTTTGCTCGATAGTGTCATAGTATCGGTCAGTACTGCTCCACTATCTCGCTTTGCTCAATAGTGTTTCTCGCTTTGCTCGATAGTGTTTCAATTGCATGCGTTAGCTGCTTTCTTAAGCTCATATACTGCGATTTCTACATTTTTGGCTATTCCGTGTATGGCTACTTCTTGTAAAGTATTTCTCTGACTTGTTGTTAAGGCATTGTATCTTTTGAAATCATTTATAGGCGGAAGCACATGTATCCAGCATCTCAGTTGGATTCTAATAGAGTTGAGCCTCAACCCACCAATACCAATTATTTTACTCACTTGTTTTTGATTAAATTGTACAATCTTTGTTTTCTGTTCAAATGTGGAGGTGTTGGTGGAGATTTCTTTATACTTTCCAACTCTCGGTAAATGAATATTGTTTATTGATTCAATTGGAGAAATAGTCAACACACGGGTTTGGTTACAAAGTGGCAACAGACTCCACAATAAATCAAAACTTTGCAAGGGCACTTTTACTTTGCCATTGTTGAAGACACCATTGAGTTTATGACAATCATCTAAAGAACCAAGAATCGTGAGTGAATGTTTGTAATCGATGTATTCTCGAAGCAAAGAGCGCACTATTTTGTTATTGTAACCATCATCTTTTTGCAACAAAAAATTCATCTCCCATACTGAGTTTATTAGTGACTTTGCAACACATATATCGTAATCGGTTTCTAGTGATAATGTGATTAGTTCTTTGTTTACTAGGTTTGTTAGAATTTTGATAAGATCTGCAGTTGTCAAAATTACCGTTAATGTAAATGTAGAATGACTCTTTGTCTCATTACTGTTGTTGATAATTTTGAAACACGAAATATCTTGTTTAATAAGTAATGACTTGATTGAAAACACCATTTGTGACAAGTGTGAGTAAGGCACTTTTGGTGTGTTGCTGAAAGGCTACTATTTTATAGATTTGAAAGTTTTGCAATTTTGCAACCAGCAACACTATCGAACAACACTATCGAACAACACTATCGAACAACACTATCGAACAACACTATCGAGCAGAGCGAGATAGTGTCTGCCAAGTGTTGCTCCACTATCGAGCTAGCACTATCGAGCAGAGCGAGATAGTGTCTGCTAAGTGTCTGCTAAGTGTTGCTCCACTATCTCGCTCTGCTCGATAGTGTCTACTAAGTGTTGCTCCACTATCTCGCTCTGCTCGATAGTGTCTGCTAAGTGTCTGCTAAGTGTTGCTCCACTATCTCGCTCTGCTCGATAGTGTCTACTAAGTGTTGCTCCACTATCTCGCTTTGCTCGATAGTGTCTACTAAGTGTCTTCTCGATAGTAAATGACAGCTGTACATTAAAACTAGCCATAGTCTATCATATTATGTTTAAAAGAATATATGTATATATAATTGTAACGCGCGTGATAAAGGTCTCTAGAGTCAATCAGCTTCCTTTTCAGGCACTCTCAACTTCCTCTACTATGGTTTCTGGTAACACACTCATAATCCTAGCAGCATCATATAGAAAGTGGTACTGATAAACGGTTTGTACCATCATCATTCTCTTATCTCTCAATTGAGATACTGCTTTAAATATGATATCCTTCTTGCCAGCACCACTCATTATTAAATCTCTAAACCGACTTTGGTCCTTAAACAAATGGTCATAAACCAAAAACGTCCCCGATCTTCCAACTCCTGCAGAACAATGTACTATAGGTACAGGTTCTTTTACTTTTCCCGTTTCCTTTCCAATGGACTTTTTTACCTTGTCAATGTGATGTGACAAATTGCTCAACAGCTGAATCGATGGTGGTACTTTTGCATCTGACCATTTGTAGTAATAAAAATGATAAACTTTTTTCGTCTTGTTCCTCGACTGGACTTCCAATTCGGTTACAATAAAATCATCATTTGCACCATATGTTTCGTTTTTGTTGACAACTTTCATCTCCTTGTACAATATTCCATCTCGTTCATTTTCCGCAGAAAAATCCCACATCTCGCCTAATTCGGGCCAGTATTTGTCACATTTGGTCATTCCTTGTTCTATCAATGGAGTTACCATCACTATCACAATTACATTATTCCCCTGTTTTTCCAGCTCATGAAAGCACATTGACCAAAAATGGTTCCTTGTAGTCCCCAATGGTCCCTGACACGCTATATACTCATTCTGTAGCAACCCTCCACTAGTTTCGAGTCTAATATAAGAAGCATTGAAGTAATCTGAAAATACCTTTTCGTCAACAACTGGGATTTTAACCCTTGATGCATCGTAAGGAGATACATTCGAGTACCTATTTCGCAGTTTGTTTTTCTTATCCAAAGCTGCTTTTAACGACCAAATGGAATCCTCATTATTCAACCCTTCAGTAATTCTTTTTGCTTCAAGCTCATTCAACTCATTAAATTTAACCCGCTGCTGCTGGGTCGTGAGAGTCAAAAATGCCGCCCGCTGCATATTACTCTGGTACTTAACCAATGGTGGTTTTTTTTCGTTCGCTAATGTTACCGGTTTCCTGAAAATGTTCATCCGACGAAACAGATCTTGTCTCAAAAGTAAATGCATTTTAAAAAAAAAAAAAAAATTAAAAATAAATAAAGACCCCAGATTTGTTTCCCTACTCACTTTTTTTCTCAATCTGTCTTTTTTACGATGTGGTTTCTTATTATTTTTATTTTTTTCCCCTGTTCTCCGGCTCTTTTATTACCCAGTTGATGCTCTTGAAGTGGACACTGTCGATATATATATATATATATATATATGTGTGTGTGTGTTTGTGTGTGTTTGTGTGTGAAGAAGATAAGCTTGTTTTATTTTTCTACATTAAGACGTTTCTGAATTGTAGGTGTTTTTATATGTTTCCTTAATAAGTTCTTGTATATGTTATAGTCCTTTAAAAAGCGTTATTGTTTTCATGCATTTTATTTAGATGCAAAAATTGCATGACTGTACACGTACCGTTCATTATGAAGCCAGAACCACACGTTGGAGTGGAGGAGGGGATGATGTCGGCAAAAGCGGCCAGTTTTTTTTTTTTTTTTTTTTCTCATTATTTTTAATATTAGATGATAACAATAGACAGAGACGAGAATAGCATCAATAAACTACAATGTGTGGACTATTAAAATAAAAAATAGGTTTATATATACGTGGGGGCAAGGGAGCTTTATTAAGAGGGCTAACACAATAGTAGAATATAGTACAATATTCACAACACTCTAGGGCTTTTTCATCCAATGATTTCAATAATAACCAATGCCCACTGGTTATTGTTTAGAATGAAAATTTGATATATTTTCCGTCAAATACAATAACTTGTGGTTATAGAAAAGATTGTGCATTTTGTCTTCACTGTCGAGCGAAGCGAGATAGTGGAGCAACAATGACTAGCTGTCCACTATCGAGCGAAGCGAGATAGTGAAGCAACAATGACCAGCCGTCCACTCCTATCAAGTCTATGGTTCTTCTGACGCGTAGAAAAAAAAGAATAAAAATATTCCAAATGTGTCAAATTTTTTGGCCTAGAATTGAGTGAAAAAAATTAAAAAAGAGAATAAACTTGGCGCACTATCAAACGAAGCAACACTGACTAGCTGTCTACTATCGAGCGAAGCGAGATAGTGTCGTTCGATAGTGTAGTTCGATAGTGTCGCTTACTAATCAAGTGTGTCGATAGTATTAAGAGCTAGTATGCTCCACTATCTCGCTTCGCTCAATAGTGTTGATAGTATTAAGAGCTAGTATGCTCCACTATCTCGCTTCGCTCGATAGTGTCGATAGTGTCGATAGTGTCGATAGTGTCGATAGTGTTAATAGTATGCTCCACTATCTCGTTTCACTCGATAGTGTCGCAAGAGTGAACAAAAGGAGCCTGGTTAGCTCAATCGGCTAGAGCGTGAGACTTTTAATCTCAAGGCTGCGGGTTCGAGTCCCGCATCGGGCTTACCAATTTTTTTTGACTTTTAAAAAAAGATCTTCAAACTAACAGAAAAAAGTTGAATTTATAGTTTTAGTATACCCGAGGATGTCTAAAAGAGAATTTTAATTTTTCAATACTATATTGTATCCATACAATGAGAGCTACAAAAGACGTCGCTGCTGCCTCACTGCTGCCTCTTTTCGCCGCTGCCTTTTCCCTTTGCTGCCTCTTTTCGCCGCTGCCTTTTCCCTTCGCAGTCTCTTTTCGCCGCTGCCTTTTCCTTCGCTGCCTCTTTTCGCCGCTGCCTTTTCCTTCGCTGCCTCTTTCCACCGCCCCACACGTTTAGATCCATTGTGGATTGCAACAACAAAAAAAAATTTATTTTTTTTCTCATTTCTGTATAACTACTACTTTAAATCTTTTTAGTACTACACAAATAGTCACAATGTAAAAGTTATTTATCCAACATGCCACTTCATGATTCTCACCCCCCCCTCCCCCACCCAATTGCTTATAATAATAGCTTTTGCTTAATAAAATTGAGTGAGTTATCACAAAATGTACGTTTACTCCCTATTATCCTAATGCTCTCTCTTTTCTTTACAAATCTGTCATAAAGATGTAACGGAGATGATATTTAATTTTGTGGAGAAAAAATAAAGACAATTTTTCTTACAAATCTATACACTATGATTGGTTAGAAATACTATTTTTCGTTAAACGGAACCGAACCAATTTCGATTCTAAACTACAACCCATTAAATTTTTACCTCCATGGTAACCTTCCCCTTCTTCTTCCTTTTCTCCTCCATGTTAACCTTCCCTTCTCCTCCATGTTAACCTTCCCTTCTCCTCCATCTTAACCTTCCCTTCTTCTTCCCTTTCTCCTTTTTTTTCTTTCTCCTATAGCGATATTCAATTGGTGGTCTAGAGAGTTAAAAAACCTTCTCTCCCATACAAATTTTTTTTTTTTCATTTATTTTTTTTTTTTTTTTCCTCCTTCTTTACCAATCGAATTTCAACCATTTATAAACCTTTCATTCTTCTTCTTTTAGGTTTTTTTTTTTTTTTTTTTTTCACATCTTTGGTATACTTCTTTCTTCTTTTAATTTTACTCTATATATCAAAGAAGTAACTGCTATAACATGTTGTCTGCATCAAGAACAGCTGTTAGAGCTACTCGTTCAATCCGTAGTTTTGCCACGGCTCTCAATAAGGATTCTCGAGTTAATCAAAACTTATTGGAAACACATTCATTTATCAACTACAAAAAGCAATTGGAGAATTTAGAGATTGTTAAGTCAAGATTGAACAGGCCCTTGACTTATGCTGAAAAAGTTTTGTATGGTCATCTAGATGATCCTCACAACCAGGAAATTGAAAGAGGTGTTTCCTATTTGAAATTGAGACCAGATAGAGTTGCCTGTCAAGATGCTACTGCTCAAATGGCCATTTTGCAATTTATGTCTGCCGGTATCCCACAAGTTGCTACTCCTTCAACTGTTCACTGTGATCATTTGATTCAGGCTCAAGTTGGTGGCGCAAAAGATTTAGCTAGAGCTATTGATTTGAATAAAGAAGTTTACGATTTCTTGGCTTCTGCTTGTGCCAAGTATAATTTGGGTTTTTGGAAACCTGGTTCAGGTATTATCCACCAAATTGTCTTGGAAAATTATGCTTTCCCAGGTGCTTTATTGATTGGTACCGATTCGCATACTCCAAACGCTGGTGGATTGGGTCAATTAGCTATTGGTGTTGGTGGTGCTGATGCTGTTGATGTCATGTCCGGTTTGCCTTGGGAATTGAAAGCACCAAAGATTATCGGTGTCAAATTGAGCGGTAAAATGTCGGGATGGACTTCACCAAAGGATATCATTTTGAAATTGGCTGGTATTACAACTGTTAAAGGTGGTACTGGTGCGATTGTGGAATACTTTGGTTCAGGTGTGGAAACCTTTTCTTGTACCGGTATGGGTACTATTTGTAATATGGGTGCAGAAATTGGTGCCACCACTTCAGTTTTCCCATTCAACAATTCAATGGTTGATTATTTGAATGCTACTGGTAGATCGGAAATTGCTGAATTTGCCAATGTCTATAAGAAGGATTACCTTTCTGCTGATCCAGGCTGTGAATATGATCAAGTTATTGAAATTGACTTGAACACATTGGAACCACACATTAATGGTCCATTTACCCCAGATTTGGCTACTCCAGTTTCCAAAATGAAGGAAACTGCAATTGCTAATGACTGGCCATTGGATGTCAGAGTTGGTTTGATTGGTTCATGTACCAATTCTTCATACGAAGATATGACCAGAGCTGCTTCCATTATTAAAGACGCTGAAGCTCATGGCTTGAAAGCCAAGGCTTTGTACACTGTTTCTCCAGGTTCTGAACAAGTTAGAGCCACTATTGCTAGAGATGGACAATTGAAGACGTTTGAAGACTTTGGTGGTGTTGTAATGGCAAATGCTTGTGGTCCATGTATTGGTCAATGGGATAGACAGGATATCAAGAAGGGTGAAAAGAATACTATTGTTTCTTCATTCAATAGAAACTTTACAGCTAGAAATGACGGAAACCCAGCTACACATGCGTTTGTTGCTTCCCCAGAAATGGCTACTGTTTATGCTATTTCCGGAGACTTGGGTTTCAACCCAATAACTGATACCTTGGTTGGCGCTGATGGTAAAGAGTTCAAATTAAAAGAGCCACAAGGAGTTGGTTTGCCACCAGATGGATACGACCCAGGTGAAAACACTTATCAAGCACCACCTAAAGACAGAGCCTCTGTTGAAGTTGTTATTTCTCCAACCTCAGATAGATTGCAAAAATTGACACCATTCAAACCATGGGATGGCAAAGATGCTGAAAGATTACCAATTTTGATTAAAGCTGTCGGTAAAACGACCACCGATCATATTTCAATGGCTGGTCCATGGTTGAAATACCGTGGTCACTTGGAAAATATTTCAAATAACTATATGATTGGTGCTACCAATGCTGAAAATGGCAAAGCCAACGAAGTTAAGAACCACTACACAGGTAAATGGGACGGTGTTCCACAAACCGCAGCTGCATTGAGAGATTCTGGACACAAGTGGGTTGTCATTGGTGATGAAAATTTCGGTGAAGGTTCATCAAGAGAACACGCTGCTTTGGAACCAAGATATCTCGGTGGTTTTGCAATCATTACCAAATCATTTGCTCGTATCCACGAAACCAACTTGAAAAAGCAAGGTTTGTTACCCTTGAACTTTGTCAATGTTGCTGATTACGATAAAATCAACCCTGATGATGAGATTGACTTGATTGGATTAACCGAGTTAGCCCCAGGTAAAAACCTTATTATGAGAGTACATCCAAAGAATGGCGAAGCATGGGAAACCGAATTATCACACACATATAACAAGGAACAAATTGAATGGTTCAAATATGGTTCAGCTTTGAATAAGATGGCTGCTGTTGCCGCTGAAAAGAAGGCAAAGTTGTAAAAAAGGTGAATTACAAAAAAAAAGAAGAAGAAGAACAAATGAAGGAAGTTTGTGGATGGGAGGATGAGAAAGTGGATGGTTGTTTGTCGTCTCGCTATTTTTAACGATTCGACTTATCGCTAATATATTTATATATATATATCATTTAACATATTTATTTTGATGCAAAATGAAGTAAAAAAACAAGAAACAAAAGACAAATAACAAAATACATATTCCGTATATAAGAATTGATTACAAAAAGTACCTTTTTTTTAAAACGTTGTTTCTCTGATCATGATCATGGGTAAATGTTCCTGTAAGCCATATATATATATATATATATATATATATTTATATTTATTTATTTATTTTTTTTTTTTTTTTCTGTTTGATAGATGTGTGGCGCATTATATCCGTTTCTGGCGAAATTTTTCAATTTGCAATTTTTAACAAGAATCCGGTTTGGCATAAAAGTGGGTGAGCAAGTGGTTAAATGGAGTATCCCGAGCTAAAATGTGGTGCGGGGTCTATACTATACCCAATGGCGCCTCATTATGACAATGCTTTCAATCCCTGCTTTTTAACGACATCTTTCACACTAGTAGCCGTTATTTTTCTTGCGTACGGCACGATAACATACAAAAAATTACTTAAAAAGCACCGATTCGGAGGTTTTCTGTCAAAAAGTACTGGATGGAGGAGGCTGTACCTTCTACCAGCTGCGCTTTTGCTAGAAATAATGCTCTTTGCTTATATTACCAGCTTTGTCAGTGTTCATGAAAGATTTGCTGATCAGAAAATCATTGCTTTTGGGCTACTCAATATCCTTTTGATTTTCATAATATTCCCATTAGAGGTGATGGAGACATCTTATTCTCCCATACAGTTGAGTGTGTTATTGATCTTTTGGCCACTTTTTACGATGCTTCTCCTTGCGTTATATTTTCAAGATAACTTTACCGATTGGGCTATTATTAAGCTGGTAAGATCTATCAAATTTACTGAATCATTATTGATAATAAATTCTATTTTTATCTTTATCATGGAGTACTACATGTGGGAGCCCAGCCAAGAGTTGATCATGCATTATAGAAGCACTGGCCAAGAAGAAAAACTCACAGAGCCTAATATTATCCAGCAAATCACTTTTACCTGGATGAATGACTTGATTGTCAACTCTTACAAGAATAAAACCGTTACCAGTACAGAATTACCCAATAGCCCTCAGGAGGTATCTATTGTGTATTCTGCAAAAAAATTGGGACAATATTGGCACGGAGGAAACTTAATAACCAGCTTATTAAAGGCTTTCGGAACCGGTTTGCTAGTCTCGTTTGCATATGAGTTGGGCGGAAAACTCTTGAATTTTGTCAAACCACAATTGCTAAGATTGTTGATATTATATTTTGACATCAAGAACCCACCGTTTTTAGAGGGATTATTGATTTGTTTTGCAATATTTGCCAGCTCCATAATACAAACATCCTTGAACAATAAGTACATGTTAAAGAATCTCGAGAACGGATTGAGTGTGAGAAGCTCATTGACATCTTTGATCTACCAGAAAGCTCTTGTGCTATCGAGTGAAAGTCGATTAAAGGTGTCATCAGGTGACATTATCAATTTATTGTCTGTGGATATTAATCGAGTTCAGCGTGTATTGTTGAACTTGAGTACTTTGGTATTAGCTCCATTCGATCTTGTTTTATGCGTCGTGTCACTTTGGCCCCTCTTGGGTAGTTCCACATTGGCTGGGATTGCTGTAATGGTGATTTTAATACCAGTGAATGCAATTTTAGTACGCTATACAAGAAGACTAAATAAAAAACAGATGAAGCTAAAAGATTCACGAACAAGAATTATCAACGAGATATTAACTTCAATCAAAAGTGTTAAGTTATATGCATGGGAAAAACCAATGTTGCATAAACTATTTGAAGCTAGAAATAATAAGGAGTTGAAAAACATGCTCAAAATCAAGATGTTGAACTTAGTTTCCAATTTAGTATGGTACATGATTCCTGTTTTGGTCAGTTTGATGTCGTTTGGGTGTTTTGCTTTGACCCAGGAAACTCCATTGACTTCTGATATTGTGTTTCCTGCACTAACATTATTGGGCTTATTGTCTGCGCCATTGTACGAATTGCCTGCAGTTATAACCTCGATTATTGAAGCCCAGGTTGCAATTGGAAGGATTAGAGATTTTTTGACTAGTGAAGAACTTGATGAGAGTTTAATAAAACGGTTGCCTAAACTCGTTTCTGGTGCAAAGGATGACAAAATGGTTGAGATAAGCAATGCATCATTTTATTGGACTCGAAAGAGCTATGTTGACGAGGAAGAAGAGGAAGAGGAAGTGGAAGAGGAAGTGGAAGAGGAGGAAGAAAGAGGGCATCAGGCTGATGCTCATCAGTTGCACGCGTTAAAAAATATCGACTTTAGCGTAAACAAGGGCGATCTTTCATGCATTGTAGGCAAGGTTGGAAGCGGCAAAACCTCTTTGTTGTATGCTTTGCTTGGCCAGATGGTTGTAACGAAAGGAAAACGCGCAGAGCCCCCAAATATTTGCATTCGTGGCTCTATAGCCTACTGTGCGCAAACTCCTTGGATCATGAATGCATCAGTAAAGGAAAACATCCAATTTGGGTGCAGATTCGATGCAGATTTTTACAACAAGACTATTGATGCATGCCAGCTACTGCAAGATTTAGAAGCATTACCTGATGGAGATGACACACAAGTGGGAGAAAAAGGTATTAGCTTGTCAGGGGGTCAAAAGGCAAGATTGGCGTTAGCCAGAGCAGTTTATTCCAGAGCAGATATCTACTTGCTAGACGATATACTATCAGCAGTTGATTCGCATGTGGGGAAGAAAATTATTGATCAAGTTCTTAGCAAAAGTGGACTATTAGGCTCTAAGACAGTAATTTTGTGCACAAATTCGATATCGGTATTAAAGTATTCTGATCATGTAACATTGATCGATGCCGGTACTGTTGTTGAGACAACCACATATCAGGATGTGGGAGAGTTGCAACACCCAAAGCTATTCTATTGGATAAAAAACTTTAGCAAAGACACAAAGGACTTTGATTCAGATATTTTGTCCCCCCCAACGGCACTGATCTTATCGTCAAAAAGCTTCTCTTCTGCAGAAGAAAACAAGTCTGTTGTGGTTGCAGATGATAGCGAGACGAAAAGTTTGAGGAGAGCTAGCATTGAAACGTTTCAATGGGATCCACTAGCGAAGTTATTGCCTAATTTGAGATCAGGGCAATCACAAGAGGAGAGCCAAAAAGGAAAAGTGAAATGGTCTGTTTACATTGCATACTTCAAGGCTTGCTCTGTTGTGGGAATCGTGATCTGGCTCAGTGTTTTGGTTGTGAGTAACATACTATCCATAGCGGGCAACTATTGGCTCAAATATTGGACGGAAGAAAACTCAAAGTATGGTACAAACAAAAACGTTTGGAGATTTCTTCTGATATATGCGGCACTCCAAGTAGGCTCTACTTTATTGTCAATAGTTCGATCTGCAATTATGACTTTATGGCTCGGGTTGAATGCATCAAGAAGAATCCATGACAATATGGCGAAGCGAGTTTTGGCCGCTCCAATGGAATTTTTCGAACGAACGCCAGTGGGCAGGATCATGAACCGCTTTACGAATGATATAAACAAAATCGATGATGGCATTCCATTTGTTTTTCAAGGATTTGTCTCTCAGATTACAAAAACAGTGTTCACTTTAATAGTAGTGAGTATTGCCATACCCGCATATGCAATTGTTATTTCAATTTTATCTGCGATATACATTTACTACGAAATATACTACGTTTCGATTTCAAGAGAATTGAAAAGGTTGGTTAGTGTTTCGAGGTCACCTATTTATGCACATTTGGGAGAAAGCTTGAATGGGATAGACACTATTCGTGCGTATAATCAGAAGGATAGGTTTGGCTTTATTATGAACAAAGTAGTAGATTTCAACCTCAAATCACAGTATATGCTTACATCTATAAATCGGTGGTTGAATTTTAGATTGCAAGTAGTTGGAGGTTTGGGAGTATTGTCAGCCTCCTTGATGTCCGTTATGAGTTTGCGAACTTTGCATCCGCTAAGTGCATCCATGGTGGGTTTTGTAATGACTTATGCTTTACAAGTTACAGGTTCTTTGAAAGTAGCGGTAAGGATGTCAGCGGAGGTAGAAACAAGCATTGTTGCAGCGGAGAGATGTCTAGAGTATACCCAGCTAGAAGTTGAAGAGGAAGAAGGAGCGGGAGCAGCAGCAAACAAAAGCTGCTTGATACCTCCTATTAATTGGCCAAGCAAGGGGCGAATCGAATTTGTGAATTACTCAACTCGTTATAGGAAGAATCTTGATTGTGTTTTGAAAAGGATCAATATGACGGTGCAAAAAGGCGAGAAAGTGGGCGTGGTTGGTAGAACTGGTGCAGGAAAATCAACCTTGGCTTTAGCATTATTCAGGATTATTGAAGCGGTTGAAGGAAACATCTTCATTGATGATATTAACACTAGCGCGATATCATTATACGATTTAAGACATAACCTAAGCATTATACCACAAGATTCTCAACTTTTTGAAGGGACGGTTAGACAAAACTTGGATCCTTTTGATTATTATACGGATGAAGAATTATGGGACGCTTTAGAGCTTGCTCATTTGAAAGGTCACATTTTGAAGATGAGAAATGAAGGGCCCGATGATCGACCTACAAAGGATGAAGGTGGAGGTGAAGGCGGAGGTGGAGGTGAAGGTGAGAGTGATGATAGAGCTGAGAACAAGTTGTTGAGTAAGGTATATGAAGGAGGGTCGAATTTTTCATCTGGACAGCGTCAATTGATGTCACTCGCTAGAGTTCTTTTGAGAATGAAGCATTCCCAGATTTTGGTCCTAGATGAAGCCACTGCTGCCGTGGATGTAGAAACGGACAAGATCATACAAGAGACAATACGAAAACAGTTTCAAGATAAGACCATCATTACAATAGCTCACAGACTCGAAACGGTAATGGATAGCGATAAAATAGCAGGTTTGGATAAGGGAGAATTGCAAGAATATGACACGCCGCAAAACTTGCTTGCATCAAGAAAAGGAGTATTCTACACCTTATGTAAACAAGGAGGATATATAACCGGAGAAACGTAATAAACAAACAAACATGGACTTCTCTTTAGATTAGTTTCATCTACTTAGCGGGTAACGGCTTTTAAAATTAGTCGGCAATAAAGTGAAAGTCTCCACAAAATTTTTGTATGTAAGGAGTTACCCTGCTTAAAAAAAAAAAAAAAAAAAAAGAAAAAATTGAAAACTCCGCACTTGTTAGCTTTCCTCCCCCACGAAAAATTGAAAAAAAACCCAATCAGCGCTTTAAAGATAAAAATCAACAACTATTTCAAGGATATTACTTTAGCAGGAACACTACTAGTATGGCTTCTACTACCCAGCACGTTTCGAAATTTACCAAGTTCATGAACTCGGAGACGGGTCCAAGGACAGTCCACTTTTGGGCCCCAGTGTTTAAATGGGCATTAGTTATTGCTGGAATAAATGATTTACAAAGACCGGTTGAGAAAATGAGCGGTACTCAACAAATAGCTTTGTTTGCCACAGGTGCTATATGGACTAGATGGGCTGGATTTGTGATCCAACCAAGAAACTTTTTATTGGCTTCAGTGAATTTCTTTTTGGGGGGTGTTGCTGGCTATCAATTGATAAGAATTACTCAGTATAGGCGCAATTTGGGAGACTCGCCGATGCAGGTTTTCAAGTACATCATAGGAGGAGAACCGGCCCAAAATCAACAAGTCCTGGCTGAACATGTTGACAATGTTAAGAATTAGTAGAAAGAGAGTAGTAGTATTATCAATAGTAGGAAAACAGAGTATAATAGACATACATATTCAATTATCTATTAGCATGGCGTCATCATCATCATCATTATCAACATCAACATCAACATCAACATTATCAGGTGACGGCGTTGTCGCATTAGAAGGCGGATTTTGACTTTCCACCCTTGCGGGACTACTAATAGGTGATTGTTGTTGAGATTGGTTATCTGTCTCATCTAATGCTTTGTCCTGATTCAATCCCATCAGATCCTCTCTATCAAAACTTTCCTTCAGTGCATCAGTATCGCTACCATCATTCCGAAATTGTGCATCATCCTCATCTCTATCTATATTCCCATGCTCCGTTTCATCCTCATTCTCTTCCTTCTGCTCAACTTCTTCCTCTTTTCCACACTCTTCCTCTTCCTCCTCTTCCACTTCCTCTTCTTCTTCCTCCTCTTCTTCTTCTTCTTTCTCCTCCTCATCGTGGGGTTCGCGGATCTTACTACTCACCTCAGCGTTTACTTTCACTACACCTTTTACAACCTCTGGAAACTCGTTTTCTAGGAAATTCTTCAACAAACTATCTCGCTCTTTCCAGACCCGATTCAGCGACTTGATGTGTTCCCTCAATGAGACTAATATTTCAAGCTGAACTCTCTTTTCAATTCGTAGACCAAACTCAATGTTGATTAGTTTCCTCATTATCTCAAACTCTGGGAAGATTAAATTCGACTCATTGGGATCGAGTGAAAATAATTGAGTCAACTTCAAGTTATCTTCTTGATACTTTGTGGCAATATCGATTAACTGCTGATTTCCCAATTTCCTCAATGACTCCATACCAACAGCAAAGTCTGGAATCTTTATCCCCGAGGATAGGTTTTCATAGTTTTTGCTGGTTATATCCAACTTTTGATTAATCCTGGCAATTTGTGCAATAACTTTATTATATTTGAAAATGTCGTTGGCTGCAAACTCAGTCCTTGTTTCTTGTTCCCAATCTTTGTATTCCTTGTGGACCTTGCCAAGTTTGAACGTATCAATAATAAAGTTGCGTTTAATTATTTGCATCTCACCAGCATTGACTACATCTTCACGAGATATTAGCTTCTGGTTCAACTGAAGAAACTCGTACGCCGGCTTAAATGTCTCTAGATTCCATCTAAGATTGTTCTCAAGAGTATCTATCCTTTCCAATGCTTCCGTGTCCACCACACCAGACATTTCTTCCAAACTAATCAAAGATATCACAATCACTTCTAAAGCCTTTGTGATTTTTCAGTATTTTTTCAAGCTACAATTTGATTTTATCTTTTTTTCTTCTTCAGTTAAAACGCGCCATATCGAAAACTCAAAGTTCAAAGTGTGTGGAAGCTTTGGTGCTGAGTTTAGAGAAAGAAGGCCAACTATCAGATGGCTTTAGAAGCTTTGGCGTTAACAAGAAGATTGTAGATGGTGCTCCAGGTAGATGTACAAGCTTTGAGAAGTCAGCTAATATACGCCACCTCAAAACTAAGCAAGCTTTGTCTTTTTCAGTCAGCAAAATGGTGCGCAGAGGCATTGAATGGTTTGCCCAAACCAACCACTGAGGGACAGGGACAACAGGAGCAAGGACAGGAGCAGGTACAAGTACAGGGGCAGAGACAGGCTACAAGTTCTAGTATTCCTATTGAGCAGCCTGAAATTGAAGATGTCGAAGATCAGGACAAGATTTTACTCGCGCAGACCTATTTCAATTGTAAAGAGTTTGAAAGGGCAGCACAGATATTGGAGCATTGTAAAAGCGGAGATGCAAAATTCCTAAGGCTATACTCGATGTTGATTTCTATTGACAAGAGAGAAAATGAGAGAAGTGATGGTCTCCTCATTGTTGGACAACAGAACCTCTCTAATCTACAAACTTTGGGACAAAATGATTATCTCACAAATGAACAAACAAAAACTGACGAATTCGGAAACTTGTCGGACTCCAAGCTAACTGAGATTGTGATGGAATCAGAGGAGTACTTGGCTGTCAAAGAAAACCCCTTTTTGTACTATCTCAATGGTATTATATATAGGAAGAAAAAGAAGTTACAGGCGGCGCAACGTAATTTGTACCAGTCATTACTCGTGTTCCCATTCAATTGGTCGTGCTGGAAAGAGCTAATTGATTCATTTTCGACTTTTGAAGAAGCAGACCTCTTTGTTGCTAGAGCAAACAAGAGAAATGACGTCTTTTCCAAGAGCGTTATGTTTCATTTTTTCGAAATGGCAGTTCTACAAGAATCTCAAGGACGGCTGCCCCGATTGTATAAAATTATCGAAGACTTGGAGGCAATATTTCCTAAATTCTTATTCATAAAGGAGAGAAAGTTTTTAACGTTGTACAAGAACCTCGAGTATTTTGAAGCAGAGGCAATATTCGACTCCATCTTGATTGAGGATCCTTTGAGGTTAGACGGATTGGACATCTATTCAAACATGTTGTATGTCATGGAAAAGAAATCGAAATTGTCCTACTTGGCTCAATACGCATCTCAAGTGGATAAGTTTCGACCAGAAACGTGCTGTGTTTTGGCAAATTATTACTCGATAAATAGTGAGCATGAAAAATCAATAGTTTACTATAAGAGGGCTTTGATGTTGGACAAGAACTGTTTGAGTGCTTGGACATTGATGGGCCATGAATTTGTTGAGTTGAAGAATTCTCACGCGGCTATTGAATGTTACAGACGAGCGGTTGACACTAATTCCAAGGACTTTAGGGCGTGGTATGGGTTGGGACAAGCATATGAAGTTTTAGACATGCACTTGTATGCCCTATACTATTACCAAAGAGCCACAAACCTCCAGCCTCTAGATAAGCGTATGTGGCAAGCAATTGGCAATTGCTATGAAAAAATAGGTCAATTGGAGGATGCTATTAAATCATTTGAAAAAGCGTTGGATCTAGGAAAATGCTTGTCGCGAGACGACGATATGGAAACTTGTAATCAAATCCCCGGAGATGGTATTGCATTGGAAGATGGAAATGGTTTGGAATACCAAGTAGAGCCACACATATGTTACCGTTTGGCTATTCTTCTGCAAAAGCTAGGAGATAAAAAAGCCACATATAAGTACATGAAATTATGCTACACCCAAGAAAAGTTTTGGGGTGCCGGAGACGAGTCTTCTAGAGCTAGAATATGGCTAGCTAAGAATGCATTAAGTAATGAAGATCCAAGCGAAGCTTACGAGATGGTTAAAGATTTGAACCATAGTAGCGCCCATGAAGTCGAGGAGGCAAGAGCTATTGCCCGTGATGCCAGGAACAGGATGAGTAAGTAAATTGGAACAAGTGAAAACTACAATCGTGGAGAGTGGTTTTTCATGTCAAAGTTGAGCTTTCAAAGAAGAATTTTTTTTTTTTTTATTTTCTTGAAAAATGCATTAATCTTTTCTTTTATACTCTAAACCAAATTTTATAAGAAACTTCTATCAACCATCAATTATTTATGCTATAAATATTCATTCCTTTTCCAAACTAACTCCAATAGTGTTAATTTTGCCTCTAATAAATAAAAAAAAAAAAGACAAAACAACAACCTTTTGTCTTATATTTCTTCCTTTTCCTTCCTTAAAACAGAGGGTATCTGATAATTTCTTCGGTTAATTGAAATAAATCATTTTCGCTATTCAAATTCTTTATAACATGCTCAATAGCCGACGGCAAAACTTCTATTAAGCGGGTTAACTCTTGCTCGGAAACCCCTAAATTGATATTAACGAGCAAATGTGGCGGGTCCACAGGAAGATTTTCATGCTCTAAAATTAATTTCGATCTTGTTATCAATATACCTGCTTTTGCCAACACGTAGTCAATCATTTTTTGCAAAATGAAGCACTCAAAGTTGAAAAACTCATCGAAACGATTCAAATATTTAGAAGGTTTACCTTGAAGTACAAAAGTTGAGTTTCCATATAATAAAGGTAGGTTTAATTGCTCACGATAATTCTGGCTGAGAGCTAAATGGATTATAGGAGATTGTGGAGCAGATACAATAGTCATTGGCACATCCTTTAAACTCAACAACAAAGCATCATATGTGAAGCTCGTGAGTTGGTGAAGTTTGGTCATTAGTTTTGACTTACCGGTGCGGGGCACCAAATTCTCATTAATCTCTTTTATAGCCTGGGAGGTAACTTTTGCTGAATAAGGGGGCAAGGATGCACTGAAAACATAAGCATTAGAGGATATTCTCTGATGATGAATCATTGGTTCCACACCAACACAAAAACCACCTGAAGAAGCAAAAGAGGTTGCCATAGATCCAATGGTTATGGACACTTCATCCCTTGAAATTCCGTAATGCTCAGTCAAACCTCTTCCAGCATTCCCCAATACCCCAATGGATAAAGATTCGTCCAAGAACAACCTGTACTTGAACTTGTTTTTCAATTCAACAATTTTGGGTAGATTTGCAATGTCACCAAAGTTTGCAAAAAGACCCTCTGTGACTATAAATCTTCTCCTAATGGGCCTTTGCTTAGATAGCACCGGCTTTAATTGAGTCAAGATCAGCTCCAAGTGCACCATATCGTTGTGATCGTACCATTCAATATCAGCACGGCTAACAATTAATGCTTTTTGCAATGCGAGACTAACATTTCTGTCAACGACACACAAATCGCCTCTTTTCAAAAACGCAGGGATAACCGAGCCTGCAGTGACAAAGTCCTGGCCATATATGATTGCTTGTTCTGTACCCAAAAACTTTGCCAAGTCTTCTTCGAGTCTTACATGAACATCCTGCGTCCCATAAAAGTTGGGAGGACCACAAGCTCCTACACCAGCATATTCAATTTCCACCTTGGCCACCTTCTTGATGTTCTCGTTCTCATTAAGGTTGAGAAAGTCTAAAGAAGCGAGATTGACGATTAGGGGCAAATCGTCTTTAGATGCCATTGTGTTGGTATCAGCGCGTGTTGTACCCACTAGATGAACATGTGCGCCGTTTTGACCTTTTATTTCCGGGATGGCCGCCAACTGCCATCTTTCCAAATCGGTTAGTTCTTCCACGAGTGGCTCTGGCTCCCATTCATTACACAACTCATCAATCTCCGCTTGAGAAAATTTGACCAACTCAGATTTGTTTTCCTTCTTTTTTGCCGTGAAGAAATAGGTCAATGCAAACAAAAACAAGCAATATTCAAACAAGGATCTAATTGGATCATTCTGATACGACGACTTGATATACCTGATAATTATTTGTCCTCCAGGTAAATTGTCTAGTAAATTGAGACAATATAAAACAATCTGTGAAAGCGTGTTTTGCAAGATTTCCCAAGACTGCGACAACGGCGGTGGTACGGCTGAGGATAGGATATTGGATATAATGGTTGTAGTCGTCGTCGTAGTAGTAGTAGTCGTCGTAGTCGTTGTTGTTAAAATTGATGACGATACCATGGAAACCTCTAGTATGGAAATGAAAAAAAAAAAAGAAAAGGAAAAAGAAAAAGAAAATAATAAATCAATGCTGTTCAATGAAGCGACGGAGGAGTAGGTGGGTAAAGGGACGGAGAAGGACTGGAAACGGTAGTCTGGAAACTATATTAAAACTGTTCTCTTACTTGCAAATTGAGGAAAAAAAGTTTTAAAAGGAAAGTGGCCTGGTTAGTATTGTATCTACCTGTTGCTTGCTGAATTGTAACCTAAACCTACCGTTGATTCCAAAATACTTTTTTCTCGAGTACCTTTTCCAAGGTTGTTTTTTTTCTTTTTTTTTTTTTTTTTTTGTTAACAACCTATCATAAAATGAACTATTGACGTTGCGAATAATAAAAGTATGGTCACGTGAGAGAGACCATCTAGTTTTCGTTTTCAGAATAGGGCAGAGGTAAGGAGGGGGGGAGGAAGGAAAGGAGGAGGAGGGGGAGGAGGAGGAGGGTGGGGGGGAGGTCTAGTCTAGAACAGAGATTCATCGCTATCATTTGTTTCATTTCGAATTGTATTTCCAATTTGTCTCTGAATCTTTTATCTTTATTATCGTAAAATACATTTCTTTTTTCTTTTTTTCTCCAGTCTCTCTACTAGTATCGCTACAAAGTACAGTACTGTGTCGGCTTGCTGGTACCTGTCTGCTAAGGGATAAACACTTTGGAGACACCCTTGACCTCACTTCTACAACATACACATCCTTCTATCCCTTTACTGACCAAACTCAACCTACAGGATTCACAAATTGCAAAACACTTGCATGGCCACGTTATAATTTCTCTCATGTTTGTCTGACATATCACGCAGTCCAAAGATCTCTCCGACAGTAGCTGTTCCTTTTTATCTTGAGACTCAAGTTTTGAAGCTTGTCTTTTCATGATTATCAAATCGATGAGTTTCTGGCCCTCATGTCCATCAAATTGTTCCTTTACATTTTCCTCACTTGTATGCAATTTTTGATACTTTGACCTTGTGAGTCTTCCCTCATAGTTGAAATGATCTCGTATCATGTGCAAGTCTGAACTAGTTGAAAACACTTCCTTTAAACCTTGGGGATCAAATATCTCATACATTGGTGGTAACCTAACATCGGCTTCTTCGCGCGGATTTCGGTATTGTTTAATAGCACCACCAAAAACACTGCCATAGGTAGTCTCATCATAATCAACGTCCGACTCGTCTTCCAGATCATCTTTGGTTTGGAAAATATAATCTTCAGAGTTATCTGTTTCGCCAAAATCTGCACCCAAAAGTAAGGAAGCATAGTTGGATTCTAATTCCTCCGAGGAAAGAAGATTGACGTTAATGTTCTTGTTCTTGGCAGTAGAAGCTTGAGCTCCTCCATATCCAACTTTGTTTTTTCTCATGTGCTTCTTTAAAAATTTCGGGGTTTTCAATCTTCTTCTCTCCAAATTCTCCAAATTCTCCAGGCTGCTGTTGCTGTTGCTGTTGCTGTTGCTCTCGTCTTTGTGCAGAGACCATACAAAACTCAACAATTCTGGTACTAATTGAAGCATAAATTTGTCAACAACTAGACCATATATTAGTTGACAAAAATCAATCACAATTTTTTTGCAGTACCGAAATCTTTTCTCAAATACACTGTTTCGATATTGTGTGTTTTCTTGCAATGAATTTTCATTTCCTGAACTAAAGGCTCCAGATGAAGCAATCAGTTTGATGTTGGGCTTGCTTATGATATTGTCGTATCCCAAAACACTGGTCTCCTCAGCAAAAACTCTTGATGCATCCATACTTGCATATTTCAGTTTTGAAAAGTACTTGAGCCGTTGCCAAATACTGCGTTCTACCCACGTTTCGTGATCTAATGTCACGAGACTCAATTCGGTGATATAACTAGATTTTCCCGCCAGAGTTATTGCTAAAACCCCTAAATTCAATAAAGCCGTATAAAAGTCATCTGTTAGGCTTATATTCAAGTTTGACATTGGAGAATCCAACTCGTTTCCAAAAGCGTCGTCGTTGTTGTCTCCCTCCTCGAGCTGGTTCCTATCTTCTCGTGCAAATAAACTTGCATAATTGAGACCCTGAAATCTGCACCCATTAACCACAACAGCAGTAAAAAATATGGCACTGCTTATCAACACTATGAACACAATCAAAAGTTGTGGGATTAAAGTTGAGATCAAAATGACTGGGAATCTCGACATTTGCTTGTGAATAATTGAAGTCACAAAGTATCCTAAAAACCCAGTTCCAATAATAGTCAGCGGTATCAATCGTAGTCTATTGTTATTAACTATGGCTCCAATGTGGATATTCAAGTGATTCAAAATCAGAAAAAGAGAAGTCACGAGAACTTCTTCTGTAGGCCTCTTATAATGGTAGGAATTGCTGAAAAAAAATGCTGCATTGCTACTAAACTCTTGAAATGCTAACGAGTGTTCAAAAATGGTTGTACCGCTCTCAGTAAACGGTTTCTCGCCCTGTATTGAAGCAATGAATGTTTCAATAAATGACAGCAAACAAAAAGTCAAAAAAATAGGCCAATACATATCACTTGTAGGGCCTATCATCACTTGCTTCGAAGGTGTTTTCATATACTTGTTACTTTCAAAATGTGCTGCATCATATGTGAAAAATCTGCTAGGTATCAACCGGTAGAACCATTGAATAACTGAGGTTTCTGCGAGTCCCAAGTTTTGGTGTAGTTTTAGCACAACTAGGATAGTGTATAGCTGGTAAAGCAAAATCACAACCATCCCCATCCTAAAGAACAAAATGCTCAATTTTTTCATCGCCGTTGCCAGTTTGTAAGCAGCAAACAAGTTTCCATTTTGAAAATTCCGTCGCTGTCTGTTTATTGCCATTTGCTGATTGTGAATATTATTGGTCAGCGCCATTACCAAAGTCCTATTTAGCACAAATGCCATCACTAGACACGATAACCCGTAAATAGAACAACAATATTGGCTTATCGCGCCAAATCTATTCCATGAGACCTTGTTTAATTCAGACCGCACACTTTGCTCCCATACAGCATCTATTGCCGAAGACGCCAATTTAAAAATTGGATTGGCAGCAGCAGCAGTATCAGCTGGCTCTAAAGCATGTTGTAACACAGTGGAATTATTCATAGCTTGTTTCCCAGTAATTTTACTCGACAACCTGGAAGTTGGATGCGTTCCCAGTTTGGTTTGGTTCGATTCATAAGAGAGAATAAGAACGAAAAGCTCCAAATAAAGTCACTCGAGTAAATCGAAAGGTTATCACATTTGGTAGCGTGAAGCCTCCAACATCGACTAAATTACATATTATCGTAAAAAGCTTACAATTGAATAGGGCAAATAAACTTACAAATCTCATAGAGTTGTAAGAGAGGAGCTGCAAATGGGTAGAAGAATTACCGCTGCTTGATACATCTCTATAGCTACGTTTCACCCTCAGAGCTGAATCTCGACACTATCGAGCAGAGCGAGATTGTGGAGCAACACTTTGTACTTTGATACCTTTTCATAATGTTGACATTGACTGTCACAGACATTATTGATCAATGTTTCCAACCCTTCTCTTCTCTACTCACTACTCTCTACTATCTACTCTCTACTCACTACTCTCTACTCACTACTCACTACTCACTACTCTCTACTCACTACTCTCTACTCACTACTCACTACTCACTACTCTCTACTCACTACTCTCTACTCACTACTCACTACTCACTACTCTCTACTCACTACTCTCTACTCACTACTAAATTGAAGCCTATATCTAGTGATCCTCACCCAAGGTTATTCTTATTTCAAAGAGTGCGGTTTTAAAATGCCTTCTCCTAAATTGTATATCAATTCTTCTGCTTCTGCTTATTTCCAAGAGAGCGGTTCTACAAATGCAAGCTGAATCTCCGAGCTTTATTTTTCTTTTTTTTTTTTTTCACTCTTCACTAATGAAGCTATTAGCAATATATTGATTCAAAAGGTGATATCTTAGGTTTGGTGAAAGATGGGTAGGAAAGTACTACCACCGCCGCCTCCACCGCCACCTTCCGGGGCTTCTGGAGCTTCTTTGGCTAATGGCAAGAAACGCAAACTACTGAAACCTCCTCCTCCTCCTCCTCCTCCTCCTCCCTCCTCCTCATTTGGTCATCGTCGTCCCTTTCCACCACCACCACCTCCTCCACCCCCTGCTGCTGCACCCCCCTCATGTAATATATATGTGTCAACTGAAAAGTATAAAAGCTTTGTTAGTGAAGCTCCTCCAATGGCTAGCTTCACGAGATCTGACAAATTTGATAAACTGTCAAAAGAACCTGTCAAAGATTTACAACTTTCTTTGACAAATGAGGAACTCCTCGTTAGAAAGCGGCGATGGATCCAACTTCAAAAAACCCGGTTCAAGTCGAAATCAAAGGGAGTAACAACAACTGCAACGAAATCTATACAACCCAGGAAATTGGAAATGCCTCCGCAGCATTTGCGTAAAATCATGATTGATCATGCCGATATAAGCCTGCAAAGAGTTACTTCGGATAAAAGATCTCATTTGGGCTCACTAAAGTACTTGCCCCATGCACTATTCAAGTTGCTAGAAAATATGCCACAACCATGGGAACTGTCTAGAGAAGTAAAAGTGCTATATCATCAAACCGGGGCCATCACATTTGTCAATGAAATACCGCGAGTTATAGAACCAGTTTTTATTGCGCAATGGGCGGCCACTTGGACGGTTATGCGACGAGAGAAACGAGATAGAAAACATTTTAAACGAATGAAGTTTCCTCCATTGGATGATGAGGAAAAATTCTTGGACTGGATCGACAACTTTGAAGACCTTGAACTCCCACCTGCGATACGATCGAGAGAAGTTGAACAAACTGAAAGTTTGAGAGATTGGATTTATGATGAGAAACCATTGGTGGATGATACGGACGTTGTTAGTGGCTCTTCATACAGAAACTGGCAGCTCGATCCTTTAACTATGGGCAAGTTGTTTGACATTTCAAAACCGATTTTGACCACCTCAAATAATCCACATAGTGTGAATGAGCTTCTTACTGCCAAGAGCTTAAACGTTGCCTTACCTGGAGGACCCAAATTTGAGCCTTTGTTCAAAGAGAAGGCAAATAATTTACAAGAGGGCGATTTTACTGATTTCAACTCAATTGAAAAGGTAATTATTAGGACGCCCATAAAGGATGAATATAAGGTAGACTTTCCGTACTTGTACAACTCGTTTGTAAAAGCTGTCGCTTTATCTCCCTTCCAGCCAAATGCAATATGTGCTGAACAATTGTTTGGGAATGAGATAAATACTGTATCAGTGTTCACCTTCAACCCGAGATACGCACCGGTTATGAGGAGAAGAAATCGTGCTCAAAATTATCCAAGAATCAATCAGCAGCAGCAGCAACAGCAGCTTACTAGGGTAATATCAGCGGTACCCTTTTTTAGCAGAGACGTTGATAGTAGTAGTAGTAGCGAGAATGGTTCATTAAAGTTCACCGATTCCGATCAGGAGACGTTGGCAGCGGCGCTAGAGCTTTTTTGGGCACCGCCTCCTTTTAATCGTCGTGCAGGTAAAATGAAACGAGCAGAGGATGTTGCTATGACAAAGTCTTGGTATCAAAACCGTGCACCGAAACATAGTCCCCTTAAAACGCGTATTTCTTACCAAAAATTATTAAAGAATCAAGTACTTAATGTATTGCGGAAACGTAAAGCAAGGCTACTATCAAAACTGTCCAAGGATACTCTCATCAAGAGCTTAAAAGCAACCAAGTATTTTCAAGAAACACGCATTGACTGGTTGGAAGCGGGAATTCAGGTATGCCGACAAGGCTTTAATATGCTCAATTTGTTGATTCACAAACGTGGATTAACTTATTTACACTTGGACTACAATTTCAACTTGAAACCTACTAAAACATTAACGACAAAGGAGCGTAAGAAATCAAGATTTGGAAATGCCTTCCATTTGATAAGAGAGTTGCTTCGGGCAACCAAGATGATTGTTGATGCACATATACAATATCGTTTAGGGAATTTGGATGCTTACCAGCTAGCCGATGGAATTTATTACCTTTTAAACCATTTGGGCCAGTTAACGGGAATTTATAGGTATAAGTACAAGGTGATGCACCAGATACGACAATGCAAGGATTTCAAACATATTATATACCACAGGTTTAATAAACTTATTGGAAAAGGTCCTGGTTGTGGGTTTTGGCAACCAGCATGGAAAGTCTGGATATTTTTTTTGAGAGGTACCATTCCACTTTTAGAAAGATGGTTAGGTAACTTGATTGCAAGACAGTTTGAAGGAAGAAGGTATAATGATTATGCCAAAACAATTACTAAACAGAGAGTAGACTCATACTATGATTTAGAATTGAGAGCACAAGTCATGCACGATATTTTAGAAGTAATTCCCGAAGGGTTAAAGCAAAGCAAATCAAAAACAATCCTTCAGCATTTGAGCGAGGCCTGGCGCTGCTGGAAAGCTAATATACCATGGAATGTGCCGGGACTTCCCGAGCCAATTCGAAAGATTATTGAGCGATATATCAACGCAAAAGCGGAAGGCTGGATATCTGTAGCACACTATAATCGAGAAAGAATTAGGAAAGGGACGCATGTTGAGAAGACGGTAGTGAAAAAGAACTTGGGGAGATTAACAAGATTATGGATCAAGAATGAACAAAATAGGCAGCTTGATTTTGGAAAACATGGGCCATTTGTGTCCCCCGAAGAAGCTGTCAAAATATTTCAAAATACAGTGAATTGGCTAGAAAGTCGAAATTTTAGTCCAATACCTTTCCCTCCGATTTCCTATAAACATGACACGAAGTTACTACTCTTGGCATTGGAGAATTTGAAGTCAACATACAATGTCAATGCAAAGTTAAATTCAAACCAAAGAGAGGAGTTGGCATTGATAGAGCAAGCCTACGATAATCCCCACGAGTGTTTGGCTCGAATTAAAAAGCATCTTTTGACTCAAAGGATTTTCAAAGAAGTTGGATTGGAAATGATGGACTTTTATAATCATTTGGTTCCAACATATGTGATTGATCCTGTGGAAAAGATTACGGATGCGTATCTTGATCAATATTTATGGTACGAAGCCGATAAAAGACAATTATTTCCGAATTGGATTAAACCGGCAGACGATGAAATTCCTCCACTAACAGTATACAAATGGTGTCAGGGGATTAACAATTTGAAGGACGTTTGGAAAACCTCTGAAGGTGAAAGCGTTGTGATGATGGAAGCCAGTTTAAAAGCATTTTCTGACAAAATGGATTTCACTTTGCTTAATAGATTATTAAGGTTGATTATGGATCCCAACATTGCAGATTACATCACATCAAAAAACAATGTTAACATTAGATACAAGGATATGAATTACGTGAATCAATATGGACTTCTTAGGGGCCTACAGTTCTCGTCATTTGTATATCAATACTACGGTTTAGTTGTAGACTTGCTACTTTTGGGATTGCAAAGAGCATCTGAAATAGCAGGTCCCGTGCAAAACCCGAATAGTTTTTTACATTTCCAAAATATTGAAACGCAAACGGCTTCTCCTATAAGATTATATTCGAGAAAGTTGGACAAGATCTATATTTGTTTCAGATTCAGTGAGGAAGAAGCCAGTAGTTTGATTCAAAGTTTTCGAGAAGAGAATTCTGACTCTGAGCTATCACAGACCATTGGGTATAACAATCGTCGTTGTTGGCCCAGAGATTCCAGAATGAGATTGATACGACGTGACGTCAATTTGGGAAAGGCTATCTTTTGGGAAATGAGCTCACGTTTACCCAACTCGCTTGCTACAATTAACTGGGAAGATGTCTTTGCATCAGTATATTCACGCGATAACCCCAACCTTTTATTTCAAATGAATGGGTTTGAAGTGCGCATTTTGCCCAAAATTAGAATTGGAGAGTGCGAGTCGCTGCAAGAAAATGTTTGGGATTTGATTGAGTACAATTCTCAAGAAAGAACAGCTAAAGCCTTTTTGCAAGTGACTTCGGATGCAATTGACAATTTCAGAAATAGGATCAGGCAGATTCTAATGTCATCTGGCTCAAGTCCATTCACTAAGGTAGCGGCAAAGTGGAATACAGCTTTGATTTCATTGGTCACATATTTTAGAGAAGCGGCAGTTGCCACCCCTGCGCTTTTGGATGTATTGGTCAAATGTGAAACAAAAATACAAAATAGAGTGAAGATGGGTTTAAACTCAAAAATGCCTTCTAGATTTCCGCCTGCGGTTTTTTATACACCAAAAGAATTGGGTGGACTAGGAATGCTCAGTGCATCACACATTTTAATTCCTGCGTCTGATTTGAGATGGTCAAAGCAAACTGAGACTGGAATTACTTACTTTAGGGCAGGTATGACACATGACGAGGAGAAACTCATTCCTACTGTTTTCAGGTATGTAACAACATGGGAGAATGAGTTTATTGACTCTCAACGTGTTTGGGCGGAGTATGCGATAAAACGTGAGGAAGCACTAGCGCAGAATCGTCGTTTGACTTTTGAGGATATGGAAGGGAACTGGGATAGAGGTATACCGAGAATCAGCACGTTGTTTCAAAAGGATAGGCACACATTGGCCTATGATAAGGGACATCGTGTACGCCGAGAGTTTAGGCAATTTTCAACTGGGAGATTCAATCCGTTTTGGTGGACAAGCGATCATCATGACGGGAAACTATGGAACTTGAATGCCTATAGAGCTGATGTGATTCAAGCTTTGGGAGGAATCGAGACAATTTTAGAACACACTTTGTTCAAGGGAACGGGATTTGATTCTTGGGAAGGATTGTTTTGGGAAAAGTCTTCAGGATTTGAGGATTCTTTGAAATTCAAGAAGTTAACAAATGCACAAAGATCGGGATTGAGTCAAATACCCAATCGTCGATTCACATTGTGGTGGTCTCCGACTATTAACCGTGCAAATGTCTACGTTGGGTTCTTGGTTCAATTGGACTTGACTGGAATTTTCTTGCACGGTAAAATCCCAACCCTCAAGATATCATTGATTCAGATCTTTAGAGCTCATCTTTGGCAAAAGATTCATGAGAGCGTAGTGCAAGATTTTTGCCAGGTGTTGGATAAAGAACAGGAAGTTTTACTGATTGATCTAGTAGAAAAACAAGCTATTCATCCGCGCAAATCGTACAGAATGAACTCGTCGACAGCCGATATAGTCCTCACGAGTAATTACAAGTGGAATATCACCAAGCCTTCGCTGCTCAATGATAAGGATGAGGAGCCGGTTTTGTCTACAAAAAAATTTTGGATAGATATTCAGTTAAGATACGGAGATTATGACTCCCATGATATTTCACGATATGCAAGAGCAAAGTATTTGGACTACACAACAGATGGAACTAGCTCTTACCCGTCTCCAACCGGTATTATTGTTGCCATAGATTTGGCATACAACATGTATGATGTGTATGGGAATTGGTTTCCTGGTTTAAAGGCTTTAGTGAGAAATGCTATGAAAGAAATTATGAAGGCTAATCCCGCATTGTACGTTTTGCGAGAAAGAATTAGGAAAGGTTTGCAACTATACCATGCACAACCACTGCAGTCCTTTTTGAACTCCACCAATTATGCTGAGCTCTTTAATAATGACACGCAGTTATTTATTGATGATACAAATGTGTATCGTGTTACGGTTCACAAAACACTTGAGGGTAACTTAGCAACAAAGCCCATAAACGGATGCGTTTTTATTCTCAATCCCAAAACTGGTCAGCTTTATTTGAGGGTCATACACACATCAGTGTGGGCTGGTCAGAAGCGTTTAAGTCAACTCGCCAAATGGAAAGCTGCTGAGGAGGTAACTGCGTTGGTAAAGTCATTACCAAAGGAAGAACAGCCCAAGCAATTGATTGTTGCAAGAAAAGGTATGATGGATCCTCTTGAGGTGCACATGTTAGATTTTCCAAACATTTCAATCCGTCCGTCTGAGTTGCATTTGCCGTTTGCGTCAGTGATGAAGATAGATAAATTGGGCGATATTGTTTTAAGAGCTAATGAGCCGCGGATGTATTTATTCAATTTTTATGATGATTGGCTTCAAAGCAACTCGCCTTATACGGCTTTTTCTCGAGTCATTTTAATTTTAAGAGCTTTGACAGTGGATGCTACGAGTGCCAACCATATTTTGTGGGACCAACACACGGAGCAAGCAGAGCCTCATCGCATTTGGCCGGCGTTGACAAATGAACAGTGGATTGAACGCGAGGCTAAATTAAGAGATTTGATTCTTGATGAGTACTCTACAAAGTATAACGTGGACATTCAGGCTTTGACTCAGTCGGACATTCGAGACTTGATTTTGGGCCAAGACATACGTGCTTCTTCAATGAGACGCCAGCAAATTGCAAATATAGAAAATAAAAATGCCGAAATTGAAAATAAGGAATTAACTGCACAGAAGTCAACCACAACAAACATTCATGGTGAGAAGATTGTGACCGTTACCACTACAAATTACGAGCAAACAACATTCTCTTCCAAAAATGAATGGAGAAACAGAGCCCTAACTGCAAGTTCTTTATTCGCCAGAGCGAATAATATATTTGTTTCCTCAAGTGAGATAGTTAGTAACGACTCCTACACGTTCATTGTTCCGAAAAACATTTTGCAAAAATTCATCCAAATATCCGACTTGAGGATTCAAATCGGCGGCTGCTTGTATGGTAAATCGCCAATTGATCATCCAGAAATCAAAGAGATCAAGTGTTTAGTTATAGTGCCACAGTTAGGAAGTTCGAATTCTATTCAGTTCCCCAAACAAAAACCGGATGATGAAGATGGTTATTTGAAAGACCAAGGGTTGGAGTTGTTGGGCTGGATTCACAGCCAGTCCCAAGAAGTAGACTATATGACACCTAATGATATTACCACTCAGGCGCGTATGTGGGACGAATACAATCCACGGCATGTTTGCATGACAGCGTCCTATACGCCTGGTTCAATTACGTTGGCTGGATATGAGATGACTAAAGACGGATTTGAGTGGGGAAGTAAAAATACTGATATGCTTTCCGGTATGCCGGAGGGGTTCTCGAAAAGTTTTTCTACAAAGAGTCAGCTTGTCATGTCAGATCGAATTGCCGGGACATATATGGTTCCTGAGGACGAGATTTGGAACTATTTTTTTATGGGTGCAATATTCAATCAAAACGACTTGTATGCTTTAAAAGTGGATAATCCTTTGTCATTTTATGACGCATTGCACCGTCCAATCCACTTTGGCAATTTTTCGCGCCTAGACAATACCAGAAAAGTAGAAGAAGGAGGAGAAGAAGAAGCTGGTCAAGAAGATCTATTTGGTTGAGTGGATTTGATTTTCTTTTTTTTCTCACTCTTTTACTTCTATTTTTCAATACATGCATTTACTTTACATTTTGTGTTTGAGTTCGCCAGAAGTAAGTTTTTTGAATCTCTCCATTGGGATGCCCGACGTCCAATGTTTAAGTCCCCTGTATACTTCTTGTGAATTTGCAGCGGATATTGTTGGTTTATACATTGCTTTGAGCAATTGTTTATTTTGAAGAATGGAATCTGGGTGTAAATTTTCTATAGCATCAAGTAACTCTTTCAAAACTGTTTCATTGAATTCGTTGGTTGTACTAAATTTCCCCCCATAGTCCTTATTAATCATACCTGTTCTTAGCATATCCGAGCCTGTTATCCTTTTCGATAGTAACAACGCTTCTGCGGATTTGGACCAGCCTAACCTATTGAGTAAGGTCACCGAAGTTCCCCCCTCCGCTACAATTCCAATGTTGGTGAACGGAGCTAACAAAAAGGTTTTAGAAAGATCATGAACGTAGATCAAGTCACATAGTGCAACCATAGCAGCAGATAATCCTATAGCAAAACCATTCATAGCAACGGCCAATACTTTTTTATGATTCAAAATAGTCTGGACTAAATAGGTTTGCCTTGCAACAGACAAGTTTAGCCATGTTTCTATCTCAGAATCTTGTTTGCCAATATACTCTGCGTTTGCACCAGCTGAAAATGCCCTTCCTGTAGATTGAATTAAAGTAATAATAGTTTCGGGGTGTTCATTGGCATTTTCCAAGTATTTGCATATTTCATCGTATTGGGGGATTGTTAGTGAATTAAGTTTTTTCGGGTTATTTAACGTAATTATGGCTGCTTTGCCTTGCACCTCATAAGTTATCAACTCTTCCTGGTTTGACATGTTGGCATATATCTTTTAGATTAGAAAGAAGTCAATGGGCCAGAGAGTTTGTTTTTCTTGAGTCCTCTATAATAGAAAACAGAAATTTCAATGCAGAAACTCCAGCGATAAAGCGCAGATTAGTGCGGGGGAGGGGGGGTTAGCTAAAATTGCCCCCTAAGTTTTCCGCCAATTGCTGAAAAGTATAAGGCAGGAAAGGAGAACAAAGTGAAAAATTTTATACTTTTACTCTTTAAATACCATCTTTCCAATTTGAAGTTTCACAAACTTGGAGACATTATCTTTAAGTCCCACTTCTTGTGTTTATAGGATAGTATTGGACAGACACTGCTAGCGATGTTATATTTGAAGAGGAGTATGTATGAAGTAAATGCCTTGCTAACTAAAAAAAAAAAAAAAAAAAAAACCTCTTTTCTAATGAACCCTTGTTTAATCAAAATTTTGCTATACAAGAACACTCTTCACCAATGCCTTACAGAGATAATATGGTCCTCAATGGCATATAAGAGTTTTTTCAACTCTGCTCTAGAAACGTTTTCCTTTAATAGCAACAATTCAAGAGGACTTTCTCCATTCATATACTTCAATAACTTGTAAAAAATAGCTGTCAATTCCGACGACAATTTACATTCTTCAAAAATTAGTTCGTTTATCCATCGTCGTTCCAATGTGGACGCTCTTCCTGGGTCAAGGATAATAGTGTCATCATCCTCCACTATTGATACCAAGGATGACTTTTTAAAATGCTCATTTAAACTCAGCATAATAGCTTCTTCGGTATTAAAGAATGTGTCGCGTTCCTCATGACCCTTGAGAATATTGTTGTTGCCCTGAGAAGCAATAATATCTCCCGTTTGTTTCGACGTGTTGTCTGTAGACTTTGTCTTGATATTCGGAGTTTTCGTCTTAACACCACGTTTAGCAAGTGTCTCGTTTTCGATATCTTCTTCTATTTTAATTTTGATTTTCTTGGAAATCTTAAGCCAAATAAATGTAAGTTGCTGGGTAACGTATCCAAATCTCGTTAGCCAGCTGAGTGCTTCCAAGTAGCTGCCTCGGTGGTCCCTGGAAGGTATTATAGACGCATACTGCTGCGGCTTCCTAGACTGTGGCGAAAGAAGTTTGAGAAAGTGTGGCAAAGACGGTAAGGTGGGAAATCTATCTTTGAAAGCAGATATGTCTTCATACAACTTGATCGTCAAAGAAGACATTGGTGAAACCACATAAACAGATCGTGACGATAACGGCTGTATAATCCTTGCCCTTCTCCAGTATATCAAATGGAATGCAAACGACTTTACTTGTAAAATGTCAAATTTGGGAACGCGAATGGAAAATTTAAGTAACGACTCTGTAGGTTGAATTGTTCTGATGAATTCAGACAAGACAGAATCTTTTGAAGTTTTTATATCTTTGATAATATTCTCTGGTTCGTCAAGCAATAAAAGTGCAAAATAAACGATTATCTCCTCCGTGCTTTCTTCTGTTTGGATTTGGCTATGATGGGTATGGTCGTACCTAGAAGACTCTCCCACATTTACAAATCCGTTATTGTTCAAAATATTGGATGCTGAGCATAAATATGAACCAGGAATGAACGGTACTGATGCTTCTGGTAAAGAATGAAACTCGGATTTTACAGGTATCTGAAAAGATTTCATCTTCCCATCTATTAGCAAATTCGCAATTTTCGATGAGCTTATTGCATGATAACAATCGCAAATCAATTTGCAGAGTGACGAGTACTGAGCCAAAGATCTCTCGTCAGCCATTTCATCTCTCAATTTGAAAATAGTCTTCACTTGTTGTCCAACATAATTGTGTTTTTGTTGTGCGTGTCGAAGAACCAACGATAGTTTGGAAATGACGTGCTGAAACATTTCGTCAACCCTATAGTTATTTTCAATGGCAGGTGGATTCATAACAAAAACGAGATGAAACATGTTTAAATTCGATGTCGAGCCCAGTGTGGTCGCCGATGAATCATTCTCCGCCACACCTCCATTGTTGTGTTTTGTATTTGAATACGATCCATTATTGCTGGCAAATTTAGTCTTCCATGCCCCATTATCGTGCCTATGAGTGGGCAAACCTAAAAAAACTTTATCTTCAATTGTTACCTCGAATCTTGTATTGCACATTGGACGAGGCGGTGCCAACATTTCACATAGGTATGCCGGATCCATGCCAAAAATCTTGTCATTGATGGATCCTGCTTTTGTTGGATGTGCTTGCCCTTTATCTGATATTACCGTGCGCGCAAAGGACTTATTCTCGGAGTTTGCCCTAGATAGGTCCTTATGTTCGCTCGCTGCATGCGGTACTTGTACGGACCTACTTTGATTTTTTTCTTCTTTTCTTTGCCTCAACTGTTTCCGACGACCATCTTGTTCATCCAAAAAAGTTTTCAAATCCAATTTGGTCCCTAGGTAATACTGCAAGTGACGAAAGTCCCAACTTCTATTTATACCATATAAGTTACGATCGGTTCCAGTTTCATTTATCAAATGCTGACTGTTTTGATCATCCACAAGATCTTCATCATTTCTATATTCGTATAACTCATCTTCATCTTCCTCTTCCTCTTCGTCCTTCTCTGCATTATTGGTTTGTTCATCTGTTGTTGCTGAACTATTATGCGTTATTCTGCCATCTTGATCTATATCAGAAGATAAACCAGAAGAGAGATCTGTGGGGTACTTGTAAACTAATTGCGGTCCGCTATGAGTTGAGATTATGAGCAATATTCCAATCAAACAGGGGTTTGGGAGGTTAAAGCTCATGATCTAAAACATATAAATATATATATATATTTCTGGTGAAAAATTGGTACTTTTATCACTTATACATTTGTACCCAAATTTTGCACCAATTCTCAAAAAGGAAAAAAAAAAAAAAAAAAGAGAAAAAGACAAAAGATAGAAAACAAATAGGAAGATTGAAATTGTATACCCTTGAATGTTGTGAAATTATATGTAAGACGGGACTGATCAGTAGTTGCTTATCTTGAACAATGGCCCACTTACGACAAACCAAACCCGTTTTTGTATGTATGTCTGTTTGAAGAAACTCTATATATATTCAAAAAGAAACAGATAGCTTAAGAAAAGTAAAAAAATAAAAATCTCCTCAATTATTCACAATTTATGTTTCACCTCTTTTACAGCCAACTGAGCAAATCTTCCTTGTGGGACACCTTCTAACCATTTACCTAAGCCTCTCATGACTTCTTGAGAATTGGCGTTGTTAATGTGTTGATCTCTTGAAAGCTTGAGCAATTGTTTGTTTTGCAATATTGAATCCTCGTGCAAATTCTCAACAGCATCAAGCAACTCATTCTGAACGGTGGTGTTAAACTCCTCAACACTCTCAAATTTCCCATCATAGTGTTTATTAATGAACCCTGCATTGTAACAGTCGTGCCCACTTATTGGCTTTGCCAAGAATAAAGCTTCTGCTGCTTTTGACCATCCCAACCTTGAGTACAAGGTTGCAGATGATGCACCTTCGGCAACCAAACCTAAATTAGCAAATGGTGCCAAAAGGTAAAATTTACTTAAATCGTTAACGTATATCAAGTCACACAACAACAACAAAGCCGAAGTCAAACCAATAACAGGGCCGTTGACAGCAGCAACCAAAATCTTCTTGTGGTCATTAAACAAGTTTGTCAACCATACATTCCTAGCGACAAATCTCAGTAACCAGTATTCATGTGTAAATAATTCCGCTGGGTCTGTTTCCATCAATTTCTTATCGGCAAAGTTGGCTCCCGCGCTAAAAAACTTCCCCGTGGATTGGATAATAGTCATTATCGTATCCTCTTCCTTGTCGGCCTCTTCAATATATTTGCCCAATTGCAAGTATTGGTCCCCATTCAAAGCATTCAATTTTTTAGGGATATTGAGGGTTATCACTACAGCTTTGCCCTTCACTTCATAAATAATATCTTCAGTGGACATCGTTAAATCGGGGTGGTGTGGACAAGGGGGGGGTGATTTCTAGGTTTCTGGTTGTCGCTGTCTGAAGCTAAATTAGAAAGTATTTTTAAAAGGAAAATGGGTTTCCATATATATATACTTTTGATATATATATATATATCACAAGTAATCAAGAGATGTGCGGGAAAAAAAAAAAAAAAATATGGAAAAACCCCACCAAGGAGAGAATAGATGCCGAGGTGGAAAACTGGGGGAAAAAAAAGAGTATGGGGAAATAATATATAACCCAACCCTTTGGACACTTGACTGGCCTTAATAATATACACCCCTATAATCGGGAAGCGGAGCTAATGGAGCAATCCCCAAGAAAATAGTAACATACACACTCTCTCGTCCCCTAGAGTGGTTCCTGTACCAACTTAATTCTCAATGCAAAAAGCCTATTTTTCTGCGAAAAATTAACACTGAGGGGTATATTAATGGGGGCACAAGTTCACAATCAGGACGTAAATTTTGCATCGTATTTTCTAATGTGTCAGATTTGAACTTTAAAGAGCAAAACAAAAACAAAGAAAGAAAAGAAAAGAAAAGAAAATAATGCGTCTACAAAAATTGAGATTGATAATGTATGATTTATCAATTGAAAAGTGAAAGATTTTGTCATTTGATTGAAACCTTTGTTGTCTATAGAAATTGTGACTTTGATAGTTGATATTTTCTTTTTCGATGAAATAGTGAAGATATCTTGAATCATCATTATCAAAGCATTGAGATGGTATTTTCTAATCAGATACTTTACAACCAATACATCTCAAGTATTTCGTTTCTGACGTGGTAAAATCTTTCTATTTTGACAGCTTACGAAATCTTGTTCCTAAAGAACCGTTTTATTTGAGTGGAATTCGATTACCATTTTGGTAATTTTTCAAAGAAAAAAAAATTCAATAAAGTTATCGTGGGGACAAGGCAACAAAATAAAGAGAAAAAAAGATCTTTTTTTCCAGCACACAAACTTTTTCTTTTGATCCTTTTTTCCAGCACACAAACTTTCTCTTTTGATCTTTTTTTTTTTTATAGATGAAAGCGCAAAATGTATCCAATTCAAACCAAGCTTTTCAGACAAATGTCGTATTTGAACAACCATCTACATGTCAAGACATATAGTGGCAGAGCCCCATGTCACACGTTTTAACTAGACTTTATGGGTTCAATAAGAAACGAGACTCAAGTAGCTATCTACGTTAATCTATTCCAAACTTTTTTTCTTTTCTTATATATATATATCCAAAATTTAGTTGCAAAATCCATAGAAGTTTGTACCTTTTGTTATCCATGATCGTCTCTTTTCTTTATATTCATTTAGGACGGATTTGAAGTTGCCGCATTTACCTATAGCTAGTGACGGCAGCTAGTGTGCTCCACTATCGAGCAGAGAGAGATAGTGTCGGTGGCAGCTAACTGCTATATACTGTTTAAATAGATATAGAAATTGAACTTATAGAAATGTGCTTGATGAATAATTTTTTATTGTGCTGGATGTTGGTTTTTTTTTCTTTCACCTTTTTCACTACTGCATATACTTGTTAACGCAATTTCTTGAGTGTCCTGAAATATTTGAGGCTTCTATAGACAGACAAAAAAAAAATCGTGTCTAGAAGTACTTATATAGCAATAGCAGTATCCAGGGAATCTAATAATTAGAGAAAAGAAAACACTATGGAAGTAGATGAGCCAAACTCTCACAGCCTATCTGTCCTGCCACAAGTATATAACGAACAGGAACAGATGGAAGATAATGCTACTCCTGTAAAAGAAAACAGCACAATAGCAACAACAACAACAACAACAACAACATCAGCAGCACCAGCAGCACCAGCAGCAGCACCAGCGTCAGCAGTGCCAACAGCACCAGCATTAGTGGCTTCAAAGTTCACGGTAAATGGAAAGCAGTATGTGCTTATCAAGGAATTGGCGAATATATGGGGCTATGCATCTTCGTATCAGCTTATTGTGGATCTAGTCAAAAATGGGTTCCCCAGAAATCAGATTCTCAAGACAGATGAGTCGATCAATAAAGAGTTGCAAAGAGTGAAATTAATAGATGCAAAGGAATTGAATACTAAATTGTTTTATTCATCGTTGTACTCAATTTTGCATCTGGAGGTATTTAAAACAAAATATGCAACTGGAAATCACCCTTTGGTACGTTCACAATCAACTCAGATGACCAGCTCCACAAATTCAAATGTAAATACTAGGAAGGATGATAAAGAGGAAGATATGATTGATGATGAGGAAGAGGATGAAGTGGATGACGATAATGTGGTTTCCGAAGATGATGATAGTGACAATGATGACAATGATGATGAAGAAGAAAGAGAAGAAGACGAAGAAGAAGAAGAAGAAGAAGAAGAAGAAGAAGACGAAGAAGAAGAAGAACGAGAAGGAGATGCAGGTGAAGAACAAGAAGAACGAGAAGGAGAAGAAGGAGAGGAAGAAGAGGAAAGCGGAAACGTTGAAAAGAAAAATCGCCATCATCATATCCATAAGTACAAGCATACTCATAAGCATAAGCACAAGCATAAGCATAAGCATAGAAATATCCATTCTAAGGAAACAAAACACGGGTTGGATGATAAGGTGACAATAAGTCAAGTTTTCCCGCAATATGGTATTGTTGAATCGACTATTAATTTGAACCATGCTCTGTTTGGTTCCTTAAATGCAATGTCGAAATTGAGTTTCTACAAAAACTTGTCATCGGCGGGATTGAGGTTTCTTCCAAATACAAAGTTAAACTTTGCAGAAAGAGAGTTGGTTGCAAATACGCACAACTTTGGAGATATCAATATTGATACCAAGAACGATAGTGAGGATAAGAAACGAGCTTTCAGAAGACCTATTGGTAGGTCTAAAAAACACAACATTCATATTGATCCCAATTTGGTTGATCTAAATGAAGCGGTTATACCCGGGCAGGGCTATATTAGCGAATTCAGCATAAATCATCTTTGCAAGGTTCCAAACTACTACGTGACATCCAATCATCAGACTCTTCCACAATCGTTCAACGCTAAAAATTTGAACACAACATCCAACTCTTCGTTTCTTTTCAATGAAGGTGTGAAAATGTCCAAAAATATCCAGCAACTAGTATTCAGTAACGACAGTGACAATTATTCTCATTCCAAATACTACTACACCAAATGTTATCGAGGTCCGGGTTCAGGAAACTATAAAGATGCTGCACTAATGAACAAAATTAACAAGATTCACCTTACCAATAGCAAGAAAAAGTGTCATAAGAAAACTGTATCAGGAAAGGAAAGGTTCAAAGCAAATTTGAAAGGGTTGATTCATGAAAGATTCAACAAAGATTTTGTCGATGGACTTCTTTCGAGTCAGCGTAGGTACACTGAGGACTACTCAAATCTTGAAATGTTACACAATAGCTTGGAGTACAACGTTTTGCTCAACTCTTATAGAGAAATTTCACGAGATACTTGGAGTGGGTATTTCAAGTTTAAACTCTTTGACTTTGAGCAATATAAAGCTTTGGAAGTAGAAAAAAGAGAACAGCAAGTGAGACAACGTGCGTTAGAAGAGCAGAAAAGGTGGATGGAAGACGATAAACTTAGACAAGAGAGATTGCGTATCGTTTGTGAAGAAGAGCACAAAAAACTTGCTGAGTTGCAGCAAGAGTTTGCCGACAAACGACTGGAACTTGAAACTAAAAACAGACGCTTTCAGTTGGAACCTACTTTCAATGATCCTTTTGATGCGGGTAATGAAGTTGATATTGCTAAAGAGTTAAACTTGCTTCATAGTCAGTTCGAGGAGAAGACAAGCAAAATCAAACAAGAGTTTGAAAAAAAGAAGAAAAATTTGATTCAACCATTGGAGCCTCCTCCGGTTATAGAAACTCCTCAATTGGATGTGTTATCTAAGTTTACATCTCCCGCGGAACACCCAGAAATATTGAGGCACCTACCAACCGCATTGAGGTCGACTAGTGTTGTTGGTAAAGAAGTACCACTGATAAAGAAGCCTATCCAGTACGTAACAACTTATCCTGTCAACTCAAATGCAGAGTATTTGACAAGGATTGAGATTGTTAAAATTCCCAACCCTAATTCTATTGGATGGGACAATTTGAGGAAATTCCAGTGAAAGCACAGATGATGATGATGATGATGATGATGATGAGGAGGAGGAGGAGGAGGAGGAGGAGGAGGAGGAGGAGTACAGTTAAAAGTCGTCAAGTTTGTTTTCGGCATTTTAGTTACTTATACTTGTCACTTTTCTTTTTTTATGTGTTTGTACTCTCCAGTATCATCCAATCCCATTTATTTATTTTAGAAAATATAGGTGCGCCAGTACAGTGTCTCTTATCCGCATAACATAAACAGTAATGTTCCAACAAGAGTTTTATCTCTTCGACCTCATCAACAAATTCGAGCTTATTTATTCTCTTCAACTCCAAGGGATCAATCCACTTGTTTCCTTCCCTATTATAACCGTCATAGCCACCAATGTGACACAAATCGGTCAAGTGCAAATTCTCCAAACCACACTTTTTCAAGAAAGCGCATCTGGCTTCTAAAGTAGGGTATTTATCAAATGTTTGCAAATCCAATCCCCTACTTTGCAAGTTAGATAGCATCATTTCACCAAATGAGTCTCTTAATGACATAGGTTCGTAAATTAGGAAACTAGTCAAACTCTTGCCTAATCCGATCCAAGTATCAATCACATGTTTATAATTTTCTGGAGACATGTAACACAAAACACACTCGCTTATGACCAACGTTGGTTTCGTCATATCCAAGCCAGGAATCGAGCTTTTCGCATCAATGTCACGCAAATCTCTTCCGTGGAGATGATAGTTAGTGGTATGAATTTCGGGATCCAAAGCTGAAAAGTCTTCTTTTGATGAAATCGTGGGGGGATTATCAAACACTCCTAAAACGCTTCGAAGCTTTTCACTATGCAAAATTCCTAGTTTCTTGATCCTTGCAACCTCGGGGAAGTCGATCTCATGATATATGGCATTGGAGCCGTCTTCAATAAATTGAAATAGTCTGGTATCAGAACCGCTACCTAAAGACACTATTTGACAATGCCCATCAAACTCTTGAATAAACTCCAAAATAAGAGTACTTATTACCTTTGTTCTTAGATAGGTTCCTCGATTGATCAAGGGAAGTTTATTCTCTGTGAAAACTCCCTTTAAAGTTCTCGCAGATGACATGCTGGAGTATCCCTGGCACCACCTTAGATTTGCTTCATAGGACTTCACCAAGTCTTGTATGTATAAATCCTTCGGGAGAAGGTACTGCTTCTCATTGATGCTACACCTACAACTCAAAGCATCCAAATCTGTAGCTCTTATTAGCTTCTCATGTTTGTCCTGGGGTGAGTACATGTAGGTGGTGAAAATATCTTCTAATTGAGATCACCCGTCTATATCTACAAAAAGGAAAAAGTTTCAAGTTCTCTATTTTTTTATTAGTTTTTATTTTTTCTTTTCTCGATCTTTAGGACAAACCAAACACACGGGATTTGATTACGATTTTTCTAGAATAGCCCACCAATTGTCTTTCTCATAACCTTCTTCTAGAACGAGACAGGCGTTTGTTGCTAGACAGTTTCTTACTAACTCACCCTTCCTGTACAAGTGATAATACCTATACTTTGTTACTTCAGGCTCACTCACTTGCTCCTGGTGATCAGTTACCGCTTCTGGAGATGCTTGTGATTGTGCTTTTGCTTTATCACGTCGTTTTTTTTCTACATTAGCCACGGGTTTCTTCAAGACCCAGGGTACTAATACATCTTGGTCGTCTCCATCCTTGTATCCTCGACGAGACTTTTCTTGCTCTAGTGCCCAACAGTATATTAAACACTGACCCCCTTTTTTTAATTTTGACAAGATTTGCAGTATGGCTTCAATTCGACGTTCTTCATTTGCAAAATGGTGTATGACAGCAATAGAAATGGCAAAGTCAAAGCGATCCCGAGGGTGCGGGAGGGAAAGTCCATCGGCAATTCCAAGATTATATGCATTATTTGATAACTTCTGGGCGCAGTCCACTAGTCCCCCCGATCTATCTGTGCCAACTATGAACAAGTCCTCATTCACATGTAAGTACTTTCCGTTCCCACAGCCAACGTCCAATCCCACCGAGTATTTGGGGCGACTTTTCAAGAATTTTTCAACTATAGGCCATGGCTTGTATCTGGTCTGCGAGAAATGAGGAGCGATTTCGTTGTAGATCTCATGAACATACAATTCTTCTTGTAACACCGGTTCAACGTGTTCTGTCAAGGAGACAGACGGCACGGCTGACATGATCTATTCTTTTGTAGGAGTGAAAGAGGGCTTGTTACTAAATGCTGCGATGATTATCAAATTTTTTGAAAGGAAGAGAACGAGAAAAGAACGAGAAAGAGAGAGAAAGAGAAATGAAAAAGGGGGACCTTGTGTTGAGAAACATGAAAACCTTCCTGCTACTAGCGGGAATAACGCTAGCATTGCTTGCGCCATGGGCTTGGGAAACCCTTTTTGGAAGAAGCTCGAATCTTGCAAATTCATTGCGTGGTTACAAATTTGATGACATTACAGTGACAATACCAGTATCGCTCACGTTCATCAATGAAAAATTTAACATGCCCGATCTCATTGCAGCTTCACAAATTCAGATCGATAGGGAGATAAAACGATTGACAAACGTATCTATTCAAGTTCTATTGAAAGATAATTTAGATGGAATGTCAGAGAGACAGGAGTACAACGTGGACCTAGTATTGCAGCGCGATGATTCGCTTGGAATATTCCCTGCATCTCTCACAGCAGTCGTTTTTTACTCCTTGGATTCCATTCACTCAAATGATCTACCGTTTTTTATTACTCAAACGATACTACATCACTTCTTGTACGCGGACATTCAGCTTCTCAATAGACCCAATACTGATGATTTGCCAGAAGAGCTTAACTTTGAGGTGGGATTCGGAAACGAGGTGCCATCGAATATTTCTGAGAAGGCTATTGTTGCAATTGAAGATTTTACAAAACAAACAGCACAATTGGCGAATGTGAAGTGGAAACTTAATAATCAATTGCTGTTGCGAGGAGACGAAATTGTACTAAAATTCCCCGAAAAAATGGTCAAACGCTTAAGAGTCACAGATAGTATTGCACAGAGGATTACAAAGGCATTAGAAGGTCAGCTTCTACTTCCAGAAAGACCAAGTGCCAATTTACTAATCAAGGTTCTTGCCGCTACTAGGAGAAAAACGATGTTAAACTTGATACGGTTAATAAGTAAAGTTGAGGAATCACTGCTGTATAGAGACCTGTTGGCAACAAAGATATCAGGATTGATTGAGTCTTTCAATCGAGCTAATAGCTCGTCACTTGGACAAATACTAAATGAGACAAATTTTCTATTATCGGAATTTGAATGCAGCCCGTTGTAAATAAATTTTAAGAAAACAACCATTCCAGAGTACATCTACTAGAGTATCCCCTGCAAATCAAAAATTCTCCAACCATCTCCACGGATTATAGGTATAAGACGGTCTAGTTTTCTCTCAGGAGACTAAGAAGAATTACATATCGACGTAACCAAAAAAACCAAAAAGACCTTAGCTCCCTCCCCCCTTCTCAATTACCCTGAAATGGAGTGTTTTCACAAGTATAATAATAAACATGGTATATATATTACTTCGGCCTGAGCTGCACAGAGATAAAAATAGAAACTGTCCAAAATTTTCCAAAAGGTTTACTCTTTTCAAGCAAATAAGAAATCATTGAGATGACCGTTCAATGGAAATATTGGTGCTTCGAAGTTTGATGGTCTGAACTAACTCTTTTGCATATTTACTTTACCACAACTGAGGAGATGACAGAAAGGTCAAAACTTTAAGTTCACCTTTAGAACCATTGATCGAAACACCGTGACCATTCTATTTAGCAATAATTGGCTTAATTTCTATATATAAAATTGAAAGTACTGGAATTCTACCAATTGAATCATGAGGATCTTTACGTCCAACACTTTCTTTACTTGGATATTTTGGGGTTGTTGGGTCACCAGGTACTGGTTGTTAATCTCTTATTTAATTGTAATTGAAGGTGTCCAATCTAGAAATTTGAGTCACAAGAATCTACATTCAAGTTCAAAAGCTGCTTTCTAATCCGACTTGAGTGATCCATTCACCACTGTATGAAAAGCATAGTGCTCTACTTTGAGTAGTAACGACTGCGGTTTTAGTGGGGTCGTTTCATTTTGAACAGTGCAATAGTGTGTATTGCGCAGCTGTTGGACTTTATTCCTCCCCTGACAGGGACGGGGGTATATATGGTTCTGTCTACAGATAATGGGAAAGTCTTGTGTAGAAACACAATAACATTTTGAAGGCACTAGTCCTAACTTACTCTACTTAGGCTCTTCTCAGCTCCTCGTCCTGACCTTCATGGTGAAAATCTTTCATAGATGAGGTCTTGCATCACCACACAAGGTTGCTTTGGGTTCACTCGATCCATCGGTGTCGTGAATTGTAGTTACTTATCGCGACGGGATAGCTTAATTATCAATTGCAACGCAACATTTACAGAATTCCAAATTGAGAATATTCTAATTTCCATAACTGGCACAACCACTCACCACTTTGTCCAGAAAATGGATGCAAACTTTTTGATTTCAATTTTGTTTACTTCAAATTGCTGCGAAAAAATTAAAATATTGCACAAAGTATTATACAAAGGGGTTCATTGAGAAGACAGACACCATTAAAACAATATACAAGAGAAGAGTGATAGAAGGTAACTATACTGGTCACTTGTAGATGAAGATGGTTATAAACTATTGAGGAGTATCCCAGAGATGTAAACTTGTATATTCTCAGACATCAAGACAAGATGGCCGAAAAAATTGAATTTAAAAAGGACATTTTGTTAGTAATGTCTCATGAGTATTCAAAAAATTCTAAAGACATTTAGATCAACGACTTTCCAAAAATAAAAAATTAGAGAGAAATTAATTCGTATCTTACTGACTATATTGAAAAAATTGACTGTAGACTAGAAGTACATCATCTAAGTACACATTCCAGGTCAGCAAACAATTTAAGCATATTCTTTCTCTTTTAATTGATCACACAAGTAAGAAGTGCACTCAAAATAGCGCTTAATTACTACCTCAGCTTTTCCCAATTCCAATGAATTTATCTACTTTAGAAAAGGAGGACGAGAAGAAGGAGGACTTTGACCGCGATGACAGTATGGATGAGGAAGACGAAGAGCTAATATGGAGAGTTTTTTTCGGTGAGATGGAGAGACAAGGAAGGCTAAGAGATACCACCAATAATAATGAAAGGAATAGCACGGCTTCAGAACTTGCCGATATGATTTATCAGAGCAGCGAAGATGAGGAAGACAAGGTATCCATAGCATCAGATATTTTGCAGGGTGTTGACGATCCAGAGCTTATTGAACGGTTTAATAAGGCCAAAAAGATGGATATTGACAAGAATCTTACCGAAGAAGAGCAGAAGAGATTAATGATTACAAACTTAACTGACGACCAGATGGAAAGGTTTGAGGCGTACCGTCGACTGACAATAAATAAAACAGGTATCAAAAAACTTTGCAACTCGATAGTTGGACACTCAATACCGCAAGTAATAGCAACTGTGATGGCAGGAGTTACAAAGCTGTTTGTTAGTGAGGTCATTAGTACTGCCTTAGAGGTTCGAGAACGAGGGCACAAGGCCAAACTCTTGAACGATATAGAAGAGAAAAAACTACAGAAGCTGCGGTTTGTCAGAGGGGCCAGTGATATCGAAGGACAGGTAAACTTCCTTCTGTATGATGGTGATAATCCATCTCCACTAACTGCAAGTCACATACGAGAGGCATACAGATTACTAAAACTTCAAAGCAGCGCAGCCCTGACTTTTCAAAGAGACCATTGAAACATAGAAGGCATCTTCGTACAAAAATTAGCGGCTTTTTATACCAAAAGATGTGAGCAGTTGCAAATGCAATGAAATATATACTCCAGAATGGGAACCGATTTTCTTTAGACAGAGAAACGCTTTATGCAACAAATAACGCATGATAGCAAGGAGGAAAGGGAGACAGTATCTTTCGTTCATCTAAATATGACAAGTAGTAGTATAACCTGTACAAGCTGGCATTCCTCGAGGTCAACTATAACAAATGACTTACATCAAATTGTATATTAACCATTTGTAATCATAATATAGTACGCAGTTTATATAGGAACATAACCTTGCTAACGGGAAATAAACGACACACCATGGAATAGATATTCTAGATTGTGAAAGTTTAAACAGCACAATTTTGTCTGCAAAATATGATATAGCTGACCAACCAGCAAAAAATGCATACGTCATAAATCCAAATTACACATTCATGAAATACCTACTCTTCTTTGCTATATACATACAAGCTATGTAATCATCTTTGCTAGTATAAAAATGCAACAAACACCTTATCACTCTGATAAAAAGGTGCAAAGTCATATCGCAACTACATCAATTACAATTTCTTCCTTCCCCTGTATTTTCCGATATCCTCTAATCAAATATTGCATTACTTTGACAGCCCTGTAAAAAGCAATTGCTATCAACTTTCTGCCCAGTATATTATGTGTATAAAATAATCATAGGTAACAACAATGCAACAAGATTTTAAAACTGCAGCTATTACAAAATCCTTTCTATTAGTCATTACAAGAACAACAAGATGTACCATAAAAAAAACTTCGATGAACATACGAAACCTTGTCTCTTTAATACGAAGATGCTTAAGACAACTGAGAAACATATACCATCCTTATTCAAATAACTGACTACAATAAGAACTTCCAAAGCACAGTCAAGAAAACAAACTCTAAAAATGAAATGTGGAGTTTTGAACTGCAAAATAACAACAAAATAATAAAAATGTTCCTATGTTTAACAAACTGCTCTGCACTTCCAAAACCAAATGGACCGAATACTGCGATCCTGAATTATCGGCACAAAGGGAAAGAGGTGCAAACAAAATCAGTACTACACATAAATAGGGCTTTAAAGATATCAAACAAAAGCACCTGCATAGAAACACTTTATTCTTTCAATATGTGTTGGTGCTTTAAATAACCTCACTCTGGAATCACCATTTTTATGCAAACCAATGCTTTCGGGGCACTTCCACCCACGAATTAATTGTGTTGCCTACAAAATTCTGAAGAGGCGAAAGGGAATCTTTTGAAAAACCATTTAATGACTATAACTATCACTATCACTCAAATCATTTCAAGTGATTGTGTCATTTTGCAATAAAAAATAGTTTTCTTTCAGTAAGTTACAGGTGCTCAATTCAATTGTCCATGTTGTGTAAAAACTGTCCAATTGTAAACCACTAATGCATACGAAGAGCCCTTTGCAAATAATGATTGATATACCGTCAAATTTTCAGTCAATTAGTTTTAAGCAAAACTTACATATAGGTCCTTTTTATTTATTTATGTCATATAATCTTGATATATTGGGCATTGAGCAGAAAGTGTTTATATTATGACTATATAAATTGGGTCATTGTGTCTAAAAGTTAGAGTGGTTACGTTAGATTTGGTGGTGAAACGTTATTGTTCTCGTGTCACTTAGCAAACAATTATACAGAATCTGTTGCCATTCGATCAAACAACATGATAATCATGCTGTGTGGTCGGCGTAATGTGCATGAAACACTATGATGGTAGGATGTCAATTCCATATAATTTAGCTAATAAATGGACATACTTGAAATTGCTACATTTTAAAAGTTTTATTTCTTTGACATCGTTTAATTATTTATAGTACAAAATTTGTTTTTTTCTCGATGGACACTCGCTTGTATGTTGTCAACTGGGGTTACTATTGAAGGTAATAAACATAAGTGTTGAATGTACAGACTACGTGTAGCCTATGGGAAGTGCTAAGTATATGATGCTCCTTTGGGGATATTTTTATTATCATTGCATCTTTTAATTTGGAGTGCCTTTGAGAGAATACTTTTGAAAAGATTAGTTTGTAACTTACAGATCTAAGAAAGGAAAAGGTTTTATGTACATGGGGCGTTCCTTTGTTTTGTTTAGAGCGAGAAATGCATCAAGTTGCACTACTTTGGCGTTAAGAAGTTTTATTATTTTATCGATTCAGAGGATTATTCGTTTAAACTATTACTGCGTATATCATGTATATTATGAAAGAGTAGTTCGTTGATAGTATAAAGCTGTTGTTTTAAAGTTAGTGTTGAACAGACGCATTATTATTGATTGAAGCTTTTTTCGAGGTGGAACTGTTATTTTTATTTTTCTGTAGTAGATACTAGAGATCATAATAGTTTGAAATGATCAGTATAGATGTGAGTCTTTCAAGCAAAATATGTTTTGATATTTGCTAGAAAATGCGATGAGGGAGGCTTTCATCAATAGGATTATTTGTTTGTTGGTCATCAATGCATTGGCATTTTGATAATGTTGTGGGTTTTTGTAAGTTGTAGTTGATGAACACCGTTAGTTGCTATGGTGGATGTTTACAATGAAAGAATTGATCTGCTGATATCAGAAAAAAATGAGAAGAGTTGGTTGTTTCCAGTAATATAGAATCCCTTTTTAGTGGTGTATATATTTAATTATGAAAAGAATTTGCAGGTTTCATAATCATGTTTGTACTACTGCTGACTAGTGTTCTATTTATTTGTTTCGATATCATTACGCACGAATTGAAGGTATGATCTTGTGTTAACTGCCGAGAAATCGACATTGTGCGAGCTTTAATGAACATCTAGTATTAAGTTTTTAGAGGCAATCATATTTGTGGCTGTGAATCTTGAAATCTACAAATTCACCTTTACTGCTAATTGTACAATCTATTTTGATGGGAGAGCAGGATCCTAGCTAATATATTTATATGCGTGTGTGTGTGTGTGTGTGTGTGTGTTGTGTGCGTTGTGGTGTGTATCTTTTGATGCAATCACTTTAATGGGGATTGAAAAAAAAGAAACAATCCACACTTGGGGGGTGCTGATTTCGGTAACTATGTCTCTCGCTGTATACAACTAAGACGAGGTATGGCTTTGACTCTTTCTCATAATATTCCGTCGAACCTTCCAGACACGTCCAACTTTCGATTTTAAATCAAAGTTCACATATGGAATATCTACAGGATTTTTCAATTTCAGCGGAATGTGTTTTGATTGGGAGGAGATCCTTTCCTTCACAAAGGTCGGATGTATCATCTCTGTTTCTGGAATGTCTCCCTCGCCACGTGTCAAAAGTATCCTATGACCATTATTCAAGTATTTTTGAACTAACGACCTAACAAAGTGAGGTGTGTACACGTTGAGATAGCGATCTTTGGAATTGACGCTGTGTACTATAAGTAGTCCAAGAAAATCTTTCTTCTCCAACTTTGCTGCATCCGCCTCGTCACCTGAAATGATATTCGGGAAAGAATCGTATTGATTGTCACAAATCACCTGACCAGTTAAGTTTTCTTTCTCCGTCGCATAGACTCCCCATATAAGTGACTCTAGAAGGAAAGGCATATTTTTGTAATTGAAAGTAGTAGGATTGACATTGAAGTTTAATACCGAAGCAGCATAAACCCCCGCGCCGTTTTCCCCAACGTAATAACTTATTCTAAAAGGAGCATGGTCCAACAAATACCTTGAAAAATCAAAGCAATTATTACGATCTTGGTGGAAATACAAAAGTTTGTAAATTGACCTGATCTGGGCGGCGTGATACTTTGATGCATAAAACGATCCAGGCAATACATTCAAATCCTGAAGCTGAAGATTTTGGATCAACTCTGGGTTCTCCGACAGCGGCTCTACTGGTACGTTTTTGGTTAAATGAACCACAAATGTGGGTTCGATTATCTGCGATAGTTGTGATAGGATCTCCCTGCCGTAGCCTTTGATCCAGCCTGGAGTATTCACAATAAGGGGATATCTCTTCGGAGCGTATTTAGTAGAATACTCTTTAAATAAGATTTCCGCAATCTCGAGGTATCTGGTGGGGGCTTCCATGGGGCTTGTGAATCCGTAATAGTGACTGACTCCTGCACGAGAGTGTGTCCAATCGAAGCAATATTGAGCACTTTTCTCCACATGCAACGATAGACAATATGGCGATGAAAACTCGGATTGTCCTGGATCAAGATCCAAGTAAACTACCGACTGCTTACTGCTTAGAACGGAATAGTTTGCCATGCTTTTGCTGAATGTAGTCTTACCTGTATTCTTGCCCCCAATAACCATGAATCGAGGTTCTTTACATCTCATATGCTTTTGAAAATACTCTACCCACGAATTGTCGATATTCAAACCTTGGACGTCTTCACGTTGTCCAAAAATTGGTTCAAATGTGTAATTGCTAAATATACCATTCATGTTTTGATTGTCAAAAGTTAGGCTCTTCAAAGATTGGTGCAAGTTTCCTATCCTTTCCAACCCCGTCTCATAATTCGCAATTTCAATTACAGAAACCATTGGGGTTTCCAGCAGCGATGAATCAGTATCGTTGCTTATGATCGGCAATGAATGACACTCAAGTGCTGTGAAATGGTAGACGGTATCAGCATTTGGCTTGAGTTCGTGACAGTTATTAACTTTGACTTTCCCCGACACTATCTTTAGCCTGAATTGACCCTTCAAAATGATATTTTCATAATCTTGCAACGTAATTAAAATGTGTTTATCCTCAAATCGTAGATTGGATTCGTTAGGAACAAAATTGGACTCCATATATCGCTTTTGTTGATAAACAATGCCTTGTCCTTGGGCTCCTATTGGTTCCACGCTTCTGGTTAAACTCGAATCGCTACCAGTGACCTTTCCTTCCAGTTCGTCATCGGAACTATTTGCATATTGTAGCATGTTTTCATCGTCCTCTGTGTATCGTGGTTTCTCTGCAATCAACTTTCCCTTTAATCCTCCATCTTTAAGAGCAGCGTACGCGCTCATTTAAGCACGGCTAAGGTATGTTGATAAGACACTCAATCGAGAGTTCATTCTGAAAGTTTTTGCTCGCAAAGTATAATCTCTCTTTTTCTTTTTTCTTTTTTTTTTTTAATTGAGGGGGGGATGAAGTAGGAAAATTTCGATGAGCCAATTCTTATATGTTAAAATCTTCAAAAAAAAAAAACCACCAATTTATATTTAATCTGTCTACGTTGAAGGCAAAAAAAGTACAAAAAAGAGATTGTGCTTTCCAATTTGGAGTATCATTGGCATTAGAAGTTTTGGGGTACTGAAAAGTTGAGATTAAGAAATGACAAAAGAAGATACCTACGGCATTTTGCATGTATCAACTTTGAAGAAACATCTCACTGCTTAAAGTATAATGTTGGGCTCTCTATTTTCCTCTCTCTCTCTCTCTCTCTCTCTTTCTAATTGCGTTGTGCATTAGCTCAAGACGTTCAGCTAATAAACATGTTGAGAGAGTACGTTCATTTGACAAAGTTGGGGATCAATAAACTGTTAGTATAGTATCCTTAATTGGTCAATTTGAAAGACGAATGTGAGCTCAGCCAAATGCTTTTGTCACATTACTGACACCATTCCGGCTGATAGTAGGTTCCTCATTTGTTTGCGCTGGCTGACGTCGTAGAGAAGCTTACTCAACTCATACATTACTTTATAAACTCAGGCAAATAATTCTGGATTGTATAATACAACGGGTTTTATTGCATCCATATCTACGGTGCTTCTGAAGCCAATCTCGTTTAAGGACCCGTGTGTGAATAAATACACCTATTCCGCTTAAACAAATCCACTAAACAGTCTTTTAGTAGTGTTATAATTTAAGAAAAAAGAGTAATTTTTTACTGACTACTCTACACCGGAATTTTACTCAATATTAATCTAAAACCCAATCAATATACTTATAATCAGAATGTTGAGAAAGTAGTGACGTTATTTTGTGTACTCTTTCTTCGAATACTCATATATCAATTATTAAGAAACAGTGAGATAAGAGATTTACAGTCTTTGTTAATGAAGGGATTTTCAAAGAAAAAGACATTAAAAAAAAAAAATAGGCACCCTATCTTATCAGCTGTGCGACATTGCTAACAAACACATACAAAGAAGAGTTGCAAAAAAAGGGACTAGATACATCTCCAGAGCAGAATCTGTAATACACCACTGGGTTTGTATCCCAATAAGCCTATTGAGTAAGTAAGCAAATACATGTTTTGAGAAATAGACAGTAATAGTTTGTTTAGTTCACTATGTTGTTAGCTAGCACATGATAATTTTGCTCTATTTCTACTCAAAAAATAAAAGGTAATGTAAAAACGTTGGACTAAGCTACCGACTTGTTCAAGAATCACCCTTCTTTTTTTTTTTTTTAGACTAAACAGGGATTCTCCATTGTATGAGAGTATTTTGAGTTGCATTTACTACCTCATTATTGAAAGACTAGTACCCATAGTGGGTCGTTTAACAATTAAAGCATGTAAGGCAATCGAAGAAGCTAGATCACTGCACCTACCATGCAAATGCGTCTAGTTGATATAGCTTACTCTCTCTAAATAAGTATCACCTCCTCTCTCCTCCATCTGAACTATGGACCACAGCTACTAAAAACCAGCTTGTAGACTTCAAAAATAAATAACTTTACAATCGCAGGAGCACCATCTTCTACATTCAGTTGAAGCAGTAAACTCGATATTTTTATCCGCTGGTCAGGAGACATATCAACTCAAAAGAGAGATAGAGAGAGAGAGAGATAGCATAAAAGAAAAAACAATAATTAAAACAAAAAAATAAAAGGTCGCGGTCTTGGAAAAAAAAAGAAAAAGAGTTGAATTGAAGGAAAATTCTCCTGAAAAATATCGTTAGGTTTATGCTCTTTGAAGGAGGACCATCAGCACTCATTTAAGTATACTTTTGTATCTTCAACTTCACGATTATTGTTCTACTTAATTAGGCTTGTAATTTTTTGTTATAACTCCATATATTTACCGAAAAGCCCGTGAAAAATATGGGTAACAATTCATCAAAGCAAAATAATTTGAAAGGAGGCGGAGGTGGTATGCCTTTGCAACGAACCGATACTTCCAACTCAGTTAAATCGACAAGGTCTATAAGACTGAAGCTATCTATAAGTAGCATAAGTAATGGGAGCAATAGCAACAATAACAACAACTCTGCTGCGGATCGGGATGAGAACCGACTAGGTACGAGCAATGTTAAAAATAGCAACAACTTGAATTCCAATAGTAATGGTGACACGACAAATGGTCACTCTGTGATTGATACAAACTACCGCGAAATTAATGATGATCCGAAAACACCTCTGAGATCCTTATCTAGGAGGAACTCGTCCTCTGAGATTGTTTCCGAGATACCGTCTTTTTCCAGAAACAATAGCTCATCAAATTTATTTTCAACTTCATTCAGTAACAATTCAAAATTACCACCGTCGATGAAACAAGTACAGCCAAAGGAACCTATTCTTATCAGAAGGAACACGAATGAAACAATCAATACGTGCTTAAGTGTGTCAGGACTTGATTCACCACCTTTGAATTCGCCAATGTTGTCACCTTTAAACAATACCAATAACAATACCAATACTAATACCAGAACCAATACCAACACCAATAGTATTTCTACACAATCGTTACCGTCTCCGCATCAGTCTTCGTTTTTGTCAGACCAAATAAATGGATCGGGAAACGAAATGCAGTCACATCACAGTTTGAGTTCACTGGCGCCAAAATCACCCAGCTTGAATTCAAACACGTATGACGACACAAAAAGTATTCAGAGTAGCAGACAATCACTGGCTGCCGATTTGACGGAGCTAGCTAAAACATCGTCGTCGGTCAATAACCATCTTCATAAACAGTCCACAACTACCTCTTCAATAGGAGGTGGTAGCAACACCATTGAGATAGAAGACCTTATACAAAGATTATTAGATGCCGGATATAGTGGGAAAAGAACAAAAAACGTTTGTTTGAAAAACACCGAGATTCAATTGATTTGCGCAACAGCGAGAGAGATTTTTTTGTCACAGCCGTCCTTATTGGAATTATCGCCTCCAGTGAAAGTAGTTGGTGACGTTCATGGGCAGTATGGAGACTTGATTCGTATATTCACAAAGTGCGGCTTCCCTCCACAAACTAATTATCTCTTTCTTGGGGACTATGTTGACAGAGGCAAACAAAGTTTGGAAACGATACTTTTGTTGCTATGTTACAAAATCAAATATCCTGAAAATTTTTTTCTACTACGTGGGAACCATGAATGTGCCAATGTCACTAGGGTGTATGGGTTTTATGACGAATGTAAACGAAGATGCAATATAAAAACCTGGAAATTGTTTATTGACACATTCAACACTTTACCAATTACATCAATAGTTGCGGGTAAGATATTCTGTGTCCACGGCGGGCTCTCCCCGGTATTGAACTCGATGGACGAGATCCGCAATATTGCTCGACCAACGGATGTACCAGATTTCGGTTTACTAAATGATTTGCTATGGTCAGATCCTGCAGATACAATTAATGAATGGGAAGATAATGAGAGGGGAGTCTCATACGTTTTTTCAAAAGTTGCGATTAATAAGTTTTTGAGTAAATTTGGCTTTGATCTTGTTTGTCGAGCTCATATGGTGGTTGAGGACGGATACGAGTTTTTCAATGATCGAACATTAGTAACTGTATTTTCGGCACCTAATTATTGTGGAGAGTTTGACAATTGGGGTGCCGTTATGAGTGTTTCCGAGGAACTATTGTGTTCTTTTGAGTTATTAGATCCCTTAGATAGTGTAGCCTTGAAGCAGGTTATGAAAAAGGGAAAACAAGAGAGGAAAACAGCGCAATACATGCAAAGAATACAATCGAAATGAGCTTGGGGAGGTGGTTTTATTTAGATTTATATTATCTTTGAGATGAAATTTTATGATAAATTATTTGTTTTCATTCCTCGTAAATAATGTTTCTTCTGGTAAAAATGGAGAGGAATGGAAGAGATGGGAGGGGGAAATCAAAAGATGCAAGCTTTTGGAGGGTACAATGTATGTATCGAAAGCTCCCCCAAATTTAAAACCGAAAAATAAATAAATAAATAAATAAATAAATAAAAAACAAACACTAAACTAGATTAAGTAAAAATCCGTAGAAATCTTATTTGGATATCATCACAAATGTCAGAAACACAATCGTCACACACGCGTTCCAGTATCCATCAGTACTTACTACGCATAGAGAACTTGGAACCCTTAGTCTCTGCTGCTAGTCAGCTTCTAAAAGAAACGGATACGAACCAAAGGAGGCTTGCGAAAATATGCCACGATATAGATGTTGACTTCAAATTTCCTACTGATGTATCAGTCTCAAATCCACAATCTGCATTGTCACATGTGTCGAAGGAAACAGGTGTGGCTGCATTGACCTATTTGATAGAGCAAAAATATGGCTACAAGCCTGGTACTGATTTGTCTTCTTGCACACAGACAGTCGAAAGTGAGATTGAGGAACTCAAAAGACAAAATACGTTCTTGAGAGATCTAATGAAGTCGAAAGCTTCAAAGAATATACAGTTACATCAGATAATAGAGGATTACGAGAGTGCAATATTCACTGAGATTCTACCGGAACTAAGAAAAAGGCTTCAATCTGAAAAGGTCAACGATGAAGTGAACGAGCTCTTGGAGGAGAAGCTACTGCGAGAGTCCGAAGTGTACCAAGCATTTCTGCATAAGAAGGAAATGAGTCGAGGTGAGTTGAACAAGTGAATAATGTATATATTTTTATAAATAAATCAAGTTCCTAAAATTTCATCTCTAAAATATCTTTGGTAATTTATTTTCTTATTCTTCATTTTCCTGGTATATTCATTCTCAAGCTTATGCTCGAGTCTGCGCACCTCCTTTTCTTGTTTTGTGGTTTGTTTCATGGAAAGACCAGGCGCGAATCTTCTATCAACTAAGGCTTGAGTTCTCCTTCCTTCCTCATTTAAAACAACCGAGAGTGCAATATTTTGACGATAGTATCTTTGCATACTTCTGTGACCAATTCTTGAACCCACAGGCGTAGTTAGCTCTACCCCTGAAGGATCTATTTGAACGGAAGTATAATTATTGGTAATACCATTTCGTAGGTCATTGGCGCTGTCTAGTTCAGCACTAGAATTTTTGTCAATTTCTGTTATTTCTTCTGAAGATGTAAGTTCTTCTTTAAAGCTAACTCCCTTTCCCTTTCCATCTCCTCCACCCCTAACCCTACGACTAGGCTCTTTACTACCAATGTCAAAATTGTAAAACTCGCATATGGCGAGTTTTTGTTCTTTCGTTTCATATGGGATCTTGCAATGACCCTTGCCATATATATGTTGTCTCAAACTTTCTATATTGCGACCTTGAAAGTCACACACGAGACATTTATGATTAGATACCATATCTCGCAAGAAAACCAATAATCCCTCAACATTGACCAAGTATGACCTCTCAGGGATATATAGACCATGTCTTTTAAACATGTGTTTGATATTGTTCTCTATTTCATAATTGTTTGCTCCACAATAGAAGCAAGATGTGATTGAGATAGCTTGAGCATCGTCTTCTCCTTCTTCTCCTTCTTCTTCTACTTCTACTTCTTCCTCCTCTCCCATATCGTTACTAGCCACTGCCGAAATTTCTTCTTCGTCCAGGTCCAAATCCCGGAAATCGGAAGATTCCACATAGTCCAATTCTGAGCCTGTGTGAACAGATTCTAGTTCAACAAACCCGTGTGGGATTTCATTTAATGAAAACTGAGATAATTCTGAAGACACAGAGTGTGCAGGGCTCGCACTCCTTTCCCGATAGTCTTTCATTTCAGAAGTGGCTACAGTAGCAGCACTTTGTCGCATTCTGAATCTACCTCTTGAGTCTTGGCTTAACTGACCACTGTGAGGTAGTATTCTTTTGGAATTGTTCTTCTTCTTCCTTTTAGCAACGCAAAACCCATGCTCATCCTCATTTTCGTTATTTTCGTTTGGATTTATGTCTTTGCAAAGTACTTTTTCAGCAAAGACATCTGAAGTGATGGATGGTAATTGAGCGACTCTTCTTTTTAAATTGTATCTATGCCAATCAGTTTTCATGTGCTGTCTCTGAAATTCTGCATCTATAAACCGGATATTGCAAGTATTGCATGTAAAAGAGCTTGTTTCCGGGTTAGAACCGCTGGGTAAAAAGCTCATTGTTGTTTTGAACAGGAGTCAACCGAAGGGGTGGTGAGGTGAATTTCAGAGAATATCGATGTTTATTGCTTTTTTATTTTTTTTATTTTTTTTATTTTATTTTTTGCAAGATTTTTCAAAGTATACTTCCAGGCTAAGGTCGCGAGCGTGTTAGTGCGTGTTCAGATTTTGAAAGTGAAGCCACCACCCACCCAGTCCAGGCTGTTCTCTTTATTCTAAAAGACATTGACATTAGGTTCTTTTGGAGAAAAGAATTTTTTTTGTTCAACATAAAGTTAACAGTTGAGAAGGATATCCGTAATCCCTTTCACCACCATACCTCTCCTCCAGTAGATAGAAAACGAATACATGTTCTCAAATATATGCTATTATACTCTCCATATACAACTTATTATCTCAGAAAACAACTATTCAAGTGATATTCTCCTATTCTTATACAACAGTTTTAACCTCAAAGAATCTCTTCAAGTAATAAATTTGGAAGAGCGAATTAGCAGCAACTACAAAGATTTGGAACACGGACCACCATTTAACTCTGGAATTAGTTGACTCCGCAGTGTTTCTATGTGTTCTTTCTCTAATGACCAAATACCCCTGTTCTGCTTTGACTTCATCGGTCAATTGACTTAATCGTTGAATTGCATAATCTAAAGTATCTGCTTTTGGATCATTAATATCAACGTATACAACACCATGTATGTTAAAACTAACATCTAAATCAGGCTTACCGGATCTTTCGTTTGAAAAACAATATTGATATTTACCATCTGATCTAGCTTTGATTGTTTCATCACCATGGTCTAGTTTGGTTTTTTTAAGTAAAACTTGGTCCTGGGGCGATACCATATAGAAATCTACCTCGTATTGTTCCGAGTTGTGGGGGTTACGCGATCCCACTTGGAAGGATATTGCTAATTCATCATTGGCTTTCAAAGTTTCAAAAAAGCATTGTTTCCCATATGGCTGTAAGAGCACATTATGACCCAATACGGAGGTAAACAATAAACATATCAATAAAAATACCTTCATCTTTCTTGCTTGTTTCTCCTCCCTTTATTCTTTAGTTTAGTTGCAATATCGACTCAGGATTCAGTAAGGTAAAAAAGTTCGGTGAAAGTAATTTTTGCTTTGAAAAATTGTGTTTTGCGTGTTATTAAAAAAAATGTATATAGAGCACAGAAAAAACAGGGAAAAAAAACAAAAAAAAAAAAAAAAACTTGGTTAGATTACTGCGTCGATTCTGTTCAACGAACGCGTCAAATAAATGGGCAAGTGGTGCTTGCATTTGTGTGTTGTCGTCCTAACTTGAGACCGTTTTTTCCTTTTTTTTATTTTTTTTTACATTCAATATTCAATTCTTATACTTCTATACATTATCTATTTGACTCATTTCTAATAATGCTCTTGTTGATTTTCTGGCTTGTTGTATAAGGAATTCATCACACAAAACAATGGCAGCCATAGCTTCAACAATTGGAACTGCTCTTGGGGTGACACTTGGATCGTGTCTTCCTCTAGCTGCCAAAATACCTGGTTTACCTTGGTATGTTGCTGTTTCTTGCTCTTGACTAATCGTTGCAGCTGATTTGAATGCAACTGAAAAATAGATATTCTCACCATTTGAAATACCACCTTGAATACCACCTGAATTATTTGTCTTTGTTCTTAACCTTTTACTATTCTCGTCATAGAAAAAAGGATCATTATGTTTAGAACCGGGAATAGCAGTGCCTGCAAAACCAGAGCCAAACTCAAATCCCTTTGTAGCTGGGAGACTTAACATTGCATGAGCTAGCTTAGCTTCCAATTTATCAAAACATGGTTCACCTAACCCAATGGGGCAATTACGTATAACACAAGTAACTACTCCACCGATCGAGTCTTTAGCATCACGGTATTTTTCAATAACTTTAACCATTTCATCACGTACTGCAGCGTCAGGGCACCTTATTGGTCCTACTGCATCCACCTCATCTCTGGTTATATTGCCTAAAACATTCCGAAAAGTCGAGTCTTGGGCACTTCTATTCATTGAAATTTCTCCAATAGACGATACAAAAGCAACAATTTCAACATTATTCACCTGTTTCAAGATTTTTTCGGCAATTGCACCTGCTGCAACCCTTCCTATAGTTTCTCTTGCTGAGGATCTTCCTCCGCCTGAACCCGATTTCAAACCGTATTTCTGTATATATGTATAATCTGCATGACTTGGTCTTGGGTATAAATCAGTTTCACTGTAATCTCCTGGACGATGGTCTTTATTACGCACAATCATACCAATAGGACTCCCTAAAGTCACTCCATTCTCAGTCCCACTTTGGATTTCAACTGCATCAGCTTCGTTTCTTGGTGTTGATAGTTTACTTTGTCCCGGTCTTCTTCTAGTTAATTGAGGTTGAATGTCATCTTCAGTTAACCTTAAGCCTGGAGGACACCCATCTACTATACAACCAACTGATTTACAGTGTGATTCTCCGTAAGTAGTGACTCTGAACAATGTTCCGAATGATGACATGATTAGCTAATAAGAGAATCCAGTAAAAAAAACCAAAAAAAAAATCAACAAACCTTAAGGTGAAAAATAGATATGGTCTCTTTCCTTTTTACTTCTGTATATGTATTATTTATTTTTTTTTTTTCTCTTCTTCTCCTGTTCAATAACTTAAAAGGGTGTGTGTGTGAGTCAAAGGAGATTCAATTAGTCAAACGATGATTCTTATGCAAAATTTTTTTTTTCTTTTCTTTTTGCAGCCAATATTACACCTTCCAGGAACGTAGAAACAGTTTTGCAATGGGTATAAAGATAACATAAGATTTATATATTAACATGCATTATGACGAGTAATGGTAATAAATTCTTAATATAAACTGATTGTTGAACACGAGTTGTTTTCCTCTTTTTTTTTTTTTTTTTTCTTTTTTGCTTTTAATTTTTTGGTACAATGTTGACTCAAACTATTGATCAAACAACATACAACCTTGTGACAATGAAAACAACTTTAATATCGGCAATGTAGCTATTCCATCCATGATTCGGAAAAAGCAACAGCATATAAATATAAATGTCGTGGTATATAGTGTCTCTAATCTCATATCCTCAAAGTGTCGGGGTATGAGATAGGAACAGGTGGCTCTCGTTTTTCGTGTTCTGGAAAAAAAAGCATTTTTTTTCTTTATTTTTCCTCATTTCTCTTGAAAAATTTTTAATTTTGAAAAATTCTCGAAATGGTAATAAAATTATATTCCCAATGAGTGGTCCTTTATACCTTGCTGGGAACAAAATTTTAAGCTGTCAAAATTGAAAGTCTTTCATTACCTCAAGTTTTATTTACCTGCCAAAACAAAAAGTTTTAAAAATGGAATTGGATTTTCCAAAAATCCATTCTTCAATATGTCAAGATACCCTTCATTTTTCTAAATTTTTCTCGACAAAAACCACCATCGATTTAAATCGACAGGATCTTCTTTTTGTAAACTGGTTGAATCATTTATCATCAACTTCAAAATTTTTTTTGTTGCTTCTTCTGGTTGCCATATAAAATATAGTGTAAAGTTTCGCATCCCGCTTATAAAGGTTTTTCCAAAATTCAGGAAATGAAATTTTTTATGGAATTTCTGCTACCAAATAGGGTTGAAGAATAAGCCACTAATAAAAAAAAAAAGAACACCTTTAAGTTTTTTTTACACTGCTAAAATTAGGGGTGTTTGTATAAACTATTTGATCCGATTTTATACCAGATGCAACATTAATGGTTGTGGTTGACCTACTACAACATAGTATAGAACACATCTTGTAGATACTTTGGGCCCTTCTCCAGGTCTCTTTTTTACCCCAGACTTTTCCTCAGGTATCCTTTTCAGGAATTATATAATTTTGATATTATTATTATTAATTTTTTTTTTTTTTGCATTTTCCCGAGAGATTTTCGGCTGTAAAACTTGTGAGAGAGAGAGAGAGAGAGAAAAAAAAAGGGATAAGTCAAGTCTTGTGACTCCATCCTCTGAGCGTATCGCGAGACAAAACGTTACCGTTTCCCGCTCTTTCTAGACGGGGCTTTTTTTGCTGTTTCGTCTTATTTTTCTTTTTCGTGTCACAAATTGAATATAGGACTCTATATCAGGACTCTATTGAACTCGAAAGCAACAAAGACTCCATTGTAGTAGTGAGGGGGAGGAGAGATATTTTGTTTGTGAAGATATTTTTCCGCTTCAGCGATGTCGGGTAAAGGGAGAAAAAAACAACAACGATTTTGACCAAATTACACTACAAACCTTGTACTTTCTGTAGCCACTCAGCTGCTACTACTGCGGCCTGCTGTTTCTGCTTTGCATTTTCCCTTGTCACGCTCTCCACTGATTATTCTCCACCCAAAGTGAAATAAATAAAAAAAGACTTCCACCACCACCATTCCAATTCCAACCTTTTTTTTTTTTTTTTTGGCTTTTTCTTTCTTTCTTTTTTGGCGTGATTATTAGAGTAAGTGTCTGATTAATTATGTCTCAATTATTTGCAAATGTTAAGGAATTGCCACCAGATCCATTATTTGGTTTAAAAGCAAGGTACAACCAGGATAAGCGTAGCGATAAAGTCGATTTGGGTATTGGTGCTTATAGAGATAACAATGGTAAACCATGGATTTTACCCGCTGTTAAGCAAGCGGAACAGAAGTTGATCAACTCACCTGACTATAACCATGAGTATTTATCAATCGGTGGATATGAACCATTCTATACTAGTGCTGCGAAGGTTTTACTCGGTGACGAGTCAAAAGCTCTTTCTCCACTGAGAATTGCTTCTCAACAATCATTATCCGGTACTGGTGCTTTACACTTGGCTGGTTTGTTTTTGAAAAAGTTTTATATTGGTAATGGACCTCAGCCAGCTATTTACTTGTCTTCACCAACTTGGGCTAATCATAAACAAGTATTTGAAACACTTGGTTTGCAGGTCAAGACATATCCTTATTGGCACGCAGAGACAAAATCATTAGATTTAACTGGCTTTTTGAACACCATAAGGGAAGCCAAACAAGGCTCGATTTTTCTTTTGCATGCTTGTGCCCACAATCCAACTGGATTAGACCCAACACCTCAACAATGGGACCAAATATTGAAGGAATTGGACTCGAGAAAACACTTTATCATATTTGACTCTGCTTATCAAGGTTTTGCTTCTGGTGATTTGGAAAAAGATGCTTATCCAATCCGTAGAGCTATTAACGATGGGTTGGTTTCTCAATCCCCTATCATTATATGTCAATCATTTGCCAAGAATGTTGGTATGTATGGTGAAAGAGTTGGAGCAATTCATTTTATCTTACCACACGATGATGCACAATTTATCAAAGCTATTAAATCACAATTGAATTTAATGACTCGTTGTGAAATTTCCAATCCGCCCGCTTATGGCGCCAAAATTGTTTCTGCTATATTACATGATGAGAAATTGTATAAGCAATGGAAAGAAGATTTAAAGACAATGTCTTCAAGAATTATTAAGATGAGACAAACTTTAAGAAAGAAATTGGAAGCATTAGGAACTCCAGGCAAATGGAATCACATTACCGATCAAACTGGAATGTTTTCATTTACCGGGTTAACGCCAGGGCAAGTTGAGAAATTGGAGAAAAAACACGGTGTTTATTTGGTAAGTAGTGGTAGAGCTTCAGTTGCAGGATTGAATGAAGGAAACATTGATAAAGTCGCTAAAGCAATTGATGATGTTGTAAGGAATGCTTCATCGAAATTATGATTCAGTTTGAATTTCTATAGAGCAATAATGTGACTAGTGATCTAATAATTGTATGTTCTAACGAGACAAAGCTATTCTTCTGTGAAGAAACAATAACAATAGTATTAGTAGTTAAATACAGGTGAATTATACTTTTGAAGTTGCTTGAATGTATCCCGGTACCCTTTCTACCACAGAAATCACAGAAATCACAGACTGCGCAAAACGTCTCTCTTTAGTTTGAAAGATGCAAAACCTCCCTCTTTAGTTTGAAAGATACAAATCGCTCTTCTTCCACCTGTCCAATCTACAAATAAAAGTATTTCACTTAACAATAAAATTGTAATTTATATTATATTTGACACCTAGATATACCTCGACTTTATCGAAATATTCAAAATCATTATGATACATAACTTCACATCATCACAATCGCAATGACCACCCTAACATTATTCTCATCAAAGTTTCTTTTTTCCTCCTATTCTATTAAGGTCTTTCGCACTCTCTTTCCCCCCCACCTTATTTGCACACACACTCTCTCTTCCCCCATATTTTCCTTCCTGGTATTGCACTAAATCTATTTTCTTCTAAAAGAACAACCTTCAGTCAATTTAGCTTTACCACCAGTTGGTGTACACAAGACAGTTGAACAAGAATCACAAGTTACTGCGGTTTGAGCGTGTGAGAATACAGTTGTAATATTAAGACATCCTTGACATTTGACATCCATAAAGAATGATCTTGGTTGTTGGACTAATAATTTCAATTTATGTTGTTGAGCTTCAGTAGCTGGTGAAGGGTGTAATAAATCTTGAACTAAAACCTGGAAAAAGTAGTTAGTAAAAAAAAATTCATAAATAACTTGAAAGAAAAAGAAGGCGAGTAAAGAGTTAAACAAAAAGAAGCACTGTTCTTTAGCTTGAAATAGAACTTGGATGAAAAAATAAGACAAAGGGGGAGGGAAAATCTTCCAATTGAAACAACTCAAAGTGGGGTGAATGCAAGACAACAATGTCTCATTGCAATCATACCCACAACACTCCTCCGTATATTAAAACACATTCCTCCAAAACTGGTCTTCAATCCATCTCTGAGAAGAATAGTTCATTTGTCAACGTGGTGGAATCAATCTCTCATTGTACGCTACTGCGGAATTAAGTGAAATAACATGTTCTATCATCCATTCTCATATCCATAATCCAAGCTCACGTCTCAATACATCTAAAGTCTATTACTCTCGTTTACCCACACTCTCGGGTTGACCTCTGCACATACCATATTGTCTTGACTGTACCTGTTGTTATAATACTACTGATTTAGCTTTGGTTGATTCTCGTTAAAATTCTGAAAAAAAAAAAAAAGTAAAGTCAAGTGTAGAGGGAGACAAATTGATATAAGCTGGTAGCGAATATCACATACCCGCAGACAAAAAGAAAAAAAAACGAAAAAGAAGGGCTAAGCCCTAACATAAGAAGAAAGAATCGCAAAACGGAAATGAAAAAAAGGTTGATAGCAAAAGAAGAATGAGAAAGTTGCAAAAGCCAATCAAACCCGGTTTACCAATATAAAAGGGAATAGTACATGACGGGAGGATACGTGGCCACTAAAGAAAGAAAAAGGCTTCTGATATTGGTTCTTGGAATACACATTCTGTTGACTTAATCATATACGCGATTAAAGATATGGCTTAAACGAATCGTATTGATATCTATGCTATTGGAGTATCTATGAAATAGGGCATCTACAGAACAGAGCGCGGATTTTGAATCAGTCCTATTCCCTCTCTCCTCTCTCCCTCTCTCTTTATTTTAGCTTCTTTCATACAATATCATTCCTCTTTATCTCCCCCTGAAAACTTACTACTACATATACTACCTGGCGAAGTAGCAAGAGAAAACACCACTTTCTATGTTTTCTCTTATTACTCTATATAACCAAAGTATGCACGCGATTACAAGTGATATCTTTCACCAGACACTAAAACACAAAGACTTTTCAAAATTCTACTACTACTACAATGGTCAAAAATATCAATAAGTTACAAAATACACAAAAAACATACACAACAGAAAAAAAAAATTTAAATACCGAAAAGTTGCAAAATAAAAATACACCACACTGATTCTCCCGCTGACCTTCTTCTCTTCTAGCTAAAAGTCTCACCAAATTATACTCGTAGTTTCCGTTCTTTCTAATCTAATATATCTTATTCATTCATATCAACCATTCATCTTGATCTTTCATCTTGATCTTTCATCTTTTGTTTTTTTTTTATTCTTTTGGTTGAGCAAAACACACCTTTTTTTTTTCTTTTTAATATTATTAGCTAATCATCAAAACCAACTAATACATATACAAAACGTATACTCCAAGATTCATGTTCATTTTCATTTTCATTTTCGTTTTCAAAATTTAGTCAAACAAACCCCGTTTTTTATATCATTCTAAGTACTCTTTCATCACCCTCTCATTCTTCATTCTCTTTTTGTTCTCTTTTTGTTCTCTTCTTTTCATTTCTTAATCGGCGCTGACTCCTAATTACTACGAGCTATAATCTACAACCTATATGAAACAAAGCCCTACTTAAAATAAACAGCCTAATTTACAAGTAATTGCTGGATGCCAAATAGGACAAAATAGCATTTAACCACCGTAGTATTAAAAACAAACAGCCAATAGTCTATAGCCAATAGCCAAGAAGCACCACCGTGAGAACTGCCGGATAGAAATGTTTTTTTCTTTCTTTTTTAAAAAAAGATGTACTAATACAGAATGATAAAAGAAGCAAAAAAAATAAAACACACATTGAATGGCCCTATAAAGAAAAAAAATCCAAAAGATCATGTCTCAATGATGATTGATTTAGGTGTACAAATTCTATTGAATTGGGTAGTGGTAGTTGTAGTTGCTGATGATAAATGTACCTGTGTATGTATAAATGTGAGTGAGTGAGTGAGTGTGAACTTGTTGAGCGATTCATAGTGTAGTTATGACTTTCCTTCAAAGATATAACTGAAATGAATGAGTTGCGTTGTTTTGCAATTATAAAAAATTGTTGTTTGATGATTTAGAATCTAATGTACAGATGCTTATTCATTAGCAAGTTACAAATTCATAAAACATTGAATTGTGAGGACAGGAGGGGAAGGGGTGGTTATGTGTAGTCTGTGAGGTTTGTGTCTGAGGTTCTTTGGTAAGATTTAAAAAGAAATGGTTGGTTACTTATTTAGTTGATTTCTTTGGCTTTCTACCTGGAGTGTTACCAGCACCTGGCCTAGCAATATTACCACCGACATTTGAGCCTCCAACAGGATACCTTGGCTTTTTGTCAGCTGGTTTCAAAATTTGAAAAGAGCACAATAAGGACTCATCAACAGACATCATTGCCCCAGCATTGTCAAATTCTCCACAATAATTGGGAGCCGAGAATAAGGTAACCAATTGCCTCTTACTAAAAAACTCGTATCCATCTTCAACAACTTGGTGTGCTCTACAAATCAAATCCATATCGTGTTTTTGCAAGAAACGTGAAACGACATCTGGACCAAATGTAAAAGAAACACCACGATCATTTTCTGACCATCCGGTGATATCCTTGTCTGGATCCGACCACAACAAGTCACATAATAAACCAACATCTGGTATATCAGTTGGTCTCATTACTCTTCTAATTTGTTCCATTGAGTTCAAGTCTGGCGACAAACCTCCATGCATACAGAATATTTTCTCATCTATAATAGCTGCTATAGGTAAGCAATTAAAACAATCTGTAAAAGTTTTCCACAATTTTATATTATACCTTCTTTTGCACTCATCGTAAAAACCATAAATTCTATTAATCGAAGCACATTCATGATTACCTCTCAATATGAAAAAATTTTCGGGGTACTTAATCTTGTAAGCTAATAAGAGACATATTGTCTCTAAACTTTGCTTACCTCTATCAACATAATCACCAAGAAACAAATAGTTTGCTTCTGGGGGGAACCCGCCATATTCAAATAATCGTAACAAGTCATAATACTGACCGTGAATATCACCACAGATTTTGATAGGTGCCTCTAATTCCAATAATATAGGTTGCTGAATAAAGATTTCTCGAGCTTTAGTACAAAGATAACGTATCTCATGCTCTTGAAGAGTAACTTGTTTCCCAGGTCTTGAACCTCTTACTTCTAATAATCTATCAACAATAGAATCAATATCGGCTCCTTCTTGATGATCCGTAGACATTGCAAGAAAACCCTAATTAACCTCGACTTGACTCAATGAAGCTTTACTCTTCTTCTTCTCTTTTTAAAATTTTTTTTTTGGGGGGGCCAGGAAAGGGGGGGAGGCGTTGCTAGCGTTGGTGGTGGTGGTGGTGGTGGTGGTGCTGTAGTTTAGTGTAGTGCAGTTTTTTATTTGGAAGATTGGTACAAATATATAATATAACGTGTATATATATATATGTATGTATGTATGTATGTATGTATGTATGTATGTATGTATGTATGTATGTATAATAAGAACTTGAGTATTACACTACTTGATAAAAAAAATTATGAAGATACACGAAATACGTTCAAGACTAAAAAGTAGGCAAGCAATGTTAAATACTATAGCTCTAGGGGAAGACAAAAGTGTAGATGAATTGATTATAACCAGTAGACAATACAGGGATAGGGTGTAGGAGTAGGGGTAGGAGGGGTGAGGGCGTGGAGGTTGGAGCTTGAGGGGAGGAAATATGTATATATTAAAAATAAATTAATAGAGAGAGGAAAAAAAAAAAAAAAAAAAATCAGTCCAATAAAAATGAAAAAATCAAGTGGACTTTTTCTTTTTTCCCTTTCAAAAATTTTCCCTGACATTTTTGTTGTGTGTTGTTGAATTTGCTGAATTGGATTTGCTGTTTTATGAAATTTTATGGTAGTGTAATTGCGCTCAATAACATGAAGAGAGTAAAGAGAATGGTAAAGGGAGCATATTAAGAGAAAAATGTGGTGTAGATACTGTAGATTAGATAGAGGTGATAACTGTGGAAGATGCCATCGATGCAAGAGAAAGTGTGATTAGCCAATTGTAAATTTTTGAGGCTATGAAATTGTAGTAGAAGTCTCCTCTAGTAAAATAAATATAGAGATAAATGTATAAGGTAGTAACAGGGTAGAGACAGAGCAAAAAAATTGTAGTAACAGAGCAGAAATGGTGGAAATGGTGGCAAAGTTAATTTTTTACATTAACCAATCTTTATCTATCAGCTTCTAAGTTTCTCATATAGAAACCAGACTTTTCATATAAAAACTAGATTTTTCAAAATAAGCAATGGTACATTGGAAGGCATTAGAACAAAAAAAATGCTCCATTATCGAGCTCTGCTCGATAGTGTTGCTTTGCTCGATAGCGTAGGTGTAGTCGGTGTGGTCAGTGCTGCACCACTATCTTGCTCTGCTCGATAGTCGCTTATGCTTAATGTATTCTTTCTTTTTTTTTGTTTTTTTTTTTCTTTTGCGATGACCATATAATCATTTTAATGATCTTATGATTTGGCAAGTATTAAATAAGGGGAATACTCGGTTTGGAGGGGAATTTAAGCCTATATGATATGGTTTAAAATTTTAACATAGCAAGGTTTCACTATGGAATCCTTCGTACCTATTATATTACATAATTAAAATTTATAGTTTCTAAGCTCCACTATCGAGCAGGGCGAGATAGTGGAGTAACACTTTGGTATCTTATCGTCTTTAGTAAAGTTTAATTGATACGAGTCTCGACACTATCGAGCAGAGCGAGATAGTGGAGCAGCACTGACTAGTGAAACTGTTGACACTATCTGACACTATCGAGCAGCACTGACTAGTGACATTGTCCATTCGTCTATAATTCTCAGCCATAAAAATCTTCTCAACCCTCACTTGCAACAATATTAATTGACTTGGATCTTGTGTAAAACAATCAAACTTTCAAATCAATTCCGGATCTTTCCCTGTTGATTTTTAGTGAAAGTATCTCTTTAAGACTATTGAATTTAACTTGTAGTTAATTGGTGTGACATTCCTTTCTTTTTCCTCATACCCTGATAAATTTGACTTCAGCGTATGGGGCAGAAATATCAAAATCACTACTATTTAGGGTTACAATTACAATAGATGCTTTCATACAAGTAAGTACTACAAATGCTTTTCTATAAGTAAGCTTTCATACAAGTACTATAAACGCTTTTCTACAAGTTAAACGCTTTGCCTTGATATTTCTCAATCACTCAATGATTGACAGATCTACAACCTAACGGTTGAAAGAATAACGGCTGAACTTGCCATGTTTTATTTAACTTCAAAGTGTGGAGAATCATTTTGATTTTAATTTTTATTTTTTTTTATTTTTTTTTTATTTATTTATTTTTTTTTTTTTTTTTTTTTTTTTTTTTTTTTTTTTTTTTTTTTTTTTTTTTTTCATTTGATGAAGTTTCTCTCGTGGAGATAAGAACTACTACTACTACTACTATCACCACCACGACCACCATTCCCCACGCCATGATAACGACATGAGTAACCCACCAAAGCAACAATTACCACCTTTTCCCAATAAATACACCCTTCGGTTAGTCTCACCCACAGATTCAAAACCGTGTCTAATATGCTACAAACCTACAACGTCAGTACTAATCTCCGAGAATCAAGTGGACTTTTTTTATACTTGTAATGCGCATTTACTAGATACTCAATTCACTGACCCCGTGCATCCGCAAGCTTATTATGACTTGGCGAAGGAGATAGAGGTATTGAAGCAACTGGTTGAAAAGTTGAAAGTTGAAGTAGATTCAGAAAAACCTTATTTTTGGGGACTCAATCAGTATTGGAAAAATGGTGGTGGTAGTGGATCGACTGAAAGTAAAAGTGAAAGTACAAGTAAAAATGGCAACGACGACGACGGAAACAAGGAGAAAAGTACAAATAAAACACCAGCGTCAAAGGACGTTAGTAAATATGAGCTTCTAAAAAGTAAGCTAAAGGAGCAGTCGAATTCACTTCAAGAGAAAGAAACTCAGCTTCAACAATTTAAATTCAAGAATTATACATTACATCAAACAATCTATAGAAATAGATTAATGGCTTTTCAAAAGAGAAAGTATAATAAGGAAAGAAGTGAGAAAATACAACAAAAAGGATTCTTCCCTAGTGCGCCGACACACGATATTAGCTAAATATATATATATATATATATATACATATGTACATACACATCTACTGTCCCCTTTGTTTATGGGTTGACAACTTTTTCATCTAACCAATCCTCCCATTTCTCAATCTTATCCTTTAATACACTTCCATTCAAGAAATCCATATTGCCTTCTAGTTTATCAAATGTAAAAGTAGCATCTTTAGCTGATCCAATAACACCTAGCCAAAACTCTCTCAAATTTTCTCTATGTGATACAGACCCAGACCCCATTCCGCTCATATTATCTCCCTCGTTTTCATCATCATTGGATATATCGATCCCCGAGGTCTTCTCAGTACTGCTGATCTCATTTTCAATTAACCTGTTGATCTCCACCTCTAAAATCGAACGGATCTTGTGCACTGGTAAAGAGTCGAACAAATCGCTTTTATTAACGGCAAACAAATAGTCAACTCCATTCTGTTTCCTCTCGGTTATGGCTAATAAATTGAACAAAAATTTACTAATCTTTTCAACCTGTAAACTATCCTTTGACCAATTGGGACTACTTGAATCTAAAACAACGCAAACTCCCTTGATTTGTGGTAAAGTGATATCTTGTAAAATCAATTTTTCAAACAAATTCCAATATTTCAAGTGGCCCGGATAATCAATTAGTTGATATTTCTTCCCTACTTGGGGCGATGCTATAGGGAGGGAAATATCGGCAAAATTAGGTTCAATAGATGATACTGTGGTTACAACTTCTCCATTTGAAATTAGTTTATAAAAAAGCGCCGTTTTTCCTGCATTGTTAGGACCACAGATCAAAAATGTTGGTCTATAATATGGCGATGTATTGGCCAACTTTATAGCCTTTAATCCACCCGATTGGAAGAAGAACTGTATTAGAAGAATTATAAATCCTACCAATAGGGATAATAGTATTAGCAATATCTTATCCATTGCAATGATATATGATATACAAGTGGAGCTGAAAAGGAAAAGTCTTTCCCTTAAAAAGAAAAAGAAGATACTAACATGTATTATTATTTTTTTTTTTTTTCAACTTAGCTGCGAAATTTCGAAACAGCCAGGAATGCACTAAGCTTTGTATAGCTGACGAGGGACCAACATGGCAAAAAAAACACGGGAACCAACAGGGGAACCAACAGGGGAACCAATGCAAATGCACTAGGATTATACACAGCACAGTACAGACCGGTACCTTTTATTCTCTCTCTCTCAATTATAAACTTGGTGGTGAATCTTCTTCTTCATGGTTTCGCGTCCTGGGTAGTACTTTGGTCTCAAACTGGGAAATATTATTAGCATAACCCTTTTCTTCCTCTTCGACCTCTATTTCCTCTACAGGTTCCACAGATTCTACTTCCTCAATGTAATGTTTCAACATACTTTCAATCCCATTTTTCAAAGTCACAGAACTTGAATCACATGAACGACATGCACCTTTCAATTTTAAGAAAACTGTACCATCACTAGATCTAAACTCAACAAATTCAATATCCCCTCCGTCGTCTTGTATAGCGGGGCGTATTCTCGTAAATATCAACTCTTTAATCATCTGTACTACTTCATCATCATCTTCGTTGAATGCCAAATCTTCAGCTAGTTCCTCTTCTTCATTCATAATCGCCAAGCCGTTATTCAAATATTCAGTTAGGATGGCAAAAATCTCAGGTTTGAGTATTTGCCATTCATATTGAGGTAGCTTTTCAACAGTAATGAAATTGGAACCAAACATGATGGATTTTACGCCATCTACACTAAATAATTTAACTGCTAATGGAGAAGCGTGTGCCTCTCTACCACTTAGAAATTCACGAGTTTCATTCTCACCCAAGATTTGCACCGATGGAAGAAACTTCAATGCTTGTTCATTTGGCGTGTCTGCAGTTTGTATAAAGAGCGATCGTATGGACTGGAAAATTTGTCGTCTCTTGACCATTGATGCTGTGCTTCCTCGTACAACAGACGGCGAAAGGGTTGAAGAAAAACGCAAAAAGTTGCTCTGATGTAGCCTTTTAGTAACAGGTAGGACTACTCTGTACATATTAGGTTTTTCAACGTGATTTCAGATATATGGGCCTTGAAGGTTTTAATGAGTTGAGAGATGGGAGTCGCGTTAAGATTAAAGCAATTAAGAAGAAGAGGAAAAAAAAAAGTGAAGTGAAGTGAAAGAGAAAGAATAGACAGAAGCTGCAAAAACTTAATTAAGGGCCCACCATCACCATCACCACCACCTTATATCTTCCAAAAAGTGTCGTAATTTATATCAAAAAAAAAAAAAGATTCTAAATAGATTTCTTGTCAGAAAATAATATCTTTTCAAAAATTGATGCTGCATTCTCTTCAAATTTACCATTATCAACTGCGTCCCCTGAAATACTTTGATCCAATTGTAGTTTGTTTTCAGCAATCATCAACATATTGGTTTCAACAGTCTTGTCTGTGATAAGTTTGTATACTGTAACCTCTTTAGTTTGTCCAACTCTATGAGCTCTATCCTCCGCTTGCTTATCATCGTGTGGATTAAATGACTGATCAAAAATAATCACATTATTGGCGGCAACCAAGTTGATACCAAATCCACCTGCCTTAGTAGAAAGCAAAAATATCGGGATAGTGTCATCCTGGTAAAAAATATCAATCGTTTCTTGACGTTCTTCGACTTTGGTGCTACCGTCCAACCTCACAAATTTGTAGTTGAATATGGTCAATACTTTTTCCAAAATGTCCAATACTTGTGTAAATAAAGAAAAGATTAAAACCTTTTCATGTTTCTTGTGAATTATAGAATCTAATATCTTCTCCAACTCGATAACTTTACCACTGTTCAAAAATGACTCCTCAGGAAGTTGCCATTTCTTTAAAGTATGTGGAAATTTCATACACAAGTTGTTCAACTCGAAATCTGACATCACAGTCATGTCTTCGCAAATGTATTGCTGATTGGCTTCAACATACTCAGGTTCATTCATTATCGCCTTTGCCATCAATTTCAACTTGTCATCAGTATAAAGGACCCTAAACAACAATGGATGCAACGAAGCCTTGCGCAATTGCATCAACACATTAGACGAAGTGGGAATAGGATCCTTCCTGTTCAACTTCGCTGCCTCCGCCGACGACAAATTTTTCCTCTTTTCCCTCTCAGATCTAACTCTTCTACCATCTTCAATGAATTTATTATACAATTTTGCTTGGTCAATTGTTAATTGACAATAACAAATTTCATGACATTTAACAGGCAAGTGCTGCAACACTTGATCCTTACGTCTACGTAAAACAAATGGAGTCATCATTGTTTTGGCGTTTTTGATTGCTTGTTGGGATAAAAGCGGATTATAATCCTTTTTTTTCAGTGAGGTCGACTTTTCATTTTCAGAAATGGCACTTGCTTTTTGGCGGAAGATTCCAACTAAATCCTCCTTCTTGTCGTTGAAAACATCTGGTAATATAAATGCAAGCAATGAAATCAATTCTTTTAAATTGTTTTGTAAAGGAGTACCGGTCAACAAAAGTCTAAAATTTCCCTTCAATCTCATCAACTTTGAATATCTCTCTGATTGCGAGTTCTTTAACAAATGCCCTTCGTCGTAAACCACTACATTAAAGTTCTGGTTTCTTAGGAATTTCGCATCTTGTGGAGACCCACATGCAAGTGAATAAGTTGTAATCAATACCTCAAAATCAGAATCCTGTAAATCGTATCTCAAATCTTCTCTTTCTCTCTGCGTACCATAGTAAGCCTGTACCTTGATTTCAGGACAAAACTTGTCAAACTCTCTAATCCAGTTTTCAATCGTAGATGCAGGTACAACAATCAAGTGTGGTGACTTTTCGCCTGCTTGTTTCAAATATGCTAGAAATGCGATAACTTGACAGGTTTTCCCCAATCCCATTTCATCGGCTAAAATACACGAAAGCCTATTTTGATACAACAAGTTAATCCAATTGACCCCAACTTGTTGATAATTATTCAATGTGATTTCATCGCTTAAAAGCAATGGCTTATGTTTAATGTATTTCAAACCTTTTTCTACATGGATAATATCGTCATCTGATTCATCAACGTCTATAACTGAAACATCCTCTTGCTTCTTACCATCGTCGCCACTATCCATCGGATCCAAGTCTACTAAATCGAGTTCTCCTTCTGTGCCAGTATTAGTCACTCCCCATTTTTTCATTTGTGTTGCAATGATGTCCCCATACTCTGCACATTTCTTGATCAATGAATCAATCGCTTTGTATCCTCTCAAGCTCGATTCAGTTTGCTCAATCATTCGCAATCCTACTTTCTTTTTTCTACTGCTTTTAGGAGCATCCGCACCTGCAATTGTAAAATCGTTTTCAGATATCTCGTATATGTTCTGGAAAGGACGCTGACTAATCACAACTTCAGCAACTTCAGGTTCAACTCCTGAAATATCTATAATGTCCTCAATTGGAGCATTGTTGATAAACTCAAAAATCTTGGCATCTATACTAGTGATCCCTTCATTTGCACCAACTTCCAAACCGTCTTCTGACATCGAATCACTAAGGTTGTCATCATCCAAGATATCCTCATCATCACTTATTGTAATTACCTGATGTTTAGAAATACGTTGCGACTGGGACTGGGACTTAGAATGGGATTGGTACTGAAGTTTATGCAACTTTGCTTTCCTACGATTCTCAGCAATCCTCCTCTCCAGCTCTTCTAACTCATCAAGAGGTGATTCAGTTCCACTGTTGCTTAGACTTGTGGCTCCTCCTTCATTAAAGCTGAATCTTGCACTCAATGAAGTTGGAGCTGGAACTGGTGACGAGGATTCAGACCTTGAAGATACCACTGACTCATTATCCAACAATGAGCCTCTAGCTAGTTTCCTTTTCTTGTTGGTGGGGTTTGATAACGAAGCAAGTCTTCCAAAATTTTCAAGAGTAGGTTGATGTTGATTTTTGAAATTGGGCTTCTTATACTTATCTAAGATGGACTGTTTTGATTTGATTTCCACTTTGGTTGATGAATTAGTCTCCTTAAAAGGTGATGGCTCTTCGAGTTTGACTCTTGCTTTTCCTTTCACTCTCACAGGTGATCCATTCTCATCATCGTAGATGCTATTTGAGCGTCTCTTGATCAAAGTATCCTTATCATCATCACCACCACCACCACCCCCGTAGCTATCATCAAAACCTGTGTCCTTTGTCGATTTTTCCTCTCTTCTTCTCACATTAGCTTCATAGTCTCGTTTCAATTGCTCCTCCCTTTGCCTCTGCTGCAACACACTATCTTCTCTTAATTGTTTTGCTTTGATTTCTCTCTGCTGTCTAATATAATCATCATAATTATAGTTTTCTTCTAGCCATCTTGTTACATCTCTTAAAACCCCATTACCCTTAACAAAGCCTTTAAATATATCACTCTCACTAAGATAATGAAATCTTCTTCGAACAAGAGGGAAATCCTTATGTTCGCGTATTAGCTGTCTTTTCCTTTCAATGTCCTTCCGTTTAGCTTCATCTATTTTATGCGTGAGACTCGGTTGTCGTGGAGCCGGAGGCGATGAACTGCCCTCGGCTGGTGATGAAGTAATATGAATAGGTGACGAGTCTGAAACTTGAACTTGGTTCAGTTGACTCTGACTCCGCGGGGTCAGCAACAATGCACGGTTACCATTCCCATTACCATTTGCCGAGTTTCTTTGATACCAACTCATAGTGTGTTTGTTTGTTGTGTTTTTTTACCTCACTCACCAACAATAACAACTACCCTTTGTATTGGTGATATCCTGAGATGCGCTATAGAAATCAAAGTCAAAAAAAAAAAAAAGTTGAAAAAAAAAAAAAGAAAAGAGAATGAGCAACTAAATTGAGAAGCCTTACGCGTCTTGTATTTGTAGCAAGAACAGATCTGGAAAGCGTGGAGGTAGGTGTTATTAGAGAAGAAAATTAAACTTTTATACGTTGCAAACGATGATGATATATAACAACTTGAAAACATTTTTCAAAAATAAATTATAACTATCGACACTAGCTGCCACCGACACTATCGAGCGACACTATCGAGCGACACTATCGAGAGACACTATCGAGCAGAGCGAGATAGTGGAGCACACTAGCTGTCACCGACACTATCTCGCTCTGCTCGATAGTGTCTCTCGATAGTGTCGCTCGATAGTGGAGCACACTAGCTGTCACCGACACTATCTCGCTCTGCTCGATAGTGTCTCTCGATAGTGTCGCTCGATAGTGGAGCACACTAGCTGTCACCGACACTATCTCGCTCTGCTCGATAGTGTCTCTCGATAGTGTCGCTCGATAGTGTCGCTCGATAATTAACATTAGGTATATATTTTTCGTAAAGCCCAATTTTTTTTTTTCTTTTTTTTTTTGCACCCATTTTAAAGAAACCCTTTCCTCATTAAAATTATCCCATCTCTCTCTCTCTCTCTCTCCTTTTCTCCCCTCATATTCATATACCAAGCGCCTCATATTCATCTTTCAAATATTGTTCATCATTCAAGTATTTCAAATCAGAAACAGGTCTTTCTCCCATTACACTTAATCTATAAGCGTGTCTGATAACAGGTTCACTAAAGTCGACGCATGGTGTGTGGACTGTAGTGGCATTATTCCATAACACAACTGTGTTTGGCTGCCAAGCGACTCTAATTTGTAAATCTTGAGCATCTTCAATGTGGTTATAAAGGAAATTCAATAAATAGTCAGATTCTTCCTTTTTCAACTCAATTATTCTTCGCCCAAACTCTTTATTTACGTAAAGGTGCTTTTGACCAGTTGTTGGGTTGATTCTAACAATTGGGTGAATATTTGACTCTGGCTCTCTTCTAGTTATACCTCCTGCTTTCTTATTTGATTCTGCTTGCTCTACTGATGAATGCAAAATGTGCAACCCTTCCAATCTCTGCTGCATAGCTGGACTCAACCGGTTGTAAGCTTCTACCGTATTTGCAAACAATGTATCTCCTCCACTTTCAGGTAACTGTAAACACGAAAATAAGGTTAATTGTAGGGCATTGAGTGAATATGAACAATCACTATGCCACGAGATTGAGTTTGTGTTTCTAGCAAAAACTGAATCAATTTCTCTTTGTGAAGCACCACGGAACGTTATATGCATTTCTGGAAAGGCTTCAGGTGAGCCTGAAGTTGGATGAATATGCAATGGACCAAAAAACCGCATAAAATCAATGGCAAATTGTGGACCTTTTGCATTGAAGTCTTGGTCTTTGAAAATCACTACACCTCGCTCACTAACAAATCTCGATAAGTCCTTCTTAGCTAAATCGTCCAATTGACTTAATTGGATACCTTCAATTTCTGAACCGAGTTTTGGTGTTAATTTTCTCACCTTGTATTTCTGGTTATTCCTGGAAAACAAATTAGTGAGTTCTTCACTTGCTTCCAAACCTTTGTCGTGGAATTTCTGAAACTTGTATGGGGGATATTTCTGAAATGGGTTCCATGTGGGTAAATATTCGGGATATAGCGTCAAACTTTGATTTTCTTTGCTAACTGTGAGGTTACCTTTTGCAGTTTTGCCAAGATACGAGGGTTGGAATTGAGAGGCATCGTATTTGTCTTCTACAGCAACTGCAACTGGGGACATTTTTACTAACTATTAACTTTTTTTTTTTCTTTTTTGCTAGAGATCAAAATGAATCAAGGTTCAAAGTTAACTCTTGTACAAGAGCAACCTGTCATTATTTATACTGAATTTCTCTTTGGAAAAACTGTGGTTCCTCCCCACCCGCTTACACGGGAGAGGTACCCTGATTGTGTACAATGTGTAAGTTATGTTACAATGTGTAAGTAATAAATTTTTTTTCTTTTGGTTTGGGTGCAAAAAAGAAATTTGCCATGACGCCACAGCCCTTTGCAAGTAAACTACAAGCAAAATAGTAAAAAAGGAAAAAGGTGGGACATATACATAAAAACCCCACAAGAAGAAATCAAAGATACTCAAGTAATTGAAGGGATTGAGGAAATCGAATGATTTTTCATTTGTTACTAGCTCTGTTAGTTTTACTTTTTATGCTGAAAATGAGAAAAGTAGGGCTTATTTTCGCTATTCCTCAGTAAATTGTGCATGTCCAATTAGCTGTGAAACTCGGATCGGGAAGAGGTATAGTAGTTTTAGATGGGAAAGGAGGGGGGTACAAAGCATATTGTTCAATAGTGTCGCTATTAACTCTCTACATAGTGGGTAATCAAGCCTCATTAAATGAGGCTTGCCACTATTAGTTAATAGTAATTCGTCAGTGTGCTCTACTATCTCGCTTTGCTTGATATATCGATAGTGTCAAGTAGCTAGTGTGCTCCCCTATCTCGCTTCGCTCGATAGTGTCGCTGTAGACAGTTGAGACATCACTTTCTATCTTGGTTTTATTACTCATGTGTTAAAGAAAAGTCCTCTAATGCGAAACTTTTAAGTAAAGCCTTTCTTTTTTTTTTTTCTTCTTCAGAATACGATGGATGTTGCTATGTAGGACAGCTTCTGGTTTATAATCTCTAATCCAGTAGATGCAAGAGTGGAAGTGAACTAGTATGCTAATTTAGAGAGGCCCAAGAAGATAAATGTATCAAATTCTAGCATGTGGGTCAAATGGCAATTATCAATTAGGTCAGAATAACAATGATGATCAATATATATTGAAACCCTCGGTATTTCAAAGTACATGTACCGAAGCAGCAGCAGTAGCACCACAAACTACATATACCGAAGCAGCAGCACCACCACAAACTACATCATTGTTGGGTATTGAGGTTAAAAAGATAGCATGTGGAGGTAATCACACATTAATTTTGTTTGAAAACGGTGATGTTTACAGCTGTGGTAGTAATGAATTTGGCCAAACTGGACATGATATCAACAAGAATGCCGATATTGTTGGGATTTTCAAGAAAATTGAGACCCAGGAAACTAATTGTAAATGGACCGATATTTCGTGCACTTGGGAGTCCTCATTTTTGGTTAATGATCAGAATGAGCTATACTGTTGTGGGAACGGTCTAAAGGGAGAACTAGGTTTGGGGTCACATATCACTAAACAAGACAGAATTACATTTGTGAAAAAGTTTGAAAGGACAGTTTTGAAACTCAAATCGTCAATGAATCATACTGTTGTGCAAACTGCTCACGGTGAACTTTATGGCTGGGGCAATTGTAGAAAAGGTCAATTGGGTAAAATCGATAATTCCTTGATCAAAAAAGGCGCAGTTTGGCGACCTACTCTATTAAGCTTTGGGCTTGATAATTCGTTAATAGATGATTTCCAATTAGGTAGAGAGTATACTGCCGTAATAAGCTACCAGAAGAAGAGTTTGCAACTATATGGCAAATCAGTCATTAATATGGAAGATGTCAACAAGTACAACTTGGAAACTAGTGACAAGATCGAAAATCTTGAATCAATGTGGTCATCGATACACTATAAGCTTGGAAACCGAATAAAGTCGTTTGGAGTGAATAGCCATGGGCAATTATTCGACTATATAGTTCCCGCAAACAGGATATCTCCAAGCTTTACATTTAAAACCGGGAGTGAGCACGGTTTGGTCTTGATAGATAATGTCGTATATGCTTGGGGGTGGGGAGAGCATGGTAATTGTGGGAAATCTCTAACAGATCCCAACAAAATCACTTTTGATTACTTGAATCCAATATTCGAAAAGGCAAATAAAGTACATCTTATTGCAGGTGGCTGTGCAACAAGTTGGGTTGTAATAGAAGTATAAGCTGAAAAGTAGACACAAACTTAAGAAAAAAGAAAGGGCATGGTTGAGTGGTGTATAAAGAAGAAATGTCACGAAGTATCTTCCCCATATTCATCTTTTGCAATATATAAAATTTTGCACGAAAGATGGAAAATATGTTCATCGTTGTTTATTATAGGATGGTTTGGAAACTCAATTTTCTCCCTCTCTCTCTCTCTTTAAGATAAGAAAAAGGGAAAGAATGAGAATCCGGGGACTTGGAATGAATATGTTCAGCATATCACGTAGAGTATTCACAAGTCTCATCCATTTAGAAAAGGGCATAAAACGCATGTGCACATAGACACATACATACTTTTTTCTCTCTCTCCCTCTCCCTCTTCAATTGCAATCCATAAGGATAATAAACAGTTATAATAATACTATTATATACCGGTTAAACCTTATGTATTACAATCTCTGAGTGAATCCTCCTCCAAGTTCAACAAGTCTCTCAGAAGAAAAGGGTACATCAGAAGAATGAGTTTTTTTTTTATTTTTTTTATTTTTTTTAATCGCGGCAGTTTCACACGACAAGTTTAAAAATTGACCAGTAAATTTTGCACCCAAAATCAACTGGGACATAAAAAAAAATAGGCATAGTATGGCTAAACTACAGACTATTTGAGGCAAACTGAGGTACGGATTATTATTAGGGAATACCTTCAATGTTTTCCACCATAGTTTGATGATGCTCAACAATCTGTACACTTTTCCATAGAACATTATAACTAGGGAAAAAGAGTGTAAAGTGAATTGTCAGCCATTCTTAGAGGTAGTATTTCAATGCCGCCTCAAGAATTTTCTCTCTAGGTTCCTAACCCCAATATTATACAACATTTATTCAACATTTATTTAATACTTTGGTTCAGCTTTTTTTTTTTTTAATTATCGATTTTTTTTTTTTCCTGCAACAACGTAAAATGCACTAAATGGGTCCCGGAAATAGAAAGATCGAGAAAAAAAGTCGTGTATAAATATTCCTTAGAGTACCTAGTGAAGGTTTACAAGGCTCCAATTGCTATAAGTAGCTCGGACTTTCCTAAGATACAGATTATACACGGGTTTTTACATCATTCCATTCCCCAATTCTTCATTATCAATTCTTGCTGAGCAAAAAAAAAAAGAAAACAGAAAACAGAATAAAATCAAAAAGAAAAAAACAAAGAATATACAGACAGATTTGGTTGACCTAAGTTAACAAAGAAGGATATTAAAAAAAAAGAATATGAGTACTAATAATGTATTTGGTGCAATATGCCCTGGGAGACCAATAATACTAGCTCAGCAAGTAGATCCGTCCAAATTCGTCATAACAATTCCTAATGCCTCCAAGGTTCACTACGTAACTATCTTTATATTGCCCAATTCACCATTTGTTGACAATAGTCTCAGTGCATTAGTTTATTTCCAACTCCCTACAAACCCCCAAGTGCCAACGCAGCAACCTGAATACAAATTGCTCGGTAGTATCCATCCCGGCAAACCCTCGGCAATATACAGAGTGAGTAGCTTAACGTCTGTAAGTGGTCAGCAGAGTATGGATACAGATATGGGCGATGATGGTGGTGGTGGTAGTGCAGTCATTGATACCAGCGATCCTGTTTGTATCAACATTGGGATATCAATTGAACCGGCACAACAAGCAGAACAAACAATACAGCAAACAAAAATCAATAGCCAGGGAGGGGGAACCCTAGTATCTACAAAACGGAATGCCACTGCTGCTACCATCAAGGATCCTAATAGCATGGCGGCATTGGCCAATAAAGTTGTGGGACATGCTTATAACTATTTAGCAAGTTTCATTGACCCACAGGGAAAAGTCCCAATAAAAGCATTTGATAACTGGTGGGACAAGTTCAAAACCAAATTGCAAAACAATCCAAATTTTTTAAATGAAATACAAGAATAGAGGAGAGGTAAGGGCGACACTATCGAGTAGCACTATCGAGTAGCACTATCGAGCGAAGCGAGATAGTGAAGCAGCACTCAATAGCGACACTATCGACACTAAGATAGTGGAGCACACTGACTACATCGACACTGACTCGTGTGTTTTCCACATATATACCAATACAAAAGACAGGAGACAGCTGAAGCAACAGACCACGGAGTCTTTAAAGCAACAGCTGACGCTGTTGCTGAATAGCAAGGACTCTCTGCTTCTGATGCAACAGCACCAACTGTTGCTGAATAGCGAAGAGCAACAGTCTTTGACTACGGAGACTACAGACCTTTCAGAACAACATCAGTCGCTGTTGTTAGAGAGTACAGAGTGTCGTTGGCAGCTTGTGTGCTCCACTATCTCGCTCAATAGTGTCGAGCTGTCGCTGTTGCGTGCAAAATAGAAGAAAAAAAAAAATTAGAATAAAGAAAAACTTTAAGGTTAAAACAGAGCAGCACCCAATAGACACAAATAAACCAAATTTTACTTTTAGCTGTCAAGGGAAACAAAAGCTGATAGATGTTTCAAATATTGCAGGGAAATTGGCGATATTCCTTTCCCAAAAAAATAATTTGGGGGGGAGGAGGGATGTTTCAAGTAATTGAACAATACGGGTTTAGATATTTGAGTTTCTCATTTTGGTCTATCCTTTATTTCCATTTCTTGTTTCAAACGGGGTTTGATCTCCGATTACCTCATCCTTTTTATTTTTTTGATTTCTTTTTCTGTTTTTCTACACAGGATGCAGATCCATCATTGAGAAGCCACAATTTTTTTTTCATCTCATCGTCTTGGACCCACACAATTCTTTTTTTTTTTTTTTCACACTCATTGCCATCTCGTATTTATAGGAGTAAAAGGTTGAACTTTTTATCTTTGTAGCTTATTCAATCTTTCACTGCTTATATATATTAAGAAGGTTTCTGCTATGACTGTTGATTCATCTTTAAATTACTCCTTTGGAACAAGAGCTATTCATGTTGGTGCATCAGTAGATGCAACTACAGGAGCTGTTATTGAACCAATTTCATTATCAACAACTTTTGGTCAATCCGAGCCTTCAAAGCCATTAGGAATTTACGAATATTCAAGGTCGGCTAATCCTAACAGAGACAATTTCGAGCAAGCTGTGGCATCCTTGGAATCTGCAAAATTTGCAGTTGCATTATCTTCGGGTTCAGCCACTACTGCCTTAATTGTCCAGTCACTTGCTGTTGGATCTCATATTATTTCCGGTGGAGATGTTTATGGTGGTACACACAGATACTTTACAAAAGTTGCCAACCATCATGGGGTTGAAGCCTCTTTTGTTGAAAATTTGGAAACCGATTTAGAAGCAACTTTGAGACCCAATACAAGACTAGTATGGGTTGAAACTCCATCGAACCCTACTTTGAAAATCACTGACATTGCCAAAGTTAAGCAAATCTTACTCAACCATCAATCCAAAACCGGCAATAAGGTTATATTAGTTGTTGATAATACCTTTTTATCGCCATACATTTCGAACCCATTGAAATTCGGCGCTGATGTTGTTGTTCACTCAGTTACCAAATATATAAACGGACACTCAGATGTGGTAATGGGTGTCTTGGCCACCTCCGACTCAGAATTGCATGACAGATTTAGATTTTTGCAAAATGCTATAGGATCAATTCCATCGCCATTCGACTCATGGTTAGCTCACAGAGGTTTGAAAACTTTACATTTAAGACTTCGTCAAGCTTCTTACTCGGCTCAGAAGATTGCTGAATTTTTACAATCGAAAATTGCCCACGATGGATCCGTTCTTCATGTAAACTACCCAGGTTTATTTACACACAAAAACTATGATGTTGTATTGCGTCAGCACAGAGATGGATTAGGTGGTGGTATGATCTCCTTCCGTATCAAAGGAGGCTCTAAAGCTGCATCGGTTTTCACATCTTCAACTAAATTGTTTACATTGGCTGAGTCGCTTGGTGGTATTGAATCTTTAATTGAGGTGCCTGCAATAATGACTCATGGCGGAATACCAAAGGAAGAAAGGGAAGCCAACGGAGTCTTTGATGATTTGGTAAGAATTTCTGTTGGTATTGAAGACACTGACGACTTGATTGAGGATATTCAACAAGCTTTAAAAAAGGCAAGCCATTAAGGGCATTTTGACATAAAGAAAAGAAAAAGATGAAAAGATGAAAAGAAGAAGAAAAAAACACATACAAATAGAGAAAACTTAACAAGAAGCTTTCCGCTTCATTTAATTAATTTTTAAACTTTATATAATTCCTAACTACTTTGAATTTCAAGTTATTGGCTTCTATATCATTGGTGTCATTATCTACACCTTAATCTCTTTCTAAAAGAATCAAGCTTTATCTATTGTTGATTTTTGCGCTACCAACTGCACGATTGCAAAACTAATTCAGGTGACTGTTGTCCAATTCGTTTGAATGTTGAATAGTTGAAAGCTACTTCTTTCCACCCTTCTTTTTATATATATATATATATTTATTGTTATCCAGTGTGTGGTCTCTTTGGGCAGTTATATGATGAACTTGAGGTTTGTCTCTGCTATATTTGCTTCTGTCCTTGCTACAACCGTGAAATCATCATTGTTACTTGAAAAAGAGTTGATTTGTCCAGACCCCCAAAATCCAAGCGATTGCTATCCTAAGATTTTTGAACCTACAACTGAGTGGCAAATAATTAGGGAAGGACAAGAAATACCTCCAGGATTACACGTTAGATTGAATATGGACTCTCTAGAAAACGAAGCAAAATTGATTTCGCCTGAGAATGGAGAGAATGACAACAATAGCAACGACGGCGAGACAGTTGAGTTAATTGTTGGTGAGGGTGGAGTAGTTGACAACAAAGAAGAGGATATCCAGAATCGCAATGAGAAAATTCAGAAAGTTTTAAAATCGAATAAAGCTGGTTTCGATAATAAGCCCAAGTCGAGAGTTCATAAACTGGATTTGACCAATTTCGATTCGGCTTTAGGAGAAGTGCAGGAGTATGATGTAGCTACAGCTGATGAACAAGCTAATAAAGGCTTGGAGGAGGCTCTCGATAGTATCCAGGAGTACGTTCATGACATTGAACTAGGATTCAAGTTAACACAAGAATGGAAAGTGTTTCAAAAATTGATAAAGTTGGCTGAACATGGTATTAGCGAGGAAATGCTGGGGAAAATATACAACATTATTGCTTCTGCATTGAGAAACAATCCACAATCTGTAGGGAATGTAATAAATAGCAAGGAGAATGGTTTTAGCTACGTTGCCTTTACAAAAAGCTTACTCAATCAGCTAACCTCTACTACAAGTGACGTCATACAAAAGAGGATACTTGGTATTATACAGGCGTTAACTCAAAGCGAGCAATTTGTCCAAAGTTTCTTTACTTTTGGTACTGGTGATTATGGTTTAAACTATTTAGTTACAAACTTCAATAATCTTGGTCCACAAGCTAGGCAAAGAGTGGTTAACATTCTACATGATTTAGAAATCTTTGGCAAGTCAAATGATAGAAGATCTTTAGAAGATAGTGATCCAAATTCGAATACTTCAAAGTTCATTCAACAAGCCCTTGCTGAGGACAAGGTGAAGAATGCATCTGATTTTGAAAAGTATTTTAAAACCTTGGTTGATTTGCATATACTGAATTCAAGTTTGAAGCCAACTAAAGAATTCTTGAGTTGGTTGAGTCAAGAGGTTGAATTGAGAAAAGAGAAGAAGAAAAGAGATGATATTACTCCTCAGGAATTGGCATTTGATGATGCTATGTTAAGAGCTAGACATGAAGTGTTTGGGAACCCTATGGGATTAAGAAAGGCTATTGCGGATGAATTGTAGACAATGTTATATGTAATAAATAAAAAAAAAAGAAAAACCTTTACTCTTTTCTTCTCCTCTCATTAGTCTATTGGTTTCATTAAAAATGTACAAAAAATGACGAAAGATACGTAATACTAATAAACAACCTGGAAAGACGCTTTAATCGAATAAACCGAATCCCATATCATCGTCAGACTCTTCCTTCTCTTCTTCGGCAGCTTCTTCTGCAGTAGCCTCTTCAGTAGCACCACCTGCAGCAGCACCTGCTGAGGCTGAAGCAGCAGGACCACCTGTTGGTACACTTGATAATTTTTCGTTACCTTCAGCAATCAATTCTTCAACAGATTTGTTTTCCAATTCTGAAATTAATTTTTCAACTTTTTCGTCTTCAATTTCAACGTCAGCTGCTGATAAGACTGACTTGATATCACTTGCTGATGGAGAAGCATTACCACCATTGACTAATAATAAGTATGCGGCTAAGTATTTCACTAAAAAAAAAAAAAACAAGTACATATTAGTAAATTGTTCAAAGCTGAAAGGTTCAGACCAGATACGCAGGAGCACTCAAGAACACGGAGGTGTGTTTAGTTTTAGTTTTTGCATCTCTTATTTTCTTTCGATACTGGCAGTATTTTAAATTTTCCAACGCTTTCCTCGTAGAACTTGTGTATACACTTTATTGAACAAAGCATCGTTATTCAATATCCAGATAAAAAGGGAGTCCTTCATTGAACTTCTATAGTGGCGATAAGTAAAGTTCAGCCGGTAGTTAAGAGCGACACCAGCTAACTAACTGACCAACTAAACTCAATGATGCTTGAAAACGATCAAAAAAATAAATAAAAAATAGTCATATGTGTATCAACTACCTCCTCTATTTCACTCCTTTTCCTGTCAATATGCTCCTGGTCTCCGTTTGTTTCCGCTCGTATTTTATGTTACAAGGTTGCCATTGCTACATACTCTTTCGTTGTTTTCTGTTATTACCTAACTTAGAGAAACCAGGAAGTTTTCAGGCTCAAAATGGAGTGGTGTTTAAATTTTTCAACAAGGGAGCGCGATGTGGGAAGGAAAAAAAGCAGTCACAAAAGGGTCACGTGATATGTTTGGAAACACAAAATTAGGATAGTGATTTGAAAAATTAAAATCAAACATATATAGTAGGTGCAAAATGGTATGTCCTTGTATAGCTAAAAGAAGAATGATTGTATCACTGTGGTGTCTCTTTGCAATTTATAGTAGTGAAAGTACTCACCAATTAGTTCAATCGTAGATAGTTAAAAGCTAAATCCAATTCTTGTTTACCTTCACTGTTATATAGATACCAAAATTGTCACACAGATGAAATGCATTACTTGTTTTATAACGGGAGAACTTAAACTGTGTTTGCAAGTTGGACCCTTACTCACTTGTGTAACAGATGCTCCATCTGTTACACCAGTTACATATGGTAGCATATACAGCACAGCACAGCACTAACTGACTAACTAACTAAGTCGTCACTACTTCAAGCCAATTGGTACTATCAATGATTGCGCGCGCCTAAATCCGAAATAACTTAAAATTTCATCAAATCCTAGCATTCATGTAATTCATCTGGTCTCTCTCTCTCTCTCTGTGTGTGTGTCTCTCTCTTTTATTCAAATGCTTGCTAACCCATTCCCTGACCTTTCCAATGAGCAGGAGGATGCTTTGAAAATAAACTTACAGCAATGGGCCCTTACCAATGGATTGGTGATGTACCCGCCAAATTTTGAGCCATGCCAAGTAAATGTGGCTCCGATAACATTGTTCCCCACACCAATACCTAGATCATGCTTTGATAGTGCGAATAAGGTGCAAAAATTGTTCAATGAACTATATGTGAGTTTAGTTAGCAAAGAGAAGTCATGGTTAGTTGGAATTTTGGCGGAATTGGCTCAGTTTGATCCAGAGTTTACAGGAAAATTGTTTGAAATTTATCAAAAATCAATAGCGGATGGTGTGTTGCAGCCGCTATCATTGGGAATATTTCGATCCGACTACATGATAGATTCAAAATCCAACGAGATTAAACAAATTGAGTTCAATACTGTTAGTGTTTCCTTTGGTGGTTTGTCCACAAAAATTGGTCAACTTCATAACTTTTTAAATGCAAATGGATTTTTCGATAATAAGTATAATTTCAAGTACTACAAGGATGAAGAGATACCAGTGTCTAAATCGGTTGACCAGATAGCGGAAGGTTTAGCCGATGGTAATTATCACTACAACGAAGACAAGAAGTACGCACAAAACACTATTGTTTTAGTAGTTGTTCAGCCAAATGAGCGCAACTGTTTTGACCAAAGGTTGATCGAGTACTCATTATTTGAAAACCACGGTGTGCGGTCTTTTAGAGTTACATTGGAAAATATAGTAGACAAGATCACAGAAAACGATGGGAAAATCTATGTGAAAGAAACCATGGATGAAATTTCCGTAGTGTATTATAGATCCGGGTATGGACCTGATGATTATGAGGTGAATCCAGCTAAAACGTGGCACGGAAGGTTTCTTTTGGAGAAATCAAAGGCGATCAAGTGTCCATCGATATTGACACAATTATCGGGGTCGAAAAAGATACAGCAATTATTGACCAATGAACAGATAATTAGCAAGTTGCTACCGAAATTAAACAAGACCGATTTGCAATTATTGTTGTCCACATTTGTCAAGATTTGGCCTCTTGATGATTCTGAAGAAGGGAAATTGGCCGCAAAGTTGGCATTTGAGGAGCCGCAGAATTATGTGTTGAAGCCGCAAAGAGAAGGAGGTGGTAACAACATATATAAATTAGATATTCCTGATTTTTTGAAGAATTTAAAGAAGGAGGAGTGGGGTGCCTATGTATTGATGGAATTGATTACGCCTCAAACATATAAAAACAAGATTATTCGAAATGAAGAGATATTTAACGAAGATATCATATCGGAATTGGGTATTTTTGGAACTACTTTGTTCTCTGAAGAAACTGGTGATATAAAGACAAACAAAAATGCCGGATGGCTTTTGAGATCTAAATTTGAAACCTCGAATGAAGGTGGTGTTGCGGCAGGATTTGGATGTGTTGACAATATACATTTGTATTAAGGAGGGTCATTATGAGCAGTAATATATATATATATATATATATATATAGAAAAAGACGAATGAAGAAGAAGAACAATGAAGACAAATATGCATTATGATTCATTATAGTGTAGATTGCCGTGAGTCTGAAGTTGCGTGCCGGTGTGTAACAACGGTTCCTCTCCGTTAAATATACTTGGCTCATTTGGAATCAATGGTTTCATCTTCAATTGAGTCTTTTCTTCTCTTTCAAATGATACCAATTTTTCTTGTTTTTCTAAATCAACGACCCACAAAGCAGCACCGATGGTATTTGTAAACATAAAAAATACACTTAATATGGGCACCATTTCTAACAACAAAGCAGTTAAACCAAATGCCATGTATATAGGTTTGTCTATTTTGTATCTTTCTCTAATTTCCAGTCGTGAGTACCCTTTCAACATGAAATATCTCCGATGAGCTTGCAATCCCTTTGAGCTTGCTTGGAAGAACATCACAAATATTGGTCCAAAAACAGGAATCAAGTTTAACATAAAAAGAAGAAATAGCTTTGGCAAAGAAAATGGGAAAATTGACAAGTCGGGCATTTCATGAAGGTATCGCGCTATTCTGCGAATCACCGGTATATTATAGGTTGTATTTCTTCTTCTTCTTTCTTTTGCAAATTCGAGATATACGTCATGACTTTCTCTACTCAATACTGCATCGTAGGCAATTTTCTGGATATAGGGTAGTAAAGTAAATGTTATTATGAACTTGGCAATTGTACTAGATTGCAGGTAGAGCGAGTACCAAGCAGCGATCATTCCCAAAGGTCCTATCAAAAGGGTATAAACTACAGATTCTGTTGGATAAATGAAAATGAACATGAGCAGATAGATAACTAGCGAGCATGTGAGTTGTGGAATTAATACAGTAAGGTAGAATGGCCATATTGTGGGGTGCATCCAAAAATATAAAAGCCCCTAAAGATAAGTTAGCAAAGCGGCGGTCTTTTTTTTTTTTTTCTTTCTTTTTTTGGGGGGGGGGGAGGAAGGGAGGAGAGTATTTATTGAACACATACTTTCAAGGGATACCAGTAAGAGCCCGAGTTGATAATTTCATAGATAGGAATAGACATTTAGGCTGAACCCGGAGTAATGGTAGGTTAATATTCCAGGGGTAGAGCAGAAAGAAGAACCTAAAAGAGTTTTACATAGTTCAAAAAGAAAAAAATGTGTTGCAAAAAAAAAAAGTTTAAATTTTTGAGGGGGTTTTTGTTTCGTGGCTCAAAGTTTTGATTCCTGCAAGTATATATACCATTTACCACAAATAATATGGGTTTTTGGACTGCCATTGTCTCATTTTTGAGATATGCACAAATATCAGTTTTGGCTTACTAGAGGACTTGGTGATCCAAGACATGAAAGCTTGCCAATAGAAAAAAGAAAAAAGAAAAAATAAAAAAGAATCTTTGTCCTCTAGGTCTACCTGATGGACCATTAACCTCTAGGTCTACCTGATGGATCATTAACCTCTAGGACTACCTGATGGACGTTTATCCTTTGAGTATATCTGATTTGATTCATAAAATTATTTTTTCACTCTTGTTTTTAATGTATGGGTTTAGAGTCTCACTCTAAATGAGTCCTTTTCTAATAGATTTGTATTATTTTGCAACCAATTTTTCATTTTCTTTTTACTCACAATTGGGTTACACCATCTTCAGGCTGAGATACCTTTGACACAGTTATTAACCGGTGCAACATACGGAAATCCATAAATAGAGAGTGGGAAGTTGTAGAATAATAGATAGGGTGCTCAACCTTAAAATTCTGATAGTGATATTTCACAATAGCCTGATTCCAAATATAAACTTTGATATAATAACATTAGAAGCTTGTAAAGATGAAATAATAACATTATAAACTTGTAAAGATGACAAGTGTTCAAGGAAAGGTCCCTTGGCCCAGTTGGTTAAGGCGTGGTGCTAATAACGCCAAGATCAGCAGTTCGATCCTGCTAGGGACCATTTTTTTCTATTGAACAGTGCAAATTCTACTCTTTTTTTTTTCTTTTTGTGCAAGAGCCAATGCTACACCAGTTGATGCCGTATTAATTGCCTATTCTTTTTCTTTTTATTCAATCTTCTATATCGTTTGCTTACTAAAATGTTTATATACAAGATTAACAAACTTGCCTGGTATCTGTGTCGCCTCAACAAGAAAAAAAGAGAACATATGCCTAAACAGAACTCTTTAACACCTCAAAAGTTCTTCAACAATTCTTCAACACCTCAACAGTTCTTCAACAATTCTTCAACACCTCCTCAACAGTTCCTTAACCTTCTAAAGTCTAAATCGTTCCAATTTATTCAATTTCTTCGCCGTATTAGCATTGGTCTTTGTTCTTTGACCTCTTACAGGGAAACCCCAAGCATGTCTAAAACCAGCATATGAGCCAATACTTCTTTTTAGTTTGATATCATTATTTATTTTCTGTTTCAAATGACCTTCAACTGTTAGTTCCGATATCTCTTTATTCAAATCCATGATTTGTGGCTCTGTTAATTGGTTCATTCTACAATTTGGGTAAATTCCTACCTTGGCCATTATCTTTGATGCTGTGTGTGGACCAATGCCAAAAATGGTTTTGGCTAATCCGATTCTGACAGGAAAGTTATGTTTTATCGATTTACCAAAGACTACTACACCCATGACTTATAGTTGGTACTGGTTAAAAGTTGAATATATATATATATCTTATATGGTAACTAAATTTTTTTTTTTCTCTCTTCCTTTTGTCGTTTTGGTTCGTAAGAATGGTGATTGTTTCTTTTTACGACAAAAGTTTTTGCGACATAGAGTAGCAATTTTAGGGGGGCTTAGTTTGGAGACCCCTTAATTTTGGAACTTAACTCTGCTCGATAGTTTTGTAACAAGCTACTGAGTGTTGTAACAAGATACCGAGTGCTGCTCGATAGTTTTGTAACAAGCTACTGAGTGTTGTAACAAAATAATGAATATTGCTCCACTATCTCGCTCTGCTCGATAGTGGGTCTAACTGATTATTATTATCAATTAAGATAACATTTCTACAATTGTGTAAATAGGACAGTAAGGAAATTGACATATATATCGGTGGCAGCTAGTGTGCTCGACTATCTCGCTCTGCTCGATAGTGTTGAAGAACGATTTTGTTGATCTACTGCAATATTCTAATATACCTTAAATTTTACTCTCTGCATGGTCCAAATTAACGTTTTCCATGGCCAACTCACTCAAGTAAGGATACATGCCTGCATAGCCCTCGGCTTGAGCACTTGACGCGTTACCTAGTTTGACCCTCATTGCAATTCCCTGACTAATCACACATAATCTCAATAAACCAAATGTATGTCCAATAGGCCATAAATCAATTGGATTGTTTTTGGGATCATTAGGATCCCACTTGACAAGTTTTGTATAGTTGACTAGTTGAGCATGAAGGAAATCTCGAGATGACTTGTTTTCATTTCCCATATCAGTTTTTTGGGGATAGAAAAACATTAGATTGAGCTTATTGGGTATTGCAAAGGGCTGTAAGAAATTACTCAAGTCAAACAATGGATTGCCTACAGTACACAACTCCCAATCTAATACTCCGCAGACTTTTTTCGTTTTTGGATCAAATAAAACATTGTCTATTTTGAAATCTCCATGAATCAAAGTAAGTTTTGCCGGATCTTTTGGAGCCTTTACTAGTAACCACTGAGTTATTTTATCAAAATTTGGGATTGCGTCAACGTGCTGTGACTGCTTATGATGAATACCTTTCAATGTTTTGATTTGTCTCGAAAAATAACTCAGCTCACGCAATTTTGGCAAATTTTGAAATTGCGGGAAAAGCCGTGGTGGCAATAAAGTGATTAGCTTTTCAACATCTAACAAATGTATAGCTGCTATCGTTTCAATTATACTTTTCCAAATCGTTGTGCGATCTGGTGAGTTCTGTGGAATACCAGGCAATGAAGGGTTCTTGATTTGCATACCTGGCACATAATCCATTATATAGAAAACGTAGCCTATTACGCTTTCATCTTCACAAAGTAAATGAACATGCGGAACAGGAATCTTCAACTTCATATCTTGATTCAAAACGTTTATTCCATTTAAAATGAAAAACTCACGTTCAATTGCATGAGCTGATCTGGAAATCAACTTGGCATTCTGAGTTGGTTTCCTACGCAAGACAAATGAGCGGCCTGACTCATCTTCAAAATAGTATGTTGGGTTCGATTGGCCAAACTTGAATTGCTTTATAATCTTGAGGGAACGCGGAATGCAAGCTTGTTCTCCAATGTGAGTTTCTCCAGTTTGTTTGGAGACATTTGAGAGATAAGTGCACAACTGGTCCAAGTTCATAGGTGATCTCACCTCGGTCAACTCCGGCGCAGACATTTAGCTTTGTAGTGGTAGCAGTGACACCCCTTGTGGCAGAAATAGCTAAAAACTTTTTCTTCTTATACCATACTACTACTGGAGATTCTGTGGGGATCGATCAAAACCAAATTAGGTAACGGATTTTTCATTGTAGTGTCCCGAGGAATAAAGCAGAGCAAAAAAAAAAAAAGAGGAAAAGAGGAAAAACAAAAAACGGATAAATTCTTTTGCACCCAATTCTATTTCATGAGCAAGACAAGTCGTAAATTTTTCATTACTTTTATAAGCTATGTGCAAGCCATGTAAGCTTTGTAAGCCATGTAAGCTTTGTAAGCCATGTAGGCCATGTAAGATACTTGATTATTAACGAGTTACTTCACATTCAACGAATAGTAATTGTAGATTCCACGTTGACTAAATTCAACAGGCCAGCAATTCTCGATAAATTTCTTATCCTTGTATCCATTCCATTGATAGTACCCAATCGAGCAGTTTACTTTTCTACTAGCATACTTCAAAAAACCTGGCTTCTTCACTTTAGGAACTATTTTATTACCAGTTTCCAAATCGTAAAACACCAAGTTCGACTGATTGAGGTTCTTATACTCTCTTTCATTTACTTTATAAATCCATGCTCGTCTTCCTTCATTGTCGTAAAATTTCCACACTTGTGGTTGCATGTACAGCGGGGAACTATAATCTTCAATAAACGATTGTTGTATTGGTTGAATTTTGAAGCAATCTCCACGATTTGTATAATCAAATAGCGACTTGTAGTCAAATTCAACTGCTTCCAAATTGCTATTGAAATTGCATTTGAGAAATGTAACAATATTTTTATTCAATGCTTTAATACCGGTAACATCAAGGTATTTGATAACTGTGTTGTCTTTCATAAATTCATTAATTTCTTCCAACTTTAACTGCAGTGCATGGCTAATGTTCAAACTGGTTAAATGTGGAAATTTAGTTTTAATGGTGTATAAAGTTTTGAGATCCGTTGGCATACCTCCAATATTCAAATATCTCAAATTTGGTGCATTCAAATGTTTCAATGTGTATAGCAAATAAACATCCGATAACGGACTAACCACATTTGAATCAATTTGTAAATTTAGCCATTCCAATGAGCCTTGGGATGTAGCAGGGTGGGTAGTGAGAAAATGAATTAAATCCTTGGTGGTTAGTTTGGAACATCTGGCAAGGGAAAGATGGGTTAGTCTAATGGTTTCTGGTAGTTTCAATAAAATGGCAGATGTAATGGAAGTGTGATTCAAGTCTAATCTCCTCAAGCAAGTCAAGCGAGTTAATACTTTTTCCAAAACATTTTGGGACAAATTCGAACAATCATGGAGGGATAATTTCCTTATTGACAAATTGGTGTCAGTGGAAATAGGTAATTCTTCAAATGCCCTTGCAAATGCTTCGCTACTAGCGCCACAAAAATCCAAGGCTTTCATTTTCGGTAATCGATTGAATAGATAATTCAACACATTGACATCCATGTCGTCTTGTATATTCTCCGACGCAAGAAATTCCAGTAAGTTCGGGGTTATTGATAGGGAATGGGTAATTGTTTTGGATGTAACCATTTGTATTTCCTGATTCATTCTACCGGTTCTACCTAACCCAATCGATGTGAATTGTTGGAAATCCATAAATTCCACATATTTGCCAATGACTGGATTAGCTTCCAAATTGTATCGGAACTTGTCAAAAGAGTGAGGTCTATTGAAAACAGTGTATTTGTAAATAAAGCAAAGGGACAACTGGTGAAATTTCTTGGATAGCAAAGGAATGGTGTTGGCAAATTTTTCAAGATTCGAGTTGATTGAAGAAACGTCTGTGTCGACATAGACATATTCAATAATTCTGTACAAGATTTCTAGAGGTAGCGACAATAACGGTGAGAATTGTTCTTGAAAGAGTTGCAGCTCCTCCAAATCCTTGGTTCCCTTCCCATTCAGGTCATTGTTATCAGCACCATAGGATGAGGCCGGAGATATATCAGTTAGTTCTTGATCAGAAGTAGGGCCTTGACACTGTAGTTCGTCAAGGCGTTCATTCTTAACATCATGCTTTCGACGATGATGATGAGGAGGAGGATGAATATGACGACGCTGCCCCTCGGTCGATGCATCGTCGGAAAAGTAGTCACATGAGTCGTTAGATGTAATCGGACTTAAAAAGAAGGCCGGAGGATACTGTTGGGAATACTGCTGGCGATCATCTGGCGGAGAAGTCATGGGCATCAAAGATAAGTCCGGTTCAATTGGAGACCGATTCTCTAAATCTAAGCCCTCATTTTGAATTTGGTTTTGGTTTTGGTTTTGGTTTTGGTTTTGGTTTTGGTTTTGGGTTTGGGTTTGGTTTTGGGTTTGGGTTTGGTTTTGGGTTTTGGGTTTGGTTTGGGTTTTGGATTGGTCCTGGTCTTGACGCCGCAGAGTACTGAGTTTCTGCAAAAGCGGAGTATGTGTATTCTTGAACCTCATATTAGCTTGATAGTTGCCCTGGTTCTGCAAACAAAATTGGTTTATAGTCTCACTATTCTCATCCTCTTTGTCTTTAGAGAGTTGTTGTCCCATGATATACCGAGAAAAATACACGAAAATATATCTCAAAAACTCCAATATTGCAGATTATAATTAAAAACCCACTGGAAATTCTGAAACTCTCCTTCTCTCACCTTTTTTTTTTTCTTTTGGTCCAACTCCGAATGATGCTTGTTTATTTTTATGTTCCTACTATTTTTTTTCATGACGGGATAAAAATTTATCTTAGCGGGTCTCGGACTTGAAAAGCCGTGTTTAAAATTTTAAAATGGTGAAGCAGTGGTGGTGGTGGTGGGTGGCGGCCGCGGTGGTGGTGATGACGATGTGGTAATGGCTGTAGAGAATAAGACTGTACTAGTATTGACGAGTGTGACCAAAGAGGTAACCTCCAACCTTGGTCTGTTTTGTAGGGGAAGGTATTTAACCAATGTCTAAATGATTTTTTTTTCTCTGCCTTGTAACATTAGAGACTAAATGAATAAGGAAAGTGGGGTAAAGGTGAATACTTGTTTGGGGTATAAGGCTGAGTTTTAACACTATCAACACTATCGAGCGGAGCGAGATAGTGGAGCACACTGACTACACAGACACTATCGACACTATAAAAATAATGAAGACAAAGTAGAATATTTATCTAAGATGGATATTGAAGCTTATCTCGCTCTGCTCGATAGTGGAGCACACTGACTACACAGACACTGTCGACACTATCTCGCTCTGCTCGATAGTGGAGTACACTAGGCAATGGCAGGCACAGCAGCAGAACCCTCTTTGCTGCCAGTGCTTTTAGTGGGAAACCATTATATTCTGGTTCCTACTTGGAACCTTTTTCTTTTTGTCCATTGACTATATATTGTTGTCTTTTATTGTAAGTTACTACAATATATTATTGCCTTCACTATGCATTCTAACTACTATATATTGTTACCTTCTACTATATATTCTAACTACTATATACTATTGCCTTCTAACTACTATATACTATTGCCTTCTAACTACTATATACTATTGCCTTCTAACTACTATATACTATTGCCTTCTAACTACTATATACTATTGCCTTCTAACTACTATATACTATTGCCTTCTAACTTTTATATATTATTGGCTTTTAACTACTATATGTTGCTACCTATGAGATCAACTACAAAGTGTTGCTCCACTATCTCGCTCTGCTCGATAGTGTCTGTCAATGTTACACCACTATCTCGCTCCGCTCGATAGTGTCATTAAAAGACTATATGGTATAGTCTCTTTGTCCTCATATTTTCACGTCGACATAGCAATGGCAGTAGCAATATTTGCCTTATCTATTGAGATGAAAACTATCGACTTAAACTCTGCTCACAATTAACCTTTATCTTTCTATTTTATTTTATTTTATTTTATTTTATTTATTTTTTTTTTTTCACTTTCGAGTTTGATTTTTCATTTCTGCCCTTCTAGAGCAACAACTTCTCTAAACTCGCCGCTCGTCGCTCGCCACTCGTTAAATTCCCAACAGAGGAGAGAGTAATGCCGCCAAAGAAAGATGCATTTGCAGACTTGTTTCAATCCGCAAGTACAAGTAACGGCAATGCTGCTAATAGCATGAATGCCAAATTGAACAAGTTGTCATTATCAGAGCGTCGGAAATTAGAACAACAAAAACAGCAAAATGACAGGTACAATACGTTAAATTCAAGCTGGTCAAATCTAGATGTTCTATCTCCTCGATCGAGTGCATCTACCTCTCAAGTTTCGAGTAGAGGTGCAACACCTTTAATGAACAAAAGCACTTCGCAAATTCCAAGTAGGAACTCATCTCCCTTTAATCCAGTACAAGAATCCAAGTGGAACAGTAACAATAATGGCACTACTATATCACTCAGTGATGATGACCCCTTTGCGATTTTCAATACTCCAGCACAACCTGCTGCTCAATCTCATTCTCAATCTTTGGAAACAAACACAACGAGCCAAGCGAGGACACCAAATCTGGCACCTACCAATGCCCCTGCAGGTGATAGTGTCAGTGCCTCTGTTCCTTTTTCTGCCAATGCAAGTGATAGTGTCAGTGCCTCTGTTCCTTTTTCTGCCAATGCAAGTGATAGTGTCAGTGCCTCTGTTCCTATTTCTGCCCCTGCAAGTTCAATTGATTACAAGAAGGATAAAGTTCTTGCGGAATTATTGGACATTGGATTTTTAATAGACGATGCAAACGAAGCAATAATGGAATTTGGACCCGATCTACAAGAATGCATTACTTATATTATGAACAAAAATACCAGCAACACCAAAAGAGATATCGAAAACCGACAGAGGTTCAATGACGAAGAAAGAGAGGAAACAGAGGTAAGAAAAGAGAAAAATGATACGGTGCTTGGCCCACGTCCAGAAGGTGTCAACTTAGTCAACTTCAACGAAATAGGGAACGGCTTGTTTCAAAAAGCCAACACGTTTCTAAATTTTTCTAAAAAGAAAGTAATAGAGAATATCGAGCTTTTTCAGGATAATTTTGGTAATGGCAGTAATTCAAAGACTGTTCCTGCTTGGATGAAGACTCAGTCCAAGTACAAAGCAGATGCACACGAGAAGAAATACGGCGGAGAAAATTACGGAACCGACAATGAGAATATCAATCAAGAAGAGATTGAAAGATTTATGAGATTACAAAATGAGAGAGATCGACAAAAGATGAGAGAAAGGTTTGGTGTAACGGAAAGGGAGGCTAATGGACTTGTGGGGAGACAACAGTCACAAACTCCACCACCTACAAAGCCACCGAGACCGACGACATCGTCAAGGACTGGCTCAGGATCTGACATCACTCGTTTGCGCCATTCTTCAAAGAATGTCAACAAAAAAGACAATCTCAATGCATTTGACAGTTTATCTGATCAACCACTTCCGCCTAGACCTAGGCCTAGACCGCAAACCCCAACCACAAACACCGATACAGTGGATTTACTAGGTATGGCAACAACAAGCCCAGCTAGCAGCCATTTGCGTGATTCTACGCCGTTGAATCAATTTGTTCATACAGATTATACAACCAAAAAGACTAAAGCAACGGAGGCTTACAAAACGGGTGACTATACAAATGCTTTAGAATTGTATGGTGCATGTCTTGCAAGCTTACCACCTCGACACGAATTGCGCATAGTAATTTACTCGAATTTAGCGTTGACTAATAAGTTACTGGGGCATTTGAGACCTGCATTGGAGAATATTGAGGAAGCTCTAAGGTTGATGAGCTTGGAAGAATGTAATGATTCTAATATAGTACTTGTTGGTAAGTCGATCAAATATTGGTATGTTAAAGTGTACATGGTAAAAGCGGAATCTTTGGAGCTTTTGGAAAAATACCAGGAATCCTTAGAGAGCTATACCTTGTTGATTACAAAATTGGGGTGCACGGAAAAGAAAATCATGGATGGGAAAAGAAGGGTTGACAAAATAGTGAATCCGCAAAACTACAAACCTGCTGCGCCAACATCAACATCAAAACCAAAGCCAAAGAGTGTATCTTCTTCTTCTTCTTCTTCTTCTTCTTCTTCGTCTTCTTCTCCTTCTTCTTCAGCGTTGCCACAGTCGCCGTCACAGCGGTCCTCACATTTTAAGCCCAAGACCCAACTAAGCAAGCCTGCAAAAGCTGAACTTGATCCATTGGTCAAAGATGAAATAGATCATAAGATAAAATCATGGAGTCAACTGAAAAATAATGACTTGAGAGCTATGTTAACAGAGTTGTCTCAAATTATACCAATTAGCTTACCCAATGACAAGCTACTCCATTTACAATTGAATGAGCTATTACTTCCAAAACAAGTTAAATTGCAATATATGAAAGTGATTAGCTCAATTCACCCCGACAAATTAGCATCAAGAGAATTAGATCCAGAAAAGGAGTTGATTTGCAATCGAGTTTTCATTACCTTAAACGAGCGCTGGGAGTTGTTTAGAAAAGAGGAGAATATATGAGAGAAAAAGAATAAAAGAAAATAAGGCAAAAAAGAACCCTCTCCCCTAGGTGTGGGTTTAGCCTTTAAATATTGTTTTTATATACATTTGACTCCATTCTGGAATTAACCAATTCATCTGAATCTTTCAAAACACCAGCATTCTTTAAAACCTTTGTTGTGTTAACCACAATTTTGTCCCAGTCCAAAGGTTTTTGACCCAATTTCTCATTGAATTCAACAGTCTTGGTCCATTCTCTTGCATCTTCTTGTGAATAATCCAAGTTTGCAGCAATGAATTGAACAGCTTCTTCAATGTGATTGTTGTAGTAAACAATACCTTGAGATAATGCCTTGATGAAATCGTGAATAGATTGTTGTTTTGTTTCTAAACTTTTTGAAGAAGCACTGATGACCCAGGAAGGCCAAGGTGTATAGATTTGACCAATTTGTTTAATCTCTTTACAATCATAGTATTTCTTGGTAGTAAAATATTCCCACATGAATGCATCGCTTGACTCTACAACGCCACCGTTTTCTCCCTCTTTTTCACCATTGACTGACTTTCTCAATGTGGCAAAGTTATTGCAAACGGCAAAGTCCTTAAACTTGTCCAATCCCAATTTATTAGCAAGGACAAAACTCATTATATAGGAACCACTACCAAATCTCGATATCCCGATTTTGGACAAGTCTGACAAATCTTTTATGTCCTTTCTATCAATACCGGTAGAAACTGCCCAAAGCAAGGGAGATACAACGTAATTATCAACTATTTTGATCTTATCGTTTCCTTTACCAATATCAGCAACAAAGGCTTCAGTAAGTCCAATAGCTACATCAATATCATCACCTTTTAACAAATCGATTAATCGACCGCTCCCTTCAGGTACTTTGACTAGTTCGATCTTGAGTCCATATTGAGTAAAGAAACCTTGTTCCTGGGCCGTGAGTAAAGGAAAGCTAAAGTGTTCGGGTATATATCCAACACGGAGTACTTTATTGCTCATTGTATAAATAACACCTACCTACTTTTTGTTTTGTCTCACTGATCAGGTAATTAACACAAATCTTTGATACACCGTATAACCTCTCCTTCTCTAGAGCGATAGAAAGAAAAAGAAAAGAAAAAAAAATGGTGACGATTCCTCCTGATAAACTACGCTCTTAGTTTCGCACACAGGCCTGATTGCTTTTCTTCCTTTTCCACCATATCACTGCTTTTCTATCTTCTCGACACAGTTTTATATTACAAATATATCTGCAAAAAAAAATGGAAAAAAATTTGATCTATAAACGATTCAAAAAAGTACCTGGCAAGATAGTACCTGGGAAGATAGTACCTGGGAAGATAGTACCTGGGAAGATAGTACCTGGGAAGATAGTACCTGGGAAGATAGTACCTGGGAAGATAGTACCTGGGAAGATAGTACCTGGGAAGATATTACCCGGCAAGATATTACCCAGCAAGATAATACCCAGCAAGACAATACCCAGCAAGACAATACCCGACAAGATAGTACCTGGGCATGTTTTTTTTCTCTTTGTTCTTCTAACAGCAAGATGTTCTCCTTGCTCCTGCTGCTCCGTTGTTTGTCAAATCAATTCTTCCTTCATTTGTAACTTCTTGTGCATTTTGCTGTTTCATCATGCTTGAATCTGGGATCTTACTACCAATACCAACAAAAACGTCGTTTACGTTATACGAAGTCTTTGCACTGGTTTCATAGAATAATAGTCCTTCTTCCTCGGCTAGTGCTTGACCTTCCTCGATGCTTACTTTTCTCAACAGTTCACCACCATTATCTTCTTCTGCTTCGTCCTCTACTAAATCGTACTTGTTACCAACTAATGCAATTATTATATCTTTACTTGCTTGCTCGTGTAATTCCTTCACCCAATGCCTTGCTTTGATAAAGGATGCCGGTTTGGTTATATCGTATACTACTATTGCCGCTTGGGCATTTCTATAGTACATTGGTGCTAGTGACGCAAATCTCTCTTGCCCAGCGGTATCCCATATCTCATATTTTATAGTACGATCTCCAATCGTACACTTTTGTGTTAGAAAAGCAGCTCCTATAGTTGGTTCTTTATTTTCCTGAAAGTCATTCGATACAAATCGTAATACCAAGGAGGATTTACCTACTGCCGCTTCACCGAGTAAAACGAGCTTGATAGACGTGGCTGGCGAGGCGTGGTGGCTCATTTTTGTATATATATATATATATATAAAAAGCTAGCTCCTTATATGCGTGTATGTGTATGTGTATGGTAGATGTGTGTGCGTGGGGTGACACACGGGTTTGATTGGTTGATAACTGATAAGAATGTCACTTTTCTTCTCTCTTATATTTTTTTGAAACCTTTAATTAATCATTCATTGCCATCCCTCCTTTTTTCTTTTTCTTTTTTTTTCTGTTAGAGTCCTTTTGTTTTTCGTCACTCTTTTGTTTCCTTTCCTGGTGTGTAATATCCGTTTACACGACTCTTGTTTACGACACTATCGAGCGGAGCGAGATAGTGGTGCAGTAACGAGTAATCGATAGAATCGATAGAGTAGAGAGTAATGTGGAGGATTATAGTAAAGAAATTCAGGAGTAATCCACTATCGAGCAGAGCGAGATAGTGGTGTAACACTTAGTAGCTTGCTGCTCTGACCCGACACTCCACTATCGAGCCTATCGAGCGAAGCGAGATAGTGTCTTGAAATGGGAATGTAATGATACTTTGTCTTATGTAAAAGCCGAAAAAAGTTTTATTAAAAAATGGGCCAAAATGTTTTAATATCCACTAGGGAACGAAGCGAGCTAGTGGAGCAGTATGTAGTGTTCCCCCGAGCCTATGTAAGTCAATCTCGCTCTGCTCGATAGTGGAGCAGCACTTAATGGGTCAGAGTAACAAGCAACTAAGTGTTACTCCACTATCTCGCTTCGCTCGATAGTGGAGCATAGCCTTTTATAGCCTTTTACTTATAACCGTTTACTATTATAGCCAACATACGGGTCAGTGTTGCTAGGTGCTGCTCCACTATCTCGCTTCGCTCGATAGTACCGTCAGTGTCGTCAGTGTTGCTAGGTGCTGCTCCACTATCTCGCTTCGCTCGATAGTGTTAATGCTGCAAAATCACGTGATACGGATATCTTGAGGATATCTTTGTGTGATCTCGGATGCTCGGGCCGGGCTCATCGCAAAGCAAAAGTTCAAGAATTTCAACTTTTTCATTAAAAACGGTTGTGAAAGAAGATAGAGGGAAAGTGGTGGTTTGAACAATGATACGACTTCTAAGAAGCTTGAGTACTTTGAGCCCACGTAGTGCGGAAATACAATGGCGTCTCGTTGAATCCGTTCCAGCACCAACTTATAACACTGGATGTACATTTTGTCAACCAACATTTCCCCCAGACAAACAGATAAACTTTGATCAAAACTTGAATAAAAGTTCGAGGATACCTGCTAAACATGTTATGGTGCTAACAACAAAGGACAATAAGATGGAGCACTTTGAGTCCAAGATTGAAAATTGGAAAGGTACTTTGAGCAATGAAATTGGAAAGTTGAAACATAAAGTGCCTATTGCAGAAGGCACTCTGGTTTCGAGTATTGTGCTCCAGAATCACGATACTGTGTTGCAAGAAGAATTCGGCATCAATCATTATAGTAACCCGCAGCATCAGTTGGTGTTTCTTTATCCCGATATGAAAGCAATCAAGTTCGATATAATGTATACCGATCAGTTTATTACCAAGTACATCCCTCAAACACAAAAGACAACCGTGTTTAATCCTTTTAAAAAGAAGAGAGTAGAGGAGGAGGAGGAGGAGGAGGAGGAAATGAGAAAACCCGCACAAGAAATAAATGTTGATGATGCGAACTTTCAGGAGACCATGATAGACAAAGACCTTATTGTAACATGTGGGCATGCCAAACGCGATATACGGTGTGGCCTCTTGGGTCCACTTATAACCAACGAATTCGATAAAGTTTTAAGAAAGGAAGGAATCAGAGATGATAGTTATGTGGGAGAAATAACACATATTGGCGGTCATGCTTTTGCAGGGAATGTCTTGTATTACCCAAAGCAATGCAAAAGCAACCATGATTTCATATGGTATGGGCGAGTATTTCCTAAAGACGTGCAGGGATTGGTTGAGGAAACTGTAAAGAATAAAAAGATTATTCAAAGATTATTTAGAGGCGATCTTAGCAAATACCAGTGAGTAAGAAAACACTCTAAAACATTCTTGTATATATATATATATAATTAAAATTATATAGATTATTTAATATTAACTTATTCATAGACTAACAAATTGCTCTTTCAACTTCCAACCTTTCCTCACACCATCCCACTCAGCAATCTCCCTCAACATAGACCGTATAATGATCATATCTTCATCAGACACCATTTTCAAATTATTGCTCTTAATGATATCGTTGGAGGTGCTGAATTGGTTTTCCTGTTTACTTAAATAATCAATCAACATCGAAACAGTTTTCTGTCGGTCCAAATTATACTTATCCTTGTCCTTGTCCTGCTTCAAGTCATTGATTTTTTTCAAGTTGTCAAGAATAGTGGCTGACGAGACGCCTTCTTGAGTTTTCCTCTTTTTCTTAATACCAAACGTCCCTTTGAATACGCCTGCACTACCAAATCTCCCTGTCCATGTTGGAGTACCAATTTTATTTTTCCTGGCCAATAGTCGGGACTCCTTTAGCGCATCCACGGCTTGCTTGGCATACTTGTTGGCTTCTCTTTCTACAAGACTTGTTTCGTTATCGTTGGAGTCAACAATCTCATCATGCTTTAATGTGCTATGAACGCCACTTTCAGCAAAAATACCCTTAATAAACCTACTATCATCATCATCGTCGCTTCTATCGCGTTCTTCCTCTTCATTCTCAAACTTGTCTAGCTTCGACACACCGCTTATCTTGGCCACCTGATAAAAATCATCGTCATTTTTATACTTTTTCTTCATCAATGAGCCAGGTTTTCTTGTTTTAGTACCTCCATACTTTTCCTCGCCCCTAGCATTGAACATGTCACCTGTCTCCGTACCCTGTTCCGTTTGATCGCCCAAAGTGAACAAATCGTGCAAATCGCTGTTTTTGAAAAATCGTCTCTGTTTCGGATCCTTCAAAATTTTGTTTTGTAAAAAAGTCTTGAATATTTGTCGGTGGTATATCTTCTCCTCAATCGACCCTGTTGTCATTAACCGATATATCGTTATATCTTTCTTTTGACCTAATCTCCAAGCCCTTTCCCTGGCTTGAATATCAGTTGACGGATTCCAGTCGGGATCATAGATTATTACTCTATCTGCACCAGTGAGATTAACTCCTAAACCACCTACCTTTGTTGTTAACAAAAACACATGCAAGTTAGGATTGCTGTTAAAATCATCAACCAATTGCTGGCGCCTTGGAATCGGAGTGCTTCCGTCCATTCGTAGGTAAGTGAAGTTTTCATTTGGATCTTTAAGCAAGTGCAAATTGGCAACAAATTTTTCCAAAATGTCCAACATCTGCCGCGTTTGGCAAAACAATAATGTCTTGTGCTCTTCGCTTTGCCATATCCTCAAGAGATTGCCCAATACCTGCATTTTCCCTGATTTCTTGGGATCACCATAGTTTTCTCTATTCATGAGTGCGTCTCGATAGACTAAATCTGGATGATTGCAAATTTTCCGCAACATGTCTATACCCATTAGCACATTTCTTTTACCTTTGATAATTGAATCCAAATCTTCACTTTCAAGAAACTTTTCATACATATCCTGTTGATATTGAGTCAATTTAATAAATAATACCATTTCATTCTTCTTTGGCAAGTCCCGAGCAACATCTTTCTTTAAACGTCTCAACAAGTACGGCGAAATCAAATCTCTTAGCACAACTGCGCAATTATAAGCAGTCTTCACTTGTAAATTGTTTGAGTTAGCATATCCGCCAATTTTGATTGGTGCAGAAAACTGCTGTTCAAATACCGGTAGAGTACCCAATCTTCCTGGAAAAACAAAATCAAAAAGCGACCATAACTCGGTCAAATTGTTTTGTATTGGGGTCCCTGATAAAATAATTCTATTAACGGTTTTAATCAGCTTGCAAGTTAACGAAATGTCCAGGTCAGGATTTCTGATTTTATGACCCTCATCAAGAACACAATAACCCCACTGTTTTGGCAAAATGTATTTCGAGTACATTCTCAACCCCACGTATGTGGTAACCAAAATATGTCCCTTTTCTTGCACTTTATTTACAATTTCACGCGCGTTTATTTGCGACTTAACACCACTCAAAGATGTTTTGAATGTTTTTGGATCCCGTGTCTCCATAAACTCCTCCAACTTCTCCTCGCTTATAATCTTGTCTTTGGACATACCAGCGCCAATGCTGTGCAAAATAACACATCGAAAAGGCGGCCACCATCGATGGAATTCATTAACCCACTGATTAAGCACAGTTGCCGGTACTACAATAATTGCAGGTTTATCTAGTAGTCCGGAATAATGCAATCCCGCGAGGAAGGATATAATTTGTATCGTTTTTCCCAAACCCATCTCGTCACCTACAATTCCACCTGTCTTTTGTGAATACAACTCCCATAACCACTGCACACATGTCTTTTGATAATCAAATAAAGAGGGATATATATCACCGGGTAGTTTAAACGTATCGTTGAGTTTAGCGTCGGGTATAGTGGGGTGCGGCTTGAACCATTCTGGATCATCGGGATGTTCGTCTACTTGTCGAAGCAGCGACCTTTTCCGAACCCATTCCTTTAGCCTTTTCTGGTACTGTGTTTCATCGCCATCGTCGATGTTCCTAGTTTCTTGCATGGATATCTCATCGTTCTCATCTGTCACATCCGCCTCCTGCTCCTGCTCCTGCTCCTCATCATCATCCTCCACGACTTCGTCTGCCACATCTACCTCCTCATCTTCTTCATTATAAACGTAATCCTCATCTTTGGCCTCCAAATCTTCCTCTTCCTCTTCCTCTATTTTTTCATTTGGGACCAACTTTTCCACATTTTCATCAAAGCCAGGTTCTCTCAAAAAAACGTGACTTTGCTTCTCGCCACTTGAACTCTCCGTCAGTTGAAACGCGTTCTCATTACCAAACGCAGTGATTTTTCCTGTTCTCAATAGATACTCACGCTCTGTTTCATCTGGCAACTTGTCTCCGTCATCTTGTGCCGTTTCATTACTATCCTCCGTTGATTCACTTAAAGCTTTCTTATTCTCCTCTAAACGAGCCTTGATATCGTTCAAATCCAGTTGCTTAGCAGCTAGTTCATTCTCTTCTAGCCATCTTATCTGATCTGTAATCTGTTTCTTCTCGCTTAGCTTTGTACGCGGATGTGACAACTTTGACGTTAATTGATTGATATGTTTGATAGTGATGTTCAAATCATTGATTGCTTTCTTCAATCTCTTCTCATCCTGTTCCACATCCTTGGCTAACAAAAGTCTATTTGCCTTATTGGCTATATCTTTTTCTAAATTCGTCTGATCAAATACTTGAACATCTGTCATAGAAAGGAAGTCGGCGGTGGTGACTACCAATACCACGAAAGCAATCTCAGGTTCTTCTTCTTCTTCTTCTTCTTCTTCTTCTTCTTTTTATTTCTTTTTTTTGGTTTGCAGATCAAGTACAGCGGGTTTAAACAAATCACGTGACTCAATATTAAGGGGTATTGTTTGAATGATTAAGGGGGGGGGATTCTACAACGATAGAAGAGCAATATCTCAATTAAACAGGTTTTCTTTCTTTCTTTCTTTCTTTCTTTCTTTCTTTCTTTCTTTCTTTCTATCTCTCTCTCTACTTACGTGCTTGCTTCTCCAATTCTTGTAATGCGTCTTGATAAACGGTCTCGTCATCACCCGTTATCAACGTTTTCAAATCCAACTCTAACTCCCTAACTTCACCCGTATTGTTCCTGCTTACATCTCTTGAGAATGTTGAAAACCATTTGCTTTCACCTTTACCAACAATGAAGTTATATGCGTTACCCGGTTTATTTGCCCTGGCTGTACGTCCAACTCTGTGTACGTAGTCTCTCGATGAATTAGGTAAATCGTAGTTGATAACATCCTTTATTGAAGTCAAGTCTAATCCTCTTGCTATCAAATCTGTAGCAACCAAGATGTTAATTTTCTGATTACCAAAATCTTTGAGAATTCTTGACCTTATCGAAGTGCGATTGTTCGTGGAGTTGATGTAAGTAACTGTCAACAGAGGCAATAATTGGTTAAATAGTTTCTGTAAAAGACTGGCCAATCTGATGGACGATTCGTTTGACTTTGTGAATATTAAAACATCCACAGTTTTTTGATGAGTAATAAGGAATTTTGCAAGAATCAATGGTTTTATTGAACTTTTTGCCACACCAAAACTTATATTGTATTCGGACAACGTTGCTGGTATGGAGAATAGTTCATTAACGAGTTTCTGCGAATCATTAACAACCAATAATCTAGGCTTATAGAATTTCAATTTCGCCAATTTACCTGCATCGGTGGTTAATGTAGCGGAAAAGATTAATTTTTGAACTTTTAAACTCCAAATATTTGCAATATCGTATTTTTGCTGTTGCTCAATCTTATCAACAAGTACCAGTGACCAGTTTTGAAACGCTTGATTCAAAAGTCTGTCCGCTTCGTCCACCACAAGATACCTCAAATTTGAAAGAGATATGGACTCCAAGTTCAAGTGTTCAACCAACCTACCAGGAGTGCTTATAATCACATCTGGCACACAATTTCTTAGCTTTTCACTCTCGTCTTGAATAGATGTCTCATTTTTCATACTTACAATATTCAAATTGGTGCCTTGAGCTAGTTGCAACATTGTTGCCCGAACCTGATTAATCAATGGTTTTGTTGGAACAATTACAATCGCCCTAACTCGAGGCACAATCCTATCGTGAATACTCTCAATAATGGGTATCGAGTACGCCAATGTTTTTCCCGAACCAGTAGATGCATTTACCAAAATGTCTCCAAATGCATCTGGCTGTAGTTTATTCGCTTTAATCTCTGGAAGCATTTTATTTAAAACACTTACTTGAACCGCAAATGCATCACGAAAGCCAAGAGTCTCCAAATTCTTTTGCATAAACGGCGATAACAGGTATTGGGAGAATGATTTTGTATCTGTTGTTGAAATATACTCAGGTTCTGTTAGCCAATCGAGGTTTTTCAAATGATGTGACGTCGATTGTAGTTTTTTATCTCGTGGTAATTGTGGTTGTGGAAGAGGCGCGAGATCTCGAGTTTCTGTAGTCTCCTCCTCCTCCTCCTCCTCCTCGTCTGGCAAATCTGCCGGATTTTGTAAAGGCGCATGCGCTGTAGACGCTATAGACTGCTTAAACTTGTCAAATACGGATTTGTGCTTTGATTTGTAGATGGGATCATCATTCATGTCGGAAAAAGACCTATTGTCAACAGCATCTTCTTCATCACCTCCTTCAGTCTCTTTTCCGCTTTCTATTTCACTCTCCTGACTCTCCTGACTCTCCTGACTCTCCTCATAGATATCCATGGCATCCCTGGTATCCCTGGTCTTTTCGGTTTCCATATTGGTCATTAGTGGGGGTTCAGACTCTGCTTCACTTATATCTTTTACGTCATCATCATCATCAGCAGCAGCAGCAGCAGCAGCATCTTCTCTTCTTCTCTTCTTGAAGTTCGGCAGCACATTTTGGGTATAGCTTCTAGTATGAGACTCTTGATCTGGATCATACCTAGTTCCAAACATCTACCTTGCAAAAGGACTTTGATAAATAAAAGTTTGTTCCTCATCGCAAATGCGCGCATCTCAATATCAAGTATAAAACATTTCCAATGAGTGGGTAGGTAAATTTTTCAGACCGAGTTTTACTGTACTGGCCAGATTATATAGCAGCAAGCTTTGTCTCAGGACTTATCATACGTATTTGATAGTAAACCATATAACAAATTATGGAAAACGTATGTTACTTGGACCTACTGACCTACTATCGAGCAAAGCGAGATAGTGGGTCATGGATAAAGATATATGTGCTACACACAGGTATGTAATTCTAATTTACTAGTTATATTCTTGTAGGAGCGACACTATCGAGCAGCGCGAGATAGTGGAGCAATACTCAGTAGCTTGGTACGACACTATCGAGCAGAGCGAGATAGTGTCTAGTAGTTTGTTACAACACTATCGAGCAGAGCGAGATAGTGTTCATAGTGGAGCAATACTCAGTAGCTTTTTACAACACTATTTTGCTCTGCTCGATAAGGTCTAGTAGTTTGTTACCACACTATCTCGCTCTTCTCGATAGTGTCTAGTAGCTTGCTACAACACTATCTCGCTCTTCTCGATAGTGTCTAGTAGTTACAACACTATCTCGCTTCGCTCGATAGTGTTGCTTGATAGTGGTGCTCGATAGTGTTGCTCGATAGTGTCTATCTTCTCACTAGTTCTATCTCAGAATCTTGATATTAGCTATCTCATATGAGGTTAAGAGAAAGGTATAGTGACACTGGATCCTTAATTATTATACCTAATAAATCCTATACTCTATGTGATAGTGTTGTACGTAATACATAAAAGAGATGTGCACTTTGACAGTTCCCCATCAAAGTGCATGAGCCAAAACAAACTCAAGTGGCCCAATAAGAAAGATTGAGCCGTCAATTTCACCTCATCTTTTGGCAAATTCATGGCATTTTCCCAAAGACAAAAAAATCTAGAACCAAAATGTCAAGCAGAATTTTTCACTTCTTTTTTTTTTCCCCTGCAAGAAACTAATACGAAAGATTAACAGTATACCCAACGAACATATCAAGCCAGGAGGCACGCCATACACACATACACACACACACAGAAAGAGAGAGAGAGAGAGAGAGAGAGAGAGAGAGAGAGAGAGAAAGAGTTTTATCAATGCGTCCATCAATAATAAGTCTAGGTAGATCAGTATGGAAAGGGCCCCATATTGTCCCTTTACCCATTGCAAAAGCTATCAAGAACAATACCAGTATAAGAACAAAAGCACGTAGTTGTACAATCATACCGCAATTTGTGGGATTGAAGTTTGAGATTCACAATGGAAAGGACTATGTGGAGGTCGAAATTACCGACGATATGGTTGGATCGAAGTTGGGGGAGTTTGCACCTACTCGAAAGAGATTTATGTATAAATTTTCCAAAAACTAAGAAAAGAAACGATTGGTGGGAGTGGGATATGTGGGATATGTGTATATAGAGAATAAGATGGGAGGTAATTTTACCATGTGGTTGCAGTTTTATCTATTTTTTTTGTCTATGATTTGCTACATTTTCTATCCACTTCCTCGTCTAGGATTAAAGTCGTCCAAACGACATTGTCTTAATTCTCCAGTTCGATCGATATTGGGCCACTGACCCCATCCGTTTAGTCTAATCACTAAAATAGTAGCATTATCGTCACCGCCTACAAACTCAACAAATTTTATCACTTCTTGAGCACACATCTGCGGAGTCGCCTTAGTATGGCCAGATCTTCTATATCTTGTCATTACAACATCGGCAATTTCTTGATCGGTGATTACGTTGGTCACTCCATCTGTACAGAGAATAAGGAAACATTCGTCTCCACCGAGTCCATTTATTGTGTGCTTTTTCACCTCTTCAGTTGTCAAGTGTTGATTTATTTCTTGCGAATCGCCAATGATTAATTGAGTCACCTCCGGTTCTGCACTTACGCCAACTTCTTTATAGTCTACATCTCCAAATGCTCTTGTGTTTGCCAAAGCAATGAATCTCTCTTCCCCAAATGAATCCGCCATGAAAAAGTTGGCAGCGTATCTTCTTAATCGTTGAGTCTCCGTTGGATTCAGTGGATGATGGTCTTCTGTTAAACTGTTAGCAAGACCATTTTTATCAACCAAAATAGCTCTTGTATCGCCAATATGCGCAATTGTCAATAACGATATTGTCTTTCTGTTGAAGTAAAAGTTTTCAAAAAATGGCTGGAATTGAGACGTTTGATTTGTATACAATGTTTGTAAATAAGCTGAAGTACTCGTTGACCCCAGTTTAGGATTGTTCTCACAAAACTCATAATCGGTGCTCAAGAAAGTCAAAGGCAACCGTAGATTTAAATCAATATTCTTCAACTCTTGTTTAAAATTGGTCAATTGTATCCGATTATTAGCCCAAGTTGCAAATGTCTTTTCTCGATGTTTGTACCATCGTTTCCAATACCCTCCTATATTCTTTGCATACCTCTTTACCAAATCCTCCTTTCCCTCAATCATTTCCTTCCCTCCGTTTTCCACATTCTGTGCCAAGTTTTCTTTTAGAAAGGTACTGCACTGATTTCCACCGTGGCCATCAAAGATATTGAAATTTATAACTTCTTGGCCATTAAGACTTAGAACCTTGGCACTATATTCATCTTCATTATAAGCGCGGTTGACCCGGCTCGTCGAGTGTCCCAAATGTGACGGACTTTTTAATAGCGGAACTCGTAGTTTTCCTTGTTTCAATGGCTTCGTTGTCTTTAATGGAATGTTTGGAGATCGGTCCACTGCGGTGAACACGACAGAGTCGGAAATACTCCGACTCATTACTACTCGCCGACCATACTTGCAAGCATTGCTGAACCTATACGTGAGCCCAACTAACATGATATATATGTGGGGGAAGGGGTGTTTCTAGTATTAACGGGTGGTAGAAGCGTTGTGGCAACGATGGTGGTAATTGGTGGTGGGGACCAATTGCTCGTAACAGTATTTCACTTATCTCGGTGATATTTCGGAATAACCACGAGCCCAACTTTTTCTGCAAAAGGAAAAAAAAAAAAAATTTCAATTTATGCTACCATGGCAGAATTTATCCGCAATACAATACTGGCATTAAACATTACTCTATTCTACTCTCTACTTTACTCGATTCGATTCGACTCTACTCTACTCATCCTCTATAAGGTTAAATGCTCACTAGCATCATCATCGTAGTTGAACGCTTCCAATGGTTCATCTCTATAATGTCTTTGAGAATAAATTAGCTGCTGTTCTTCATCTTGTTGTAGTTGTTGGTTTCTTGCAAAAAATCCACCAACTGTGCTGCTGATTCTACCCCAGAGTCCCGTTTTTGGACCATTCAATGTTCCATTATAATAAATAGGTTCCTCCTCCTCAATTGAGCTATCAATTCGATTGTTGATAGATTCAGCAAACTGTCTTCTATTTCGCTCATAATTGATGTCTGCTGGATTAATATCGCTCTCCGAGTTATTAGTTAAATGGAATGGCCGTAGCTGTAACTCGCGTCTTGACATTTCTCTAGAGACAATTCGTTTCGCTTCAACAATAAGTAAGTCGGACCTTTTCCCCAAATCATTGCTATCCAAGTTTCCTTCATCTTCATCAAATAAAATCCAAGAATCAAAATCTCCTCCAAGACCTATCTTTTTCTTCAACTTATCATAAACATGAAACATAGCTAATAAAACAGGCACTAGGATCAACCTAGGTATCCAATTATTCAACAAGTTGAACAACCCAGTTAGGTGAACTGATTGACCATACCAAGTTTCAAAAATTGAGTCTCTTTGAACAAAGAGGGTAATAAAATTATAGCTTAATGGAATGGTTAATCTTGCAATATACATTGCATACCAGCATGCCAGTACAGGGTCGGAATTTCTGGGTATCAAATGGTACATATTAAATATTTTCAATTGGGTTAATGAGTTCAATGCACAAAAAAGCATGTATGAGAAAATACAAGATGATAATGCAAATTGCAAGAATGAGTGATCTTGCATTATTGGAAAGGAATATAATAGGACATTGAGTAATGACAACTTAGTTGAATGAAAGAATTCCGATTGAAGGATGATTATTGAAGTTGCCGCTAAAATGATAGAGGCGCATTTGCTTGCCCATGGTCTAATGTAATACCAATATACAAAATTGAACTTGGGCGACCACAACACACGATGGTTATCGATTCTGAATATCAACTCTCTGGTGGAGATAGCGCTAAGTACATCTTCTAATCGAATAACTTTTGAAACGAGTCTATTAAATTCCGATTGATAACCAACAAGTCTGTGCAAATTCAGATTGAATTGTGAGTTTAGTTTGGTCATGAATTGATCATTTAGTTGGTCTCTATCGATGGTTGTATTATCATGCAAGTACTGTTTCTCAACGTGTTCTTTAATATCGCCGGGAATCAAGTCGTTCAATTTCAATATCCAATCTCTGTACCTGAAATCTTCCTCTGATGAAGAAGTGTAATTTTGCCTAAGTACAATCACTTTCAATACATCTTCTCTAAATGAAATCTTTGTATCTTCCAACTCATCGACCAATTTTGGTATCTTTAAATAATGGTGATTTAAATCCTGCACAACCGAGCCCTGAATCCATTTATTTCTCGGTATACTAATTAATCCGTGCCCCATTAACCAAGTGGCTAGTATAAGTGAATAGATATGAGCTATTGCAATGATCATCAATTTTAAATGGTTGAAATTCAAACCTACTTCAATGATAAGATAGACCAAGCCAATCATTGAGACTGCCAACATTATGAGTTGAAATTTCAAGTTCTCCTTTATCGAGTCCTTGATCTTCCGTATGGTGTCATTGTGACCCGACCGGTAAAATTCCAATAGCATGGGCAATATCAACCACGTGAGAATGAATGTGATCCAATAATTTGATTTCCAAATGTATAAGATTGCATTATCCGGTATTTCAATCCATTTTAGTTGATCCAGCGATTGCGTTGTATTGTGAAGCGTATAGTCTGTTGGTAATGTGAATATTATTGACAATGGAATATAAACACCCAAAGTCAATGGGATAGTGAGGTATAAGGGGTAACTGAAGATGTTCAAATGATACTGGATACCGAATAACGATAATAGTAGAATAAAAGTGTAGCAAACAAGTGGGAAAAACCACATTATAGCAAGAAAATAAGTTGGTTTCAGTCTAGTCTAGTGTCGTCCAGTCCAGTATAGTCCAGTCCAGTCCAGTATAGTCCAGTATAGTCCAGTCCAGTCCAGTCCAGTCCAGTATAGTCCAGTATAGTCCAGTCCAGTCTTGTTCAGTACAGCACAGTCACGTTCAGCACAGCCCAGCCACGTTCAGCACAGTCTTGTGTAGTTACGTTCAGCACAGTCCAGTCCAGCTTCGTCTAGTCTAGTCCAACCTAGTCTCGTGTAGTCACGTTCAGCACAGTCCAGTCACGTCCAGTTTCGTCTAGTCCAGTCCTGCTTCGTCTCGTGTAGTCACGTTCAGCACAGTCCGGTCACGTCTCTTTCAGTCCAGCCTAGTATCGTCCAGTTTCGTCTAGTCCAGTCCAGTCCTACTTCGTCCAGTTTGGTCCAGATTTGTCCAGTTTCGTCTAGTCCAGTCCAACCTAGTCACGTCTAGTCCAGTCCAGCTTCGTCTAGTAACGTCTCTTTCAGTCCAGTGTCGTCACTGTCCCTAGTATTGTCTCCTAAGTTGTCCACTTGGCGGTCTCTTGGTATCGCCACTCTTGCTAGTCCTAGTCTAGAATAACAATACTTTCTCGCTTTATCCTTAATTGCGCTCAACTTGTATAGATTAGATTTGGAACATTGTACACTACTCTCTGCCCCCCCTAATGAGGCGCATAAGAGAACTTTGAATCTCCCTTGTTGTACCTTACGGATTAATATTCGCACTCTATCGGCAATAAAAAGAATAATGAACGGAGGAGGGGGGGAAAGAGATGTTTTTTTTTTCTTCTTCTTCTAGAAGATAGATTTTATTGATAGAATATTAACCACAGGGAAAACCATGTCTGAAGCTGAACAGGTTGATCAGCTTAAGGATACTGAAGTTGTTGTTGTTGCTGATGATGGTAGCGTTGGTGCTGGTGCAGGTGCTGGTGTTGGTGTTGGAGAAACTCCGAACTTGCATGTTACCGAGTCTCCTCCAATTGCCGAATCGACTCCCGTCAAAGCTAACAGCAAGTCCAAACCTAAAAAATCTGTTGGATTTGCACCTCCGCCAGAGGAAGATTTAAGAGAACATCATAGGTACTTAAAGGAGAAAGAAGAAGATGAGTTGAAATCATCATCTTTCCATAAAATACCCCCTGAGTTGGCTTATTTAAATCAAAAGACAAGGAATGCGCCAGCTGCCCCAAAACCACTAGACTCTCCCTTGAAACACCAGGTGCCCAATAGCAGATTGAGATTATCTGACTTGCCAGATTTGAGCAAGTTGAAGTTTTTCGATGTAAAGGATATTTCGGTGCAGAATAAAGAGACAGAGTTGCAATTTCATTATACAACAATCAATTTGCCGCCTAGATCCGATAGTGTTATCGTTGACATAAAGTATTCCTCGCTTAATTCGTTTGATTTGAGTAAGATTAATCAGTATTTGTTGAATTTGAGTAATGTTAAAGTCGGACTAGGATATGAGTTTGCAGGAGTTATTACTCAGGTAGGATCGTCGATGAGTAAGAAGTACTCAGTCGAGGATTATGTATTTGGAATGATTGATCCAGACAGTAAAAGAGGTGCCTTATCTACTAGTCAGATTATCTATCCTGGACGGGACGTTTTGATAAAAGTAGATAAGGAAACTTTACAAAAGCTTGATGAGATAGATATCAATTTGGATGGGAATATGGAGAGTAAAGACTTCCAAGTGGGAGAGGGAGAAGTAGATGGAGAGGAGGAGGAGCAGGAGGAGCAGGAGGAGGAGCCTGATAAGGATGTTCCTGCTGTTACTGAAGATATTTCACAAACAAACAAATTATCGTTGAACAACAGCAACAAAAACATACCGTCCTTGGCCAAATTATCAGCAATTTCCTTACTTTATTGCCGCTCAAAACAAATGCTTCAGCATTTCGAATCAGAGTCCAAGAAAGTCAATGTATTGATAAATGGAGCAGATACGGATATAGGATTGACACTAACACAAATCCTCTTGTCCGAGACACGATATGATTTCATCAGTTTGATTTTAATTATCCGTGAGAAATCACAAACTTATATGGAAAGATTGATTGAATATTTTCAAAAAAAATATTATGACCCATCACAAACAAAGCGGATCAAATGTATTTCCTTTGACATGTTAAATGACGGATTATACTTTCCTGGCGAACGGATCCCTACTAACTACAAAAAACCCGATTTCTTTGCCGTTGAAGTTATAAATGCCCTCTTGACGCCTCATACTGATCTACAAGAATCTATTAATGAATCAAACATAAACAACTATAAACTAGACTTATTCATTGATTTGATAGGTTGTAAGAAATACTTTCAGTCCACAACAACCAAGCTCCATGAAATTGAAACTTTGAACTTTCCATATAAACAACATATTGGCAACACCACATCAGTTGAGAAATTGTTTCAAGCTACTAGTAAGATTCCTTTTCTTGCCCGGATTTTGAAGCCTAAAAAATTAAAATCTGTGGTTATCAGTGGATGCAAATTCACCTTACGTGAACCCAGTTATAACATCGACAAGTTGATTGATTTCAATGAACAGGGAATCATGAATCCATGGAACAAAGGTTGGACAAGCAATTTGTTTAATAACTGGACATCGTATAACTATTATGAGGAGATTTACTTAAAGATCAAACAGAGCTGGTGTGAGGAGGCGTTGAGTTTAGTTGTTAACGATAGGTTGAAGTTTAAGATCGACCATGTCGTTGATTGGAGGAAGGAATACAAAAAGTATATACAGCGGTTAAAAGAGAATGATGGAAAGATCATTTTTCAAGTTGAAGATTTTTAGAGGATCCTTTCATAAAGACGATAAAACCACACACTTGCTTTGTAAGCTTAAAGGTTTCTGTAATAGTTACAACACTATCGAGCAGAGCGAGATAGTGGAGCACACTAGCTGCCACCGACACAAAATAGAGTTGTTATCTCCTAACTTGATTGCTCTTATTTATAGATTGTGAATTTTTGCTCTGATATTAACATATCGCGGGCCCCACACAGAGGTGCCAGTGTAATGATAATGCACAAAGCCTGGATTCCGCATAACCTAGTGAGTTTGTAAAATGAAAATTACAGTGTATCTCATTACATAGCCTCAAAGTGAGATGCCTCACTCTTATAAACACACCTTTAGCTACGTGATCTTATTTTTACAAAGAGTTTCAGTTTAGGGCTCCTAGTCTTATCATATATGCTAGAGACCGATTGCGTCGTCCTTACAGACTAGAGCCTCAAGAAGCCCTTCTTTAAAAACTTATATGTGGGGACCAGGACGGGCATCTGCCTAGTTCTTAATTAGTTATTGCCCTTGATTGTTGTTGAACTCAGCAAAAAGAACTTTGACTATCAGCTTGACGCCCCAAGTAAGGGTGTTAAACCTGTACTAGCAAATTTTACCGTGACACAACAACGTCAAAGCATTAAAACCTGGAAATACTACTTATTGTATCCTCTCTCCAGATCAGATCATTCCCTAAAACGAAAAGTGTAACAGAAAGTTTTCGCTCTCGATACTTGACGCTGTGTTTCACAATTAATCAAATGTAACTCCTGAATTACGGTAATCGTAATAAATCCTTTACTTTTCAGTTTGCCGATATCCCCGAAAACAACACCTATTGTCTAATCATACGATAGCTAAATGTAATGAATTTTTTTTTTTTTACTTTTCAAATATTGCCTAGGATAATGCCAGATTTTACCAAATATGGATTTCCGAAAAAGAGTGAAAAAAAGAGTGGAGATGTATCATCTAGAGATGTTTTCGTTTATTGGAAAAATAAGAGGGAAAGTAATTTATGAAATATGGGGATATATCTTTGTTGCCTTAGTTTAGTGGCGGTACTTGTCATAGGATAACTTGCACCTAAAGGATGGTCGGCGTAAGGAGAGGGCGCTTGCACCACTATGGAGCAGAGCGAGATAGTGTCGATAGTGTCAGTGGCAGCTAGTCAATGCTGTTTCCACTATCTCGCTCTGCTCGATAGTGTCGATAAGGCCATTGATGCCATCAGCCAGTTGTACAAGGGAGTAACCACGTAGGTAAGCCCACGTAAAGTTATGTTAGACTTCTCTACTTTCTCTCTCTCTCTCTTCATTCTCTTTTTTTCTCAGCCACGAACCGTTTTTTCTTTTTTTTTTGACTAGGGGTTCATTATCCAATAATGTTTACCTGATTACTAATAAGAAAACGCATTCCATTTGTTTTATTGGTAAGCGAGAGATTTACAACGGAAGACGGTGATGGAGAGGAGGGAGAGATGGTAAAAAGGGTGGCGGTGTTCAAAGAATCGCCGCTTTCGGGCTACACTCTCAGGCTCAGGCTAAGTACTCAAGGCTACACTCTCCAATTTACGCTTTTGGGCATACAATTTCCACGTACCCTAGCTTATGTTTTATAACCGAAAAACAGGGGAAAACTAAATTTTTTTTCCGTTGATCATTACTTTTAAACCACCTCTATTGTTATATTTCTGTATATTTTACCGCTTGCTGTGCGCATATAGGCTTATTTTGTTTTGTGTATATGTACTATGATTTTGTAATTCTGACTAATTGCAATAATGTGATTGGCCGAAGCCTTGGCTTTTATTACTAAATATTACTCTGTTTCTTTTCATTTGTCAATTTTATCAGATCATCTGATAAAATGAAAAGAAGAAAAACAAACTGGCGTATGTTTAGTTGAGTTGCATTCTTAACACGGATTTGTGTATGTGGGGGGGGGGTTGCACAATAATTGTTTTATAATAACATACACTAAATATTAAATAAATATAAATTCAATAATTTAATGGGTAAACAGTAGGAGACATGCCTATTGTTCCTCTGTGGTTGACTTCGTAATTCTTTGACATATTTTTCGTCTACCACCTCTTCCATTCTCAAGTAGTTCGCCACCAATGAAAACCCAAATATATTGACTTACTCATCAAGAAGAAGGAAAATACTCATTTACTCTATGCTGCACTTTTTGAAAAAAAATAAAAAAATAAAAAAAACAATAATAATTACTGCGAAATATTCCTTGGGTGCAAAAATTAAAGTTTTTTTTCTTTTTTTTTTGATTTTCGAGTTGTCTAAGGAGAAACCAGGAGCGAAAGCAGATACTTATTATTGTAGTAGAGTATGAGACAATAAGGTGTTGCACATGGGTTTGATACGGTGCCGTAAGCAATGAGAGGGAGGTAATTTTAAGGAATGAAATCTAGGTGGGCAATGCCAGATAGGTAATTCTCCTTTTTAGTTTGTATGCTAAATTTTATCTCTATTATTATAATTACAACTAGATATTATAAAGTCACATAGGTAAAAAGATCATTCAATGACCTATTCAACCCTACAAATAAATCGGATGATTTGTAAACTCGATGTTTTTGTTTAAAAGAAAAAAAACATCTTGTGTATGGAATAAAAATAAACTCCGAGAAAAAAAAAATTCAAAGATTCATGATAATTTTTTTTTTTAGTGGACTAAGTTTTCTGACAGTTCCGATAATATCCCCAGAATTATAAAGTTATAGGTGTGCGTGTATGTATGTGCCTTGTATATGTTAGCGGAACAAGATAGTCATCTGTTTGACACAGATGCACCATTCCTCGTTTTATCTTTGGTTATTAATGATTATTATTATGCAAATGGTGCAATTTGTATCAGCACTAAAGCTTAGTCAGATAGGTTTTTTCTTTTCTTTTTAGGTTTATAATGTAACAATATCAAAATGAGACAAGCTTGTTTTTGACTCCATAATAGGCATTATCAGTATCACCAACACCCACCTAATAGCACTAACAACATGGGGGACAACATTAGTAATTTCCTTTTCTTTTTCGTATCCCCCCCCCCCCCCCCCCCCCACT